CTAAATGTGTACAATTTAAGCCGCAGGAAAAAATTTTTACATGTATTAATAAACATATGGAAGGGTACTGGAGTGAGAGTATCAAAGAGTCTTAACATTGTAAGGTAAGCTACTCAGATAATTAAAACTTGTCTGCATATACGTAACACCAAGTTCCCTAAAAATGCAAAGTGTATAAACTTAACTTTGGATATTAAATTCTTTATAATTACAAATATAATACCTTTTTTTATACAGGTACTGTATATTACATTTTAAAAAATTACATTAAATTATACATACAGGCAAGTGCTGAGCATCAAAAGTGCTAAGACATGCATACAATAAGGTAACAACAACAATGTGCCTAAGTGCAAAGGCCACAATCTAATATCATTATCTAATACAGTACAGAATATGTATGAAAAATATTTATATACGTTCAATCACTTTCTCCTTCAAGGTGTTACTTCTTCTAAATGAAGCTCTATTATTAATGCTGTAATTCACTTTAAGGTACAGTATAATTGGGATCCTATCCTAGGCATTTTATCAGACCTTCATTTCTTCCTTCACCTTAACAGATGTAAAGTTTTGGCAGACATTTACTTGTGTTAGACAGAAAAGGAACACACATTTTATGATGATGCCTCCTTCTCAAATATTTACAGTAGGCCAAAACAACTTATGGTTTCACTGTAAGCTAAACATAAAGATCAATAACTCAAAAGTTAACTTATGAGATTTTTCAGAGTACAGTGCATGAATGTATTTAATGTGAAACATAATGAGCAATACTCTACAGCCAGTATGTGGTTAGTCAAAGGCCTCTATCTCAACAACACCTTAGCCAGAGGAGCCTGATGCCAATACAATGGCCTCCACATACTAATTTTAGCCTTCGTACCACACAGGCTATCAGTTGCTTCACTATGGTATCGTGCATTCAATCAGAAGGAATTTGTAGCCTTCCAAATAATAGTTTCCGTCCAGTGTCAGAAAGATTCAATCAATAATTATTGACTCGAATTTCAAATAAAATTAAAAAATAAAATATAACTTGAAATACAGTACAGGTAGTTCTGCTATAACGCGATAATTGTGTTCTTGTAAAATATCGTGTTATAGAAAATCGCGTAATAGAAATAACAGGGCTTATGGAGAAAATAGGGTTAGGTGCAGATTACTCGAAATCGAAAAAATTTAGTAGTTAGCCTAACACAAAGGATAGCACAGTCTAAATAAATGTTACATTCATATCTAATAATGAAATCATACAGTAAATGTAACACTTTACCTTGAAAAAATATGAATGTAACTTGATGGGGAGAAGGGTGATTTTGAGGTTGATAACATCGAGCTTCTCTTCAAGTGTTATATCCTTTCTTTTACGATCATCACCGGGAATTCTATCACCAGAACGCTTCTTGGAGATATTCTTCTTTACCATATTCACAATTAATACCACAAAATTGGAGAAATAGTAAGCAAAAATCGCGTTATAGCAAACAAGCGTTCGCGTTATACAAATATCGTTCCTAATTCATAAATCGCGTTAGAGCAAATTCGCGTTATCAAAACACGCGTTATAGCAGAACTCACTGTACTGTACTTCCAGCAATAAGAGCTTTAACTGAACACCTATATCAGTCTTCAGTAATGTCCAAAACTCAAAATACTGGACAGGCTGCAGTACTGTACTGTACTGTACTGTACTGTACTGTACTGTACTACTTGTCAAAGTTATGCCAGGGATCAAAAGTTCAGTGACCTATCTTACAAGCCATGTGACCGAGGAAGCTAAAAAAATACTGTAGTTAAAATGAAAAAAAAAATTGAAGAGGGTAATAAATACATGATAGTTTTATGCTAAGATGATCATAGGATCTACAATACTTTTTGGTTGCTTTCTGCATCACTATCTGCACCACATACAGTACAGTACATCATGAACCAAACGGTTTAGGCGGGGAATTCTGAGTCAGCACCAATGAAGAAGTGTTGAAAATTAGTTTGCACCGAGGTATTATTTTTTAGTGATTAGTGTAGTGTAATAAACAGCGGTGTGTTTTAAGTTCTCAAACATAAAATGCTTGAAACCATTCTACGGAAAACATTATTAATAAACAAGAATACATCATGCAATACTCACAACACACAAAATACAATCAACTACAGAAAGTCTTGAGTAAGATTAATCAATACAATGAATTTAACTTTCACAAAAGAACCTAGACTAGTTAAAATACTACAGTACCATGGTAACTCTGAACACCGTTTGTTAGTCAGTTTGTGCAGGACACACGATAAGAACAATGAACAAATTATACTAATATTAGCCACAACAACATCATGCATCAGGATTCAAGTCTAGCAATTCCTCCTCACCAATCAGGTAATTTTTTTACTATAGGCATTTTGGTCGATGAGGAGTTTTATCTGGGGAGCTGTCGACAATCTGCAAAGTAAATATGTTATACACGCTGCTCTCTTCACATGTTTGTCTTTTACAATATTAGCAATAAGAATTATCTATTAATACATTAGCAAGTAATATTTACAATACATATCTGTTCATAAATTAATATATTCCCCTAAATACTTCAATCAGTTCATTCATTCCTTGTTTTTTATATGATATAAAGTACTGTACACAGAACTCTGCTACTCACAACCTATTAACTTATACAATCTAATATCACTTAACCTAACTTCAACTAACTTTAAATCCCTACAATTAATTATGTAAATCAAAGAACCAATGGAGTTTAATCTCAACAAAAATATTTATACTGTATGTATACGGTAATAAGTTTTTCTGAATCTTCCAGGTATGCATGAAACACTTTGTACAGTATTTCTAACAGTAGACTATTATAAGTGTAGGTGATCCAACCCTTCTCACAAACTCTCAACAATACTCTACTGCAATACAGTACAATAATCCCATTGGGAAAGTACAATACAGTTCTGTATTTTTATCATTAATTTGTTGTGTACTGTATCATGAATCCACTGTTACCAAGCTGAGATGAACACACAGCCTTAAAACATAGTTTCTTCCTTTATTTTGATACCTAAGCATAATCTGTCATCACAACAGAAGTTTTGTAATAAATCTACCAAGGGCTCAGAACATTATAAGTTGTCAGAAAATACATAAGGTGAGGTGGTCTTTCCAAAACATCTTTACTGTACAGTAGTGTACTGGTCCCCAACATTGGTCCCTTTTTTTTTGCGTTTTATACTGTGGTGGGCCGTGAGGGCAAACTGGACATAAAATGCTAACCATAATTCAAGTTGAGACAGCTGATGCTGTTAAAAACTAAACTGAAAATGGAGGAAGCACTGAAGTTTACTTTAAACAAATATAACAATTTTACTTGTAAAAATTGCACTTACAATTAAATATTGTACATGGTGAAACGTACAATGTATTACTAACACAACACCTTTATACAGTATAAATGTGATCTGTCTAAACATTACCTACAACAGCTCTAAGGCCTCACAGCATCTCTTGATGGAAAAGTCTTAATTTTCTCAATCTGTGACTCAAGTTGACAAAATGATAAGTGTCAAGTTATTTTCTCAAAGCCACTTAAAAAAAAAAGACATTTCTATCTAAAACGACATAACAGCTGAAAACTTGTTTCATGTGAGATTACCAAACCTAATAGTCTTAGCTTATTTTTAGTTAAATTACGTTTGGTTTGGTCCATACTGTACTTTGTCATAATTTTATATACTGTACAGTACTGTACAACATTACCAATACCAGAGGCTTGTTGACAAGCTCATAGGATGGTCACAGGCATATGCTGCATTCTGGGGCCCTGGTCTTTTTACATAATTTGTCATTTCACCACTTATCAGCTGTGCAGGTGGTTGGTCTATTACTTATTACTTTGTTATAAACTTTATTGCCCAGTGTTAGTACAAGAGAAAACCTGGGATATTTGGGAAGGGTCATACTGGAAAGAACCCTTCCCATGTCGTCTGTCCTAGGCCCAGACTCAAACCCAAAACACAATAGTGAGAGATCTCTAAATATTATCATAGCCTTAGCAAAATCTAACTATATACTGTACTGTACATGTAAAAGCAGTATCAAATAATGTTCACTTTATCCCACTTATGTTCTAGGTGTATAACTGAAACATTAGCACAGTTTTCTCAACAGTAGTTACCCTAACAACTTTCATAAGAACAAAAGGTGAACTCTTTAACATCAATCTTTTAAATATTTCCAGTTTCAGCAACATACTGTAATTACTGATAAAAATACCAAGCTAATCTCAATAAAAATTAACAATAAATCATCTACACTTTACAAAACATCAAATAAACAGCAATGTGTATCCAAAACACACTGCCACATGCTCTATACATTATTGCATACCATTATACAGTAGTACTGTACAGATATAGTTTTCTCCTTTGAAATTATTCACATTTCTCCAGTCTTCATTCACTTACACCCACCTTTCCTGCCAATCACCACCTGATAGACATTCCCACATTTATAGATTTATCTGTTGCATACACTTACTTGGGACTTTACATGCAATTCAGACAGTATGTATAAAAACATCCACTGCCACTTCCTGAGGTGACATGTATCAGCCACAAGCTATGGTTAAGACTTAAGATCATTAAATCAAGGCAATTCAGGACATTTATTTCTTTAGTGTTTTGTCAAATTCAGGACATTTAAATGTTTTGTTTATCATAAAGTACAGCACAGTAATCACATCGTTTGATGCAATACTTTTATTGAAAAATTAATTATTTTAACTTGGCTATTACTCAACCTTAAGCAATCCTGAGCCATAACACCACTACAGTATAAGAATGCAGGACAGATGTTTTCAAGAGTCAGCTTATCAAATACTACAGTACTTTATCCATATAAACAATAAGACATTCTTTATAGTACACTGTACTGTATCTATAAATAATGACTGACAGCTGAATGGGGAAACTGCCATGTTTCTAAACTGTTCTTTTTTTTCTTTCAGACTGTGTGGGTAGTGACTATTGACCAGCAGCAAATCACAAACGTACCATCAATGGCTTGAGACTATAGAAATCTACTCAATATGAAGTACTTGGGATAATGGAGTCATGTAACTACAATACCTGGTTTATATTTTTCTCGTGGCTAAACTAATCACCTTATCAATCAGAAAAATTACCAACAAATGGTTGAAGTGACATCGTACAAGAGGGGGAACTGAAGGAATGAAATACTACTGTACTGCATAATTATATAACACATCTTGATTTTATACCTCAACCTAAGTTAATTTTTACCACATATGGTTTGGTCGCTAGTTTAGTGTTTTACCAATTTGAACCAACCTCTAACCTAACATCAGATCTAGTTAGCTTTGAGTCGTTCACATCAACTGTCATCACAAATGGTTTAATGACACCACCTTGAGCAACCTTTGACAAAAAGAAATGATAAGATCGTGCCACTTCATATGAATATTTAATAAAACAATATTTTTGTATATTCACTTTCAATTTTTCCTTTTTCCATGTTGACTTTCCATTCTCTGCATTAAAACCCACAATACTAGACTTTCTACAATAATAAATAATAATAAATAAAGTATCAACTCTCCATCTTTACTGAATTTCTAAGAATACAGCAGTTCAGGTATTTCTCATATTTCACAATGTCAGAAAATTTCACATTTTTACTTGGTGTCTTAATAAATATATCAAACATCATTCTCAAGATGATTATACTTATGTATCCATCACTCTTACAGAATACAGTACACAGTTAACTTGAAACCTGCAAGGACAAGATGACAGCTTTTTTTTTATTTCAAAAGAATAACAATGCCAAGGTTGATTGTCTCCAGTCTTTGTTGTCTCACATTTCAGGGGTTTCTCAATTTCTTACATTTCTTCGATCTCAAACTCAATGTCTACATTTCCTGCATCTTTCAATATCTACACTTCTTGTCTCTCTCACTGTCTACACTTCTTGTCTCTCTCAATGTCTACACTTCCTGTTTCTCTCAATGAGTACACTTCCTCTCTCTCAATCTCTATACTGTACTTCCTGTCTCATGTCTACACTACCTACATCTCTCAATGTCTACACTTCCTGTCTCTCTCAATGTCTACACTTTCTCTCTCTCAATCTCTACACTTCTTGCATCTCCCAAGTATCTAAACCTCCTATGTCTCTATCTTTCACATACTTTGTCTCTCACATTCCCAGCATTTCTCAAACTTTCTCAGTAGAGTTTTCTTAACTTCCCTCAGCGTCTCCCAGTCTCTGTCTCTTAATATTCTCTTAGTCTCTTGAATCTTTTATCTTCCAGTCTCACTATATCTCTCTCAGATCACCATTCGACCCCTTGCTCCCATTACTATGTCTCGAACCCAGAAAATGCATATCTAACCAGTCTTTTCCGACCAACTCAACACAAGGCAGAACATAATCACCTGTGATCCTCGTCCCAAATATCATGTTAATCCTTTAATTACCTCTCTACGACCTTCTATTTAACTACAATTCTCTTTCCAACTATGAATAAGCAGCCAAACCTGTTAAAACTCTCAGGGCAACAACTGGAGATAGAAAATTCGACACACCTCCTCCAGCAACTCTCGTCCCCAGGTGCCATGTCCGGCGCCTTAAATGAGCACTTTAGTTACCCTCCAGTTCCCTACAATTACCTCGCCAAACCATAAAATGCAACAAGAGACTGTTAACCCGGGTGCAGTCTCTACACATCAACACAAGAGAGACGAAATTCGACACACCTCCTCGACCAGCACCAGCGACCCTCATTCCCCAGGTGTCATGTCCTCACCTCAACCGGCCTTTAACGATCCCTTATTTACCTGCTAGTTTTCTACACACACCGTCCAGTGAAAGTTGATGGCACACTCGAGCTGTGAGCCGGGGCATCAACACGCTAGACACAGTAACACGAGTATAAAGTCCTTATTTCACATGCGCCTCCGAGCCTCCATGTTGGATAGTGTCCCGGATGTTCATAACAATGTTCCAATAACTCTATCATCCTAACACGCTAAAACTCCTCTACTACTTAATACAATAAACATATTTTCTAGCTACCTGATATTAATAAACCTAGTATTTTGATATTGTTGTGACATATTCGTTATAGTCTTTTAATTTTAAGATGATGTAAAGTATAGACGCGAATTCACTGTGTCTCAAAAATGTCCGGTCACTGAGAGATATGAACACCTTTGACACAACTCCATAATACATCGCTCACTTCTCACGCCCGTGCGAGTGAATCTTGAAATTTCTCCTTCAAGGTTATAACCAACTTATTAATCCCCCCGCGTGACTATTTCCTCCCCTTGAACGTTCGGCTTTTTACGGTAAAGTCTCTGTGTAATTGCGATACACTGCGTTAAATGTTTCAAATATACAGTATAATATTCTTCATATTTCCCTTCAAGCCCGATTAGAAACAATACTATTAATTTTTATGTCCTTTCCAAATCTATATCGTTACAGTTTCAGTTTATTCGCGGTGCTATGTTGGTTGTATCTTCTGAGTCTTGGCTGAAGTGAGTCAGTTTGATTCGTTCTGACATCACCAGTTAAGTGAAGATTTTGACGTAAGCTGTGAGGAGCAGCAGAGTCTGGCCGGGGTGCCAAGATCACTTAACATTCTTGATGTCGACAAACACACACACACACACGTGATATTGATACTTCCGCATTTTGTATTATACCATAGATGAAAATTACACACACACACACACACATGCATGTCGCAAACATATATACCGTACACTACCATACACATTACTGTTTATGTCAAATTACACGTAACGCATACATAACCATAGACTCATATATCATCACAATAACATTTAATACGGTTTTTTTGTTAATTATTGAGGTACCCTACACATGGTGATTTTTATTATGTCGGTAACCATGATGACCTCATCCAAAAACATGTTGTCAAAGATGATCTATGACTTGTTAAATATTTCAATCGTAAGATTAATTACTGACCAGTATTTTCGGTTATGTAACTTGTACTAAGTCAGCCCAATTTCCGTTTTTTCCTAATCTGGCTGATAATGTTTTCTACGTGTGATGGATGCTTGCTCAAGTGCGCCTTAACACAGACAATGGTGTTCTTGAACACACTTGTTGTGGTGGCCGTCAGACTACTGGGTTGTTGCTATGATGCATAACTGCGCTTTAACAACTAAACTCTTTCAGCGAGTATATTGTTACTACATACACTAACCAGCAACAATTAAAAATAAGAGACAGCACTCAGATACTCAGGGCATGGTTGCTTACTATCTGAGCTACATTTTCCGGTGTGACCGATTACAACACATTTCATATAATATATATATATATATATATATATATATATATATATATATATATATATATATATATATATATATAAGGTGATTCTCTATAGTAGTTAAAATCACATTGCCTTGAGTTCAACACTCACATCTACATTTGTAAATAAATTTAGTAAATTTATCATGTCCATAAATATTTTTAAGTAGACTAACATTACTTTTTTATATTATAGGAGAGAATCAGAAACAATATATTTTGTAACTTGTCTGTTGTCTAGTGTACAAACTGACTCCCACTCAGTGAACGATGCTTTAAGACCCTGGCCGATGAAGCTTCTAGAATAAATGACATCATCATCATCACCATAAAGTTATTCATGTGTTGGAGAATGTTGTTGTCATCAGCAGTCGGTTTGACGATTTTTATGAACCAAGTGCCCGATAGTTTGTAACATTGATCAATGAACATTGTCTGTAAACTAAAAATGTCCCACCAATCTCAGTTAGTCTTGGTGGTGTAGTGACTCATTTATTGTTAATTTATTTGCTTATTTCGTCAATCTGTTATTTGATTAATCTCCCCAACACCACAAAAGGACCCGATAGAAATAAGCCTTAACGACTTTCTTAGGCTATCTTTGGGTGAACCGATTTACGGTTTACCGTTGTTTGTGGAACTGCACTGTCTATATACTTGTACCTGTTAAACCACTGTGGGTTTAAATTACGATTTTACTGACTATCATATAGATACGCTATACAGTTCCCTTTAAAATAAAGAGCCACATTAACGAGAAAGAACATTATCTTAGTGGTGTGTGGCGTCACGGTTGAGTATCTTTCTTAATACAGTATGTAACAGTTGTTGGCTCAGTGAACGGTGCTTAAATACCCTGGTCATTAAAATCTTAATACTGCACGCTGAAATGAAACAACCACAAGGTCATATCTTTGAAATAGGCGGATCCCTGGCGTGAGATCACACTTCAGTCGAGCGCATTGTAATTAAGATGTAGCGCAACTTTTTTTAGTATGTACCTACTCATTTATACCCATGACCCCGTTTCTACCTTTCCACATGTGGTACATATAGCAGCCAATCACAACGGTGTACCAAGTTGTGCTACTTATTCACTAATAACAGATGTGAAGTTTCTTCTCAAATCAGTCTGATTAATATATATATATATATATACTATATATATATATATATATATATATATATATATATATATATATATATATATATATATATATATATATATATATATGTGTGTGTGTGTGTGTGTGTGTGTGTGTGTGTGTCTACAGTTACACCCGGTTCAGTGATGAAGTGCAAAAAAGTATTAGTCAACACTGCAGAGCCAACATTATAAATCAAGGGTTATTTGATATGCAAAGAAGATGGAAGGGTGGTTTCATATTACAACTGCCCCAGGCACTTAAATCATTAGGTGTGGTCTGGCTTATGACGCGCGCTCACAAACACGTACATATGAACTCAAACACACACGTACAAAGGTGATTTGGCAAGACAGTCACCGACAAAAGAAAGTTTTACCATGACTCCTAGTGAGGCTTTTAGACCCGTGGCCATGAACCACAGACCAAGACAATGATAGCGGTGCAGCTCGGTGCCACTGAATGTTTATCTCTAGGTTAGTCTGGGCAAACTATTTTTGTCTATTCTTTGAAATCGTCATATAAGTTCACATTAGTTCATCATGTACAGTACATAGGCAGTGTAGGTATACACAAAATTTAACGTTAAGCCGATTATCTTAAAATAAATAACCACATACTTTGGTTTTTACCACGTACCTTGTATTAAAAAAAAATCAACTCTCGGGCGCCATGTTTGTTTCAAAAGCAACCCGTCTCGTAAAACCGATTAGACGCCTTCGCCCATACAATCTGTTGTCTGTGTGTACTTAACAACACAGGAGACCAGTCTAAATGTGGCAACCCTGGCCCTTATGTAAACGTTGGTCATCCTGCCGCCTCTAACTTATAATCTTAACACTCTGTATATCCCTCACACTCTTTCCTCCCCTCATTTCTTCTTATTTGTTCCCCTTCTTGCTTCCCTTATTTTATTATATCGTATCACACATCTCGCTCGATTTCTTTCTTCTTATCTAATCCTTCTCTCTACTTTTCTCGAGATTTCAACCGCACTTTTTGCACTAATGTTGTTAAAACTGCAAGTTTCTGTAATTTGTGTAAAGCGTCTTATCAATATTACGAAATACGTTTTTAACGACTTATTTTGCAGTCAAAACGGCAAAATAATATTCTTCATTATCCTTGGTTAAACTTACTATTAATCCATTGCTTGTTAAGCTGCTCGCTCTCTCTGCACATGATAAACTAGTGTAAATTTGTAAGCCAATTTTTATCTAATATCTATCTATATATCGTTTTTTTGTTTCTTCATCAAATGTTCTCGTTAATTTAGAACTTCCTCGCGAGCTTCTGTCACCGCCAATGTTTTTGTGAAATCAAGCGAAAAAAAAATTAAATCGCACTAAAAAAATCACCTGTATGTTAACCCTCCAGGGAAATGTATCCATTACTCAGATCAGGAAAGGTGTGGCATTAGGCTGAGGGAACGTTGGTGGAGAAATATTCATGATCGTGACAAACACAAAGAGTTACAGGCGAGTGTGGTGTCTTGGAGGTTGTAAGGATAACGACTAGATTATAAATGATTAACTTACGTTTTTAAAGACCTAAGAGATATTAATTGAATGGGATCGCCATACAAGTTCACATTAGTTCGTTGTGTATATAGAGGCAGTGCAGGTATACAGTAAAGGATAGCACAAGAACACCATTCAAAACTACTAAATCCCAGAGGGTCTTCATTATGTGCACATAGGGTTGGTTACTTGGTTGAGTGCACATAGGGTTAGTTACTTGGTTGGGTGCACATAGGGTTAGTTACTTGGTTGAGTGCACATAGGGTTGGTTACTTGGTTGGGTGCACATAGGGTTAGTTACTTGGTTGAGTGCACATAGGGTTGGTTACTTGGTTGAGTGCACATAGGATTGGTTACTTGGTTGGGTGCACATAGGGTTAGTTACTTGGTTGAGTGCACATAGGGTTAGTTATTTGGTTGGGTGCACATAGGGTTAGTTACTTGGTTGAGTGCACATAGGGTTAGTTACTTGGTTGGGTGCACATAGGGGTTGGTTTGCACAGTTGGGTGCACATAGGGTTAGTTACTTGGTTGTGTGCACATAGGGTTAGTTACTTGGTTGAGTGCACATAGGGTTAGTTACTTGGTTGAGTGCACATAGGGTTAGTTACTTGGTTGAGTGCACATAGGGTTAGTTACTTGGTTGGGTGCACATAGGGTTAGTTACTTGGTTGGGTGCACATAGGGTTAGTTTCTTGGTTGGGTGCACATAGGGTTAGTTACTTGGTTGGGTGCACATAGTGTTAGTTACTTGGTTGGGTGCACATAGGGTTAGTTACTTGGTTGGGTGCACATAGGGTTAGTTACTTGGTTGGGTGCACATAGGATTGGTTAATTGGTTATGTGCACATGGGGTTGGTTGGGTGCACGCCAGGTCTTGTATACATTCACCAATAAATTTCATAAAGTTAAATTTATAGAGAACTGAAGAATGGTGCCACAAGAGAATATTTACAGCTGAATGCGTTCATCAATGTTTCACACCCACCAATCAATTCATTTAGTATAAGATCAGTTACAGCTAAAGTTTGACTTACAGAGTGCTGAGGGGCATAGTGTTACATTGATGGATTGTAGAGATTAATTTTACATCGAGGTTTTGGCATTGCAACCAAGAGGCCGACCACAACAAAGGCTCAGTTTGATGTCACCAGTTAAACTTTTGTATTACACTAGAACTTTCTACAGCATGATACTTTACTTACTTCACTTATAGCTATATTCAGCTTGTAGTTTAAACACACCATGAATGCAGTGTCATTAGATTCGTGTAAATATTGTTTTTACTGTCCACATGTCAAATAAAATGTAATTTTTTCTGCTGAAACTGTCTTAAGAGAAAAACGCCATTGCTACTTATAATGTCTTTCATCAAGGAATCTAATGCAACAAGTTTCAGCGCTATCAGAAAACTTTTTATTTATATTTTTTAACTTTCATTATCATGACCTCCCAAAAAGGTTCAGTACATTCAGAACACTTGCTACTCAAAAGCCCAAACCGTTTTACTATTCAGCCAAATCTAGAGCACAACACACCACCTGATACCCAACACCATTCCATTGCTTTCAGTTTATTTATCCTGGCGCCTTAAGGATAAAAAGGACTTTTTATAAATGAATTTAAAAAAGGTTAAAACCCCTACAAAAGCAAAATACTGCATATATGCAGCCTTGATCAATGTTACACTTGTTGAAAAACACCAGAAAACTGAGTGTAGCAACAAGAACAAAGGGAATTAAAAATTTAACGAGTACACTTGCCTAACATATTAATAGCCATGGATTACTTACAGATTACATGAAACTGGTTGAACTAACCTCCCTAACACACCACTAGCTTCTGAAGGAGTGAGGAGTCAAGTATGCACAACGCTTATCAAAAGTAACAGTTCACATAGCCAGATGCAGGTTTTCATGATCAATTCATCACTTTTTACCTTGGGCTTAGATATTATATGCCTTACTTGCAAAATTATGATTACCCTAAAAACTACCAAATTTTGCACTACCACCAACAAAGCACCATTTACCCTAAACTAGGGTAATTAACCCTAAAGTGGAAGCCCTGGAGCCACAATCAATAACTCACAGAGGGTCTATCTTGGTACCTCCCAAAATCATCTCTAGTACCCCTAGTTAAGAAATACCAATATATATCAACCTAATTTATCCATGATTTTTGGTCATATTTAATGGAGATATGCTTCACTAAATCACTGGCAGTGGTACAGGAACACAAGCAGGGTTATTCCAATACCTCACAAACACCTTCAGGGATGAAGTGTTAATTTAGCTAAGGTTAAGATGGGTGTGGAGTAAAATCATCTGAAAGCCATGATGGTAACAAATAAGACGAAGATGCACAATTGAGGTAAATGTATGTTAGAGGAGAAAATCAAACTAAATCATAAATTCCTCTGCATAGATATTATTCACAGCTTAAAATATAATTTGTTTTCATAATACATTGCACAACCAACATACCTTAATGTATACAAGACCTTGCCACCCAACACACTCGTGTTACTGTCGCATTACTGTGGGTTAGTAACATAAATTTTATGATTAGGTCTTATGGACTATGAACATGAGATCAGTAATTTAGTAGACATAATCCAACTGGGAGCACACATAATGGACTCCATTGTAAGAGATTGTAAATACATTTGTAATATACATATAATTACATTGATATATATATATACAGTGGTCCCTCGGTTAACGAGCACAATCCGTTCTAGAAGGTTGCTCGTTAACCGAAACCATTGTTTCAATGGGTTTTTGGGTTATTGGTTCTAGCTCACCGAAAATTGCCTAAATTCAACAAAAAAGGTAGAAAAGTACAGTTACTTTGAGGTGTGTATGTAGAAGGCTCCTGGATGATGATGATGATGGGAATTAGAATGGGGGTGGAGGAGAAGGGAGAAGAGAAGGCATTGGGGTGGAAGAGAAGTCACCCCATGGCGCCATTTCATCCATAAAGTTTTAGTTCTCTTGGTGCAATTCAAGATTATTTTCTTTAAATCAACACTGCACTGCATTATATATTGTCAATATGTAAAATAAATTTCAAAATGACCAATAATTTGCTTGCAAAAACAGAAAAAAAGCATTTAGTTGAAGAGTCTCAAGCAAGATGTTACCTCCACTGAAAAGACAAAGACTGACGCCTGTATGGTGTGTTGTGAGGCTGGATGGCACGCATAAAACTAGTTTCATTACCTTCAATTATGTTCAATAATTGTTAAAACGAGTAAAAAATTTAATATTAAACTTTTAAAATTATTGAATAGTATAAACTTCTTCATATTTGCTAAAATGGTAAGGAATTTAAGCCCTAGAACCGATTACTGTATTGGCGGACTAATACTACAGCTGGTGGACCGCCAAATGCAAGCGAAATCATGTTCAGGTTGGCTCGTAAGAAACTCGTTAATCAAGGGATTGCTCGTTAACCGAAGTTAAGAATCTTATGGAAGGTAACTCGTTAACCGAGGCGCTCATTAACCGAGGGACCACTGTATATATATATAAAGTTCAAAACAATACACAGTATTATGTTAGATTAGAGTACTTTGTGTACATTTATACACACAAGTGCAAATATTGCCAATATCATACAGGACCTGGATTCTTGAAGGTTCTCATGTTGATCTTTACTCCTAACAAACCCTAGAACTTATCTAATGGACTCATTAAAGCGACAACACAAAATATAACAAAATGGCAATGAAAAAGCACCATGACTTTACCATAACTCCATTAGTTCTCCAATACTCAGTTACTAGGGAAACACTGTTCAGCATTTGTAAATCTGAGAATCTAGACCTAAGCATTTCCTGTATCTTCATACAATCCTGAAATAATTTATAATATACTTCACATATCCCATCTTTGCATTATTTAACAAAATATTACTTTTACCTTCCAATAATTTGCAAAATAATAGCTTACTGCTTTTGGGGGTAAAAATCACATGTGTAAAGAATGAGCAAGGCGATGAAGTGTTATTTACATAAACCAGTATAGATGGCATTAAAATTATCCATGCAGTTTCATTCTCATCTTCTTGCCAACTGATTAATTAGGCTAAATGATGTCAGCATTTTTCCAAGTTACTTTAACAGCTTCTTGCTTCTATTTAACATGTAACGTTAACAGAGGATTTTACCCCTAAGACCATCAGACACTACTATGCTCAACAAAACTGCTGCAACATATTTTCATCCATACTGATGCACTACACTTCACTCTCAAATCCCAAGCCAACACTATGATGTTTGTGCAATGTTACATATATAAATACATCCCTGGAAATTCCAAGATACAGTATTAAATATTAATCACATTATTTTTTTAAAACTTGAGCCCAGATGTTTGGGATCTAAACATTAAAAAAGGCAGGCAAAGAGACAAATAAATAATGTTTCACAATAGGCAAACTATTACCTAAAAAGGGCACTATCAAACATCAGGTAATATTATGACTGGTGGCATAAATTGTTGGTTTTTAGTAATTTTCTCGATTGAAACTTTGTCTCCTCTCTAAGACATGGTGTGAACAAATCAGTAGATAATGTAAATATTGGCTGCATGTGACTTCTTTTAATTACAGCATAAAAAATTTCATTCTTTAATGTTTGCCTTCTTTTATAAAAAAACATATACAGAAGAATAGGTGCACTTAATAGTCACATTACCTGAAATTTCATCTCCTGGCAAAAAGAAAATGCTGGAAGTTCAATTACTGCTTTCACACAACTAGATGTTTTGTTTATTCACAAAACAAAACCTTTGCCTCCTGTCAAAGAGAAACTGAGATAAATGCTGTACTATATTGTGCAAGCAGTGGCTGCACATGACATTTTCTTTTACATATTTTCACACCTCAAACTTTGCTTCCATTCAGAGAAATTAATACAAAACAATACTGTAGGTGCACTTATTCCTTGCAAAAAAAAATTTAAATTCTCAAAATGAAATCTCCGTCTCCTGTCAGAGACGTTAAAACAGAAAGACACTGTATTAAAAATAATGAGTAAAATGGCCAAAATTGCCACATTAAACAGAAAACAATTTTTTTGGCTTTAAATCACAAAAATATAAATGTGAGATTTTGTGTGAACATCTGGACTCTATTCATAAATATCTTAATATCATATTAAATGCATCAAAATATTACAAAGAAATTTGTTACAAGTATTTACTTGTCAATGCAAAATGCATCTTTTATTCACATTGGTGTTGAAATTTAGGATTAAGACTGTTTGTGGAACCTGTGGATGTGCATAAAGAAGACATTCAGTGTGCCTAAATCAAGTACCCAGTACTTTACCATGTCAACACAGAAGACCTGAACATAAACATAAACAATCTCAATGTCAAGAGTGTTAGGCAGATAAATGAAAGTATTTCCCCAAGATCAAGAATTTTCTGTAGACACAAACACACTTTTCAAAAACCAGTATCATGTCAACATTGAAACCCTGAAATCATCCCTTAAAGTTGATAATTGTATTACAATATAATGTATTTCATAACAATAGATATTTTAAGACCATCAGAAATATTACGGAAATTAATTTCTTCTCTGCTGTCTCTTACTATTTAGATCTAATATCATATTTCTAGCACTCTGACTTGGTGGTTTTATGCCTAAAAATTAAATAGTATCTATATAACAGTAGACATATTAAAATTTTGACACCAAATATAGTTATACGCTACCTATTTTTGTAACAAGTATAGGTCTATAATAGATATCAGCTTACATGGACAGACAAATAATATAATGCACTATTGCAAAGGAACACAGGTTAAAATAATCTTATCCATAGTTTGAAATTCAATGCAGCTGACAAATATATTACAAGCAAGTAGCTGGTTAAATATATTTATTCCTATAAAAAAAAATGGTCAAGAAATGCCCCTTAATGAAGTGAACTGTAGTTACTCATCAAAGAAAATGAACCATATATTTTTTCTCTAAGACTCATCAGTGCACTAATTTCTACATCTGTTAACCCATAACATTTGTGGGCAAAGTTCCCAGTTCACTCGAACTAAATAAAATTCCAAAACAACAGCTCTGACTTATTATTTAATTCTCTGATGCATTAGGATCACTACAGACATTCTACCCAGTGTCCGAGTTTAGACAGGTCATTAAAATGGACTGTTGCTCCTCAATGGAAGGAGTGACTGACCTTTGAAACCTGTCCATAACCTCAACCTTGGACACACACATTCATCGGTTAAGGACCAGGCACAAAACATAGGATAGATGGATGGACGGACAAAGCGGTGACCAATGGCCCCTTACAAACAGTGGTACAAAGAGGAAAAACATAATAATTATTCATTATCGGCAAAAGTTGAAAATAAGTTCTTAACATTAAACTGAAATTTAATCCTTATAAACAACGACAATTCATTAAATGAAAATAGGTTTGCTTTCCTGACCTCTCCTGAGTTTATCTTCTGAATTGTCCTTAGTAAAATAAAATTTGCTCATTGTTATCCACCAGAAAAATTGTGACAATACAACTGCACTAGGTAATATGATGGACAACATCAGGTACAAATATCCACTAACTAGCATAGTCAGTAATTACCTTATTCTAGCATCTATTTGCATGGTTCAATAATTTTAAAGAATCCTTTGTATTCTAACAAAATAAGCACATCAAAATCAATCAATCATCTTCATCTGATTCAGCAGCATTGAATAAATCCATCAGATTCCTTGATGTAAGGTTAAAGGAAGTCAGCGGCTCATCATCCATAGGAAGCTTGGGACTGGGAGTGCTTGTGGTATTGAGACTCCTACATTCAAAAAGTTGCTGGCCAAGTGTTGGCCCTGATCGGGACAGCACACCTCTTCGCCGAATGAAACATGGGCTGCCATCTACATTGTCACTTGCATTAAAGCTGAAAAGATGGTAGTAGTCTAATTTATTAATCATGAAATATATGATGGTCAACAAATTAAAATTTCAAGTTAGGTACAGATAACCCTTTATTTACATTAGATTTTTTGATCTTAAAATACTGTATTATCAAAACTAAATTTCACTTGAAGGAAAACTTATTTCACACTACGTACTGGCATCTCTAAAGAAAAATAACATTACGTATGTCCCAATGGAATCTTTCATATCCAGCCCCCACAAGACATAACTCTCCTGCATTTTCCAATCAATTTACTCTTTTAGAGATGCCAGGAAAGCCAGCATGTGACAGGAGCAACAGTGCCAATACCCCAATGGTAAACGATCCCACAAAGATATCAATTTAGATGTTAAGTTGGAGGTGCTAATGCATATTGAGGCTGGCAAAAAGTTGACGGCCATCAGTATACTGTTAACTATTGAACATATTACAGTTTTTTTTTAAATTGTAGCCTTATGTATACTGTACTGTACTTCAGCTTTATACATGCAAATATTTAAGTCGTATTGCAAAGTGTCATTTCATTACAAGTCGGATAAGTTTCTTCCTTCTCCCTCAAGGAATGCATCTCCTAATTTATGATGGTAATCAAAGGAGAAATAAGATTCAATTTACAAAATTTTCTGGAACTCATATAAAAAGGAAGAACAGTACTGTATATACTCACTAAAAATACACTACTGAACTGGTATCCATGAATGGATTGTATCGAGCATATCTAAAGGGAAATTTCAAACAATTGAAAACAGGACTGGAGGCACAAGAATAAATGGTGTAAAATATTATTGCTGATCAAATGGCTTCAATCAATGTTAGAAGACAGATGCTCAGTCTCACACAATCATCCTTTTGGAGGTCCAGCCCCCCCCCCCTTCTCTCTCCATAACTTACGTTTCATTGTCTCCATTTTCTTATTCTTGCATAATGAGAACAAATAATAATTTCCCAATCTTTATTTATATCTTCCCATTTTTCTTTTGTACTTTACTGCTATAACAGACAGTCATGGTAAAACTAACATCGACGTGAAATTTTTTCACCATTACAAGCCATATCCTGCCATACTGCAGGGTGGCTGGAATCAAGAATAAACACCCTTTTTTTATTAGCTGCTATTCAGTTACTCTTTCTGTCATATTAGATGTATACAGCATTACCTTTCCTTCTCCATAAGACCCTAACTTACTTACCGATGTCACTTCAGTAGCACCTCCATCACCTGCTAAAGACATGTAAACACAAAGAAAACTCCACAAAACCACATGTGTTCTTACCTATTTCTGATTAAGGGTGAGGCAGTGATGAAGTCTGTTTGCTTTTTTAATTGGTGCCCAATTGGTGTAGAATTACCAAAAGGTTTATGTGAACACTGGTTGGCTTCACTACTGGAAGTTGAGATGTCACTAAGGGGCTGTGCTAGACTGTGGTCATCCATGCCTTCATCTGAAATCAAACATCAATGAGACAAAATTGGGCAAAGATGAATGGGCAAAACCAAAGAAGAAATTTTCCTTTCTTCTCTCTAAATTACCTTAGCAGTTGACCTCACCCAATACAAAGACAAGTGGCTTAAATATCAGTGTGAAATACCCAGTTGCTAATTACTAAAGGAGAGAATACATAGCTCTGTACTGTACTGTACGTATGATGAAAACGAGAATATGTATTAATAAAGTCAATGGCATCTACCAAAGAAAAAAAAAAAAGGCAGCCTAACTCACCATCAGAGAAGCCAACAGTGAAGTCAGAATCCGAGTTGTTCAATCCTGAGAAGTTATGAGGCTCTCCAGAAGCACTACCTTTACGTAGCCTTTTCAAAGGCTGTGCCAGGAAGTTGAGAAACACCACAAGGTACAACCAAGTCTGCAGTATTGTGTTCTTGGCTTTCATAACCTGAGGGAAACAAGGATTTCATAATAATTTGGGGGGAGAGAAATTTATCAATAATGTTTTCTTGACCTGCATGAGAAAAACTGATCAAGAACAGTTTCATAATCAGAAAAAGAGAGCGATCAAAACTGTTTTCAAATTCTGATTAAGGAAGTTTTCAAGATATGAGACAAGGGCAGCCTTGGGGAAAGGATGGTAAAACCAGTACAGGGACTATGCCTAAGGAATTAAATAGCATGGATGAAGAAAGCAATTGACAAAATAAAGAATAGAAGGGAGCTGGAAGCTCTGAAATGGTTGAAGTAATGGTGAAAACATTGAGAGAGAGAGAGAGAGAGAGAGAGAGAGAGAGAGAGAGAGAGAGAGAATTAGATTTCCACACAACTTAATTTTTTTTCACGGCCATATAGTGTACAAAGAAATAAAATCTCCACTTTAGAGAAAAGCTATTTTGATATAAATGAAGCTAAACTATGCATAAAAGTGTATCAATTAAAAACCTTACAGATTTTCGACAATAGTCCTTGAAGGTTTTGTGGTAGAGCACTCTCTTAATGGTGGGCAGAGCGAGAGCTTGGTCTGCTGTGAGTCTTTCCCATGGGTTGGGAGAGAGCAAGCCAACCAACACTGACTGTAGGTCCTTGGATAAGCCTGCAGAAAATATTACAATCTTTATTAGGAGTCCTTAGGATTAATAGCCTTTTTATTAATATTTATTCTTGGTCCTACACCATATTCAGCAAAGGCAACTGTTAAAACACTAATATTCTACTTCAGGACTGTTTTCTTAATACAACAAGCAGAAAATACATAATGGTTCACTTCCTCAACTTATGTAGAAGTATACTGCACACAGTATATAATTATGTAAAGAGAAACATTTACCTCCACATAGATTCATAACACTTCGTATCATTTCAGTAGTATTAATGAGAGGTTAAGATGTCTCAGTAGAAATTCTCTTGTTTTGTAATACAGATTTTCTCATGACACTACAAAAAGTAAGTGACCTAACAGCAAACCTCAGTCATTACACACAAATCTAGATGAACAAAACAAGGACTTACAATTAGCAGCTGGAGGAAGTGTCCCCCGTCTGAGTTTCTGCCAACTGTCTCCTTGTTTGGGCAAATCCAGATCTGTGGCCAACTCTAAAATGGTCATACCCAAGCTGAAGATATCTGCGGGCGGACCGAACTGAAGCTTCATGACTTCTGGAGCCAAGTATTTTGGATCACCTTCTGCTGCCTCATACACTTGGCCCTAAGGGACAGAATTGTATTATGTATCTGAAGATCTACAATTGATCTTGCACATACAGTAAACTGTATAACTTACATCACACACACACACATATATTCACACAATATATTCACACCATCCCCGACACCGGCTCCTACTACCACCTGAGATCCCTTGTCCGAGAATTGCTGTTCGACACCACAACCGCATCCAGCCCATACGTGCACGAACTGATCGCTATAAGAACAGCCCAGTCCCAACCATTGTAAAAATTATCAATAACTTGTAATAAATCAGTGTATTCACTCCCAGTAAACACTGCTCCTTACACTGTCACTATGTTGAAATGAACTGTAGTTTGAGCTTTTCCCCATCTAGTTATTATATGTCTTATTTGTGTCACTTATGTTACTCGTATATTATTTGTAATTCGTAACCCATTCCCCAAATATGTAACTGTATATTTTCAGCCTTCTGGCTGCCAAGCTCTTTCAATAAACCGTTAATTATTTATTATTATTATTATTATTATGTCTCTTGACACAAGCCCTAAAACTAAAAATCCTGCATTTACAAGTAATCCACAGCTCCAACTGTTACAATTTGTATATAGTTTTATGACATGCATTTTAAACAACCTGCCAACTCACTTTTGGATGGCTGTTGGAAGAGGCAGTCATATGAATGTGTTATATATATTCACAAGTAACAAAAATCTTACCTGAGAAGTGTCGATGACTAGCCCAAAGTCTCCCAGCTTACACAGACCATCAAAGCCAAAGAAAATATTCTCTGGCTTTATATCCATGTGAACTAAATTATTATTGTGCAAATGCTGTACACCCTGAAATATAAATTAGAAGGGAGGATTAATAAGGACAACTTGAAAATTCATTGGTGGGATTGATTCCTTATACTACAGTGCATGTGTGTGTGTGTGTGTGTGTGTATATATACAGTATATATATATATATATATATATATATATATATATATATATATATATATATATATATATATATATATATATATATATATATATATATATATATATATATATATATATATATACACACACAGTACAACTTCTCAATACATTTTGTTTGCTCCACTGCATGTAGTGTATTTATGTTTATTAATGGGTTATAATCATTATACACACCATTTTTTTTATTATGACTTTTTGTTGTTGTAATCTCTAGTACTGTACAGGTATTATTATTATTATTATTTTTTTAGGAACAAAGTATCTCAGCTTTTATAATGGAAATCTATGGGAAAATGTTATCCAATTTACATGAAGGTTTTCAGGAACAGAACCCTTTCATAAATCAGGAATGCCTGTACTGTACTGTATACAAAACAACTAAAAATTTATTGGGGGTAGAACCAACCTGCAGTAAATCGACTAGATATTCCCACACAATGGACTCCGGAAGGTCATGGCGATCTTCAGCTACATTAGCAAGGGAGGTCCTGCACACTTCTGTCAGAAGATAGAGATGCTGCCGCTCCTCCCATGCACGATAAAACTGCACGCAATTTCGATGCTGTGGTAGTTTTTCATGCTTCTGCACTTCTTCCATTCGTCTTCGTCTGAAACAACAAATAGGTTTGTGATAATGACAATCCTCAAGAAAATCTGGGTATACATAGTGATGCATATGGGGAAGGACATCATCCAAGAGTGGATTACTGCAAACAGTTGATGATGGACAAACTCTGAATTAGATCACTGGTAGATGTACACCTCTATATGCTTCATCATTTTCAACTTGTATCAACCCATTGCTTAAGTGAAAGTTTTCCTCATATGCTTTCACAATCTTGGTCTTGGTCTCTCCTGGTCACTTAATGAACAGGGAAGAAGTACAAAATTACCTTCCCATAGTCTAGTTACGGTGACCATTATTATCATCAAAATACTGCAATCACTAGATGATGAAGAACAATGACCAGAGAGATATTTGCCAAACTAATTCTAATGAAACAATGAATAAAAAAACAAACAATAACTATACCTGTCTCCTTCACCACGAAATCTAAGAAGAGTCCTCTTACAAGCATACAGCTGACCATCCTCCTTGCTACGGACACGGAACACCTCTCCAAATGACCCTGCCCCCAGCCTCTCTTCTATGACATAACACTGCTCAAAATACAGTGCTGGCTTTTCTGCACTGTAGACTGGACTTTGGACAATAAAAGCTGTAAAGAAGTAAGTATTATCAACACACTCCTCTTAATATTGTGTGGGGGTAGATGAAGATACAGAGACACTTCAAAGGAGAGGGAAATAGTAAGGGTAAGAAGAACAAGATAAGTACAATGTTGAGAAAGAGAGGAGGCGGCAGCTAAGACAAAGAGTAGAATACTGTACCCAATTGTACTGCACATATCCAGAACTTCTATATACAGTAGTCAATCTTAGCTTCACTTTGATTTATAATACCAAATTAATTCACTTGCCAGTATTTACTGTATAATTATTAAGTTGTGCCTCAGCAAAAACATGGGTACAGTAAAATAATTCCCAACACTTTAATGACTAAAACTTCAAGTCCTAGACTCAACAATAGTGATGTAATTAAAAATACTTAACACAGTACAGTAATTCTAAAACTTCATTTGGCTGCTCCAAAAGTAAAGAATTTACACAAATATGCATTTAGTATTTTGATGCTATAATAAACCACTAATTTTTCTTCACTATACTAACAAGTGTATACTTTAACAGTAAACCAATTTTGAAATATATGACAAGTAATATGGAAAATTTGAAGCCTGTGTAATAGTACAGTACAACAAATACACAAAGATGAAACAACCTTCCAAATGTGAAATATGGAAAGAAAATAAGTTACAGTACCTAAATATCTCTTTCATCCCACAAAGTACTTCTTGTTCTATTCATTTCTAAATCTTAAAATTTCAACTGGACTCATAATTATGTGCACATTTTAGTCAAGTTCCTAAGAAAACAAATGACACACACATTCCACCCTTCAATAAATTGAAATCTTTTACCTGCTCAGTTTTTCTTAGTCCCTACACTGTTAAATGACTTCTTATCCTCACATCCATAATAGTATCCTAATCTCACAAGATTCACTTGAGCCTATGGAGCATTTAACATGCAAAAATTTCAACTCCTTTTGTCAACTTATGAGATGATTGGCCTTAATGGATTGCACTATACTGTATTGTGTCAATGTAAGACTGTAAAACTCAACCCACACGGTAAACACTCAATACTACTCACATGTGTCTGAGTCATCTCGGAATGACACTGGCTGGGGGCGGTCAACATCAGGTATCCGTGTAAAAATTCTTGTCACTGGACAACTCTTCACTGGCGCTCTTGGAGGCTGAGCAAACTTGGGAGTACCACGGGACTGAAGGCAAAAAAAGTTACACAAAACATAACATTTACAGTATTGTACAGTACCATTATCTAAAAACATTTAGGCACTTACCACTCTTAACTAAAATAAGATCCATTTATAAAAAAAAGTTTACGTTATTTAACCAATGAAGGAACATTAAGTGATTCTATTCTTGTTTTTGTGTGTTTTTGTATAAAAAAATTTTTAAAGCTAAATCTATCACTTTTGGGAGTTTATAGTCTTCACAACAGTTTGGACACTTTACCAATGTACACAATATACAGTACTCACGTGAATGAGAAATGAATATAATATCCCACAAAAGTGGCTTTAGTGAGCTTTAAATGTCAATGCTCTTGTAATCTGATCCTGTCTATACTGTATCATGTATATATAGTAAACATGTCTGGTTTTGTACAAAATCAAAAAATCATCTTATGCTCCTCCATTGGTACGATTGGTGTTTATGACCAAGGACAATTGACAAAGCCATGAGATGCTTGTTTCCAGTAGAGACCTTATCTCAGCAACCTCTGGTGTTCTTAAGGCCAGGCAGTCACCCATCCAAGTACTAACCAGACCCAACATTGCTTAACTTCACTGATCAGACAAGAAGCTGTTTCCAATGTGGTACTACCCCTCACTTTCCCTCATCTTCAAAGCCCAGCCCACTTTGTAAAAAACATTGTCATATCTCCATTAATACACATCAGTGCCAAAAATAAAGGTCACATTCTTTTAAATCACCTTTAAAAAAAAAAAATAAACATTTTTTTACTAATCTTCCATTAGTGTCACTAACAAATTTTTACTTGTGACAAAAAATTGTGAAACATGAAATATAAAAAAATTGATAATACTGAACAAGTCTTTTTTTTTATAAACTCCGGATAAGACAGAATTAGAATGTAATAAACAAATGGCAGTGGATATTTTGTCGTGACCGGCTAAGTTCCTACTAACACTATTCTACCGTGAGTGCACTGATTAGCCCCTGGCTAGGAAGTTAGGTAAGGTTAGGTCAGGTTTTATTAGGTTCTAGTAAATGTCGCCTCTTTTATAATAATAGGTATGTTTACAGCTACACAACGATCGACTCACGGCGAAATAAATGCCAAATGCCGTCAGTCATAGTCAAATATAGCTCTAGTGGACGATTAGCCAGTTAGAGCTCACTCACAGTAAAATGACAGTAAGAACTTAGCCGGTCACGACAAAATATCCACTGCCTAAACAAATTCTCTATTCTATAAAATCATATTTCTTGAAGGAGTAGTTAAGCCACGTAAGTTACTTCAATTTCACCCCATACTGAGATGTTCTGAGACGCCAACTGACCACAACGGCGCCAGGTCAGTTATAATACTTATGCCCCATTACTCTTCCACACATTATATCACTCCCTGACCTCCAACATTTTCATACTGTGGAAGTATATAGATAACATTCCTGTGAAATTTTCATACAAGTTTACATTGAGTCACCATATACAAAGACAAAAATAACGAAGATAAAAGGGAAGACAGAGTTAGGAACGCAGGACAAACACAGTATTATACACCTCTATTATCCTCCTTCACAACATTTTATCACTCCCTCACCTTCTTGGTTGATAGTGCCCGCTGTTCTGTGATAAATACCGGTGCTGGACGTTCATATGAAGGTGAACTGTTAGTCCCACCTAATAGAATCATCTTCGCGGCAAAACAACTTCAAAACAAACATGGTCAGTGAGCGGCGCATGCGCAACCCTGGTGAGGCGAGGGACGACGAGCGTAAACTAACTGAGAGAGTACGGCACTATTTTATTTCTTTGGTTGTGTTGCTTTATTTCCGCCACTGGGTCGTCACTTTACTAAACATTTAACATTATTGTCCCCACTACACTTTTTTATAATAATTTATTCATTGCACATTTTACCGGACTGTTTCCAAGCGGCTAACGAGCAGGGATAGATGTCCCGCACTCCACGTCCTATAAACTATAGTCCCACATCTAATACTCTTCAACATTATTGCCTATATTATTGGATATTCCTTGATTATCCCTCTGTGAGGATCGTTTTGCCACAGGGAATCATTTATTACACCACTTGGTTGAGCCCGATATTTTAGATGAACTTAAGTACACTACCGACAGCTTTCACTGCATCATAATTAGTTAGCTCTCTTCTTATCTATTTTTTTTATCTTTCTGCGGTATCTACTTTTCCTTTCGTCTGTGTTTGTGTGTATCATTTTTTTTCTTTATTTCTCTCACTCAAGGAGGATACTGAACAGACGACTATCAATTGTTTTCGCGTAATGGACATGTTAAATTATTACCACGAATATGACCGTGGCAGGTATTTTTATTAATTTTCAGACGACATGAACCAACACGACCTACTGTGACCTTAAAAAAATTACCTTGAGATTGTTCGGTCAGGTTAAGTTAAATTTTGGTCACCTTCATGTAAAAAGTACCGATAAGTAAATGAATAACAAGTTAACAGTCGTATTCATAGTAAATTTTCCAACATTAGCCATCTTTCGCGGTTACCATGACAACGGCCAACAACACATGGCCGTCAGCAGAACCTGTTGATGTCGTGCGTCAATAATGCCAGCTTAATACAATCTGTGGTGGCTGGTGGGCGTGTGTCCTCCCCCTACAGCAGAAGCACCGTCTCCTCGTAATCGTTCGCTCCCAGAACCGAAAACAGACAGGAACGTTCCTCTTCAGTGACAAGGACTGTGATTCTCCGCTGAATAGCCACAGATATAAGAAGAGTGAACTTAATATAGAAAATAAAACTGCCATTTTCAGCCTGAGCGAAGTACAGCCGAAAGGTCAGCATCTGTGGGTCTGTTCTTATCTTTTTACATTTAATTTTTGCTCCTTAATATTCTCTTCCGTCACAACAAGAACACTTATGTTGATTTTGAGGCGATAGACAACTACATATTTTTTATAGATAAAAATATTTTCATTCATAAGAATCATCATACAAGTTCACATTGGCTCAGCATGGACATTATACAGTATAGGACAAATGCATGTAGTAGTATACAATTAGTTGATTTCACTAAGGATAGCCCAATAAAGCCGTTCAAGGGTTACTTCCACGGGTCCTGGACGGTGTTAAATATTAGCAATTCAGATAAATTTACATGACGGTGTTGTACTATTTGGGTTAAAAAATTTAATGCGTTCACTGGGAAAAGGATAGACGGTCCTGGGTCAACATATTATGGCGGGAAATTTTTATTAATTTTTCCAATTACACCTAAAAGACTACAGACTCATCAGAAAACATGTGGCCTATCACAACGTAAGTAACGTCACAATCTATCAATAGGTTAAAGCTGGCCAAAGGTGTTGGTGTAGCCTAGTAGTTATTAAATAATGGCGTACGCTTCATAATTTGGGAATAAACACCAAGGTATAGATTTTTCAAAGGGTTGTACGAATAATTGGTCCTTATTAATGAATAGCCTAAACTGGTTGAGACTGTAACTTTACGATATAACTTATTTTTACCACTAATTCGGACACAAAATTAGGGTCGAGTCTTTCCAAAGATTATGTACGTTACTGTAATTTTATTCTCAACCGATATGAAGTAAACGTATCTATTTATGACGTCTCGGTGTAATTTTCATTTCATTTTGGTCGTTACTTTTGTTCTCGAGGAAATCACTTGTTTACAGTCTTACATCTCCAAATATAAGAAATAGTCTACTTTGGAGTCTTGGAGAAACTGAGCCGAGTTATTGATGAAATTATAGTGTAGTTCCCCTCGTAATTTAGCTCTATGTAAACAAACCTGTGGTGCCAGTTTTTCATTTTTTTTTTAATATTGGGGCAATTTCTTTAGGCAAAAATATACCTTATATCATACTGGGGTCTATATTATTTTGCTAACCGCTTTTATGCAATTTCTGTATACGCAATGAATTCCAAACCATTTTTATCGAAAGAATTTAGTTATTCCCAAAACCAATTTACACCAGCATGAGGAAGCGTTATATAGTACAGTAATCACGGTGGTCGTTGTTTCGGTATACTAATTTAAAGCTTACGAGGGACATAAAACCAAAATAAACCGAAAAGAATAGAAATGAGCCTGAATCAAATTAAAGAACAAAAGTGAAACAAAGAAATGAGCTAAAATTAATTATAAAAATGGCGGAAAAAAAGTCCTATTGTTCATTTTGGATTAATATAAAGCAAATGCTCCAGAATCTACGGTAGGGCGAAATATATGCACACTACTGCTGTACATTCGTGGCCTAGTGATCACGGGGAAACTTAGTGCGTTCAATTTGTCTTTAATTGTCAATTTCAGCCAATTTATTTTTATAATATTTTTGTTAAGTTAGCTGAGAGGTAAACAGGCGTTGTTCTGGTTTGTTTTTAACGAAGCAAAGTTAAGCAGAATGGGTGCAGCCACAAAGTATATGCCCGTACTCGGTCAATATTAAGCGCACATGTAAAAAAATAACCACCAAACTTTAGCTCTATGTAAAAATTGTAGTCGTGCACGGGGAGGGGGCTTTTAGGTGAGCCCCCCCACCTATGTAGACGTACGGGACCATTCGATGGGCTATTTGCATAAACACACCAAACTCCAGTACTCTATCTTAAATATCGTTGACAAGGAAATAGTTTTGTTTTTGTTTTTTTAATGAGAGGGTGGAGGGAGGCTGCACATTGGGTCCAACCCCCCAAAATTCCACCGTGACATTGTTCTATAAAGGTATTAAGGAGAGCACTTAAGCCATCGAAAGCAAGTGTATTTTTTTTTTGCCATAATGCTTCAACTTCCGTTGTTATTAAAAGCCGTTCATTGATTCTTTGTATCCTCAGCCAACAACTTTTTCACGTTTCACATAAATCGAAATATATCATTTGACTACAACAAAACCTACCTCACGTGACTGAACTTTGAGAGGTCTTAGTTATATCAACTGAAAAATACATGAACTATCAGGTACCACAGCAAATAAATGTACAAGAAAACGCACCTGCCTACACAAACACACACAGACAACTACAAAAAAATTCTAATGATTTGTCTGCAGGCAGGGTCTGCTAATTCAGGGCCACAAGGGTCTAGTTACAGATACATAGTTGTTAATATGTCTATGGGTTCACGGTTGAATAGCCTGGCTGTCTGTGTAACTCTCGCGGCTGCGTTAGTGTTACATACACACGTATAAGTAAGTGTGCAATGTTTTAAACATCTCCATCAAGCTTTGTGTACGGTACCCCACACACGTATCGATCACCGCAGCAGAACACCTTTAACTAAGACAACATCATTTTAATATAGATGCCACCGAAGCTCTCTACCAACACGTACTGTACACACTATACTGTGTTACTGGCGGAAGTTCTTGTCTCTTTTAGGGTCTTTTTATGTACTGTATTACTTTATGATGGATTGTAGTGTTGTCATTATATATTATAGTGTGTATATATGATAAGTTACAGGCCCGTCTTTAGGCTCCTTATTAGTGGTAGTAGTAGTAGTAGTAGTAGTAGTAGTAGTAGTAGTAGTAGTAGTGTTATGTTTCTTGTTCTCATTATCATTATCGATGCTCTTTCAATACCGTGATTGGTATTGTTTTTATTATAATTGTTTATAATAATTCTTCTCTGGCAGGTGGCTCGGCACACGCCTACAGGTAACTAATATCGGGCGACAACGTAGACTGTAGATAGATACCTTTAAAAGCTTTCCCATTATTCTGAAAATTATAGACACATGCCCTGATTCATGATCTATTTTGGTCTTCCCTCAAAGTAAGAATGTGAAAGCATTTTTGCTCCCATATAAATATTCCTCTTTAGACTGTAACAACAAAGACAAGACTTCCTTATGCATAAAACGTCGGAAAGACTGAGTTTTAGCGCTAAAAGATCACAACATGTGAGACAATAATGACAAGATGTTGAGTCGTAATAACGGGGCGTCGGGGCTACCCGCCAAAATTACGCGGGAAATTTAGCCGCCACCAATGACGTCACTACAACAGCAAAGTCCGGCGGTGCGCCGTGGGCGTGCCAGGGGCAGATCACAGAGCCAACCCGCATCTACACGCCCATTATCCATTACACCCCACAACAACGGCCACACCACGCCCGCGAGTGTAGGGAATCGTACAGGGAGGAAGGAGTGGACTATACACGGCGTGAGCACCAGAAGGCACCACTCCGCACAGCCAGACCCAAAGGTACAGTAGCCTACCTCTTAACGTATTGTTTTTATTGTTTCTTTTCATTTGTAATCGTTCTCACATTTTGAAACCTTTTGTTCTTAACACATCACCACTTTTCCTTTTAGTAAACATTGAGTGTAAATGCCACGTCTTGATATGTCTAATATGGTAATGGAGAGAAGGGAACAAGGTGTGAAACCATTCATAGTCGACCACATCAGAGATACAGCTAAATGATACTAGTTAAACATGGCAGGGTGACCACTGACCACTACAAGTTATGTATAGATGTCAGTGAGGACAGGTTATGTGTATGTATCGTACACGTGAATACATAGTTTAGCGTGGTAGTATAAACAATTGGTAAGGACACATTGTACTTGTAGGCCTACCCAGGAGACCGCCGAAGTCTGGGATCTCCAGCGCCGTCATCCTGCGGTTCGACATCGTCATCAGTGCGGACTGTCGAGGCCTTCACGCCCGCTTCCCGCATGCGGGGGGCCAGGGTGAGCGGCCCCCCCAAACTAGGGGTGTTCCGCCCTCGTCCAGCGCCCCCCACCACCTTCAGGAGGATGTATGAGCGTGGTGACGTGCCCGTGACTCTCCACCATGACCACCACGGCCACAACCTCCGCTGGAAAGTGAGTGTACGGGTGTAGGGGGAGTGAGTGGTAGTCGTGGTAATGGTGGTAGTGGTGGTAGTGAGTGGTAGTGGTGGTAGTCGTGGTAATGGTGGTAGTGGTGGTAATGGTGGTAGTGAGTGGTAGTGGTGGTAGTGAGTGGTAGTCGTGGTAATGGTGGTAGAGGTGGTAGTGGTGGTAATGGTGGTAGTGGTGGTAATAGAGAGGGGAGACTTCTACAGTCCACTGAACGTGACATTATGTGTGGCATTTACCTGAGACCATCACGACACTGTAGCTCAGGGGAGAAGGGCGTAGGTGAGGAGAAGAGGCTGGCGTGAGGGGAAGGCTGGGGTGAGGGAAGAGGGGGAGGGGGGGGGGGAAGAGGCTGGGTAGGGGGGCTAGGGTGAGGGGGAGAGGCTGGCGTGAGGCTAGGGTGGGGGAAGGAGGCTGGGGTGGGGGGGAGGCTGGGGTGGCTGGCGTGGGGGAGGGGAAGAGGCTGGCGTGAGGGAGGGAGGGAGTGGGTGAGGGGAGGGCTGGGGTGGGGGAAGGGAAGGCTGGGGTGGGGAAGAAGCGTGGGTAGAAGGGGCTGAGGGGAAAAAAGGGTAGGCTGGGTGGGGAAGAGGCGTGGGTGAGGAAGAGGCGTAGGTGAGGGGAAGAGGCATAGGTGAGGGGAAGAGGCGTATGTGAGGGGAAGAGGCTGGCGTGAGGGGAAGGAGTGAGGCAGGTGAATAGGTCACGAGAGACGAACATTAACTCCCTCCCGCTGGTCAAGGATCACCATTAACCTTAATTAAGAAGAGTTAGGCAGGAGGCCCAGGTGTCACAGCGAAGCAATCTAACCTAACCTGACCTAACATACCCTGACCTAATCAAACGTAACCTAACTATCCTGACCTAATCTAACGTAACCTAACCTAAACTAGCTATACCTAACTTAACCTAACCCAACTGAACCTCGAAGCTAACTAGATGTAACTAAATCTAAATGTACCTAACCTAACCTATGTCGTATAACCTAACCTAACCCACCTATAACCTAACCTCATGAACTTAGTCAAAAATTACCTATAACCTAACCTAACCTCATGAACTTAGTCAAAAACTACCTATAACCTAACCTAACCTACCCTGAGTGTGTACAATAACCAAATTGACCTCTAATCGTTGTGGCAAATTGTTCAAGGCTTTGATGTGTACTGCCCGGCTCCTGCTATATACTGGTCATTAATTACATGATGGGGAGAACCAATCATGTTTAAAACGCATATGTAACGTGTATGTAACGTATTTGTAACGTGTATGTAACGTGTATGTAATGTGTTTATAACGTGTATGTAACGTGTATGTAACGTGTATGTAATGTGTTTGTAACGTGTATGTAACGTGTATGTAACGTGTTTTCCCTTATGACGCGATCAGTGGCCGTCAGTTTGATTGACTATAACACTTCCTCCACCTATACCTCTGCCTCCTTTTCTATCTACCCATCTCCATTCTTCCATCCTTCTCTCATTGAACTCCTTCCCTAATTTAACCTCTTCCTTCTTCTCTCTTTTTCTTCTTGCGTTTCTCTCATTCTTTATCACTTGGCTTCAACAACTAAGTATTCCATCAACAATTAATTCTGAATTACGGAAGATATTATATTGTTCACCTGTGTTTTATATGTATGTCGTTAATAACCCGTTACGTCGTGTACTGCAGGTGGAGGTGGAGAAGTTGGATTACCACCACTACCTGCCTCTGTTCTTCGACGGACTGAGGGAGACGACCCACCCTTACGACTTCTTCAGTAGGGCGGGTATCAGGGACCTGCTAGCCCGCGGGGGTGACAAGATCCTCCCCGTCATTCCCCAGCTCATTCTCCCCATCAAGAGTAAGTACCTGGGTGGGGAGGGAAAGTAGCGAGTTGACCTGAAGATTAAGCACCCCAAGCTAATTTCACCTGGAGATTAAACATCCTAATTCCTTAACGTAACATAACTTAACCTAATCTAACACCCCTCTCTCCATTTAACTAGGGTTCCTATTTTTCATAAGATCCTCGTATGTTTATTTTTGTACTGACTCGACCTTATCCTCAACATATTCTAAATTAATGCATTTTTTTCTTTTTGTCACACACACACTGGGTCATTTAGTCACAAATTTTACTGTTTACTTATCAGTTATCACCTTCCTAACTATAATCCACGATAAAATAGGATGTTTGGTGTGGGACCGTTATAGTAGGGTGAAAATCCAGCACCAAACTGTCGCTAATATTAGAGCAAGATAACATAGGCCCTCCGCGGCTAAAGACAACATCCGCTTGTTGTCGTGTGTGTACCGACCCATTATGGCAAATTTATCTCCCCCCATCTGCTTCCTCACCTCCCCTTCCTCCCTCCCTCCTAATCGTCTATCGAGATCAAAGGAACAAACTAACAGAAACATTAGCCCGCCAAAATGAACATCGTGTATTGTGATCCTCTTTTGTTTGTAATCATAATCAAAGGAATCACCCAAATACTGTATACCCAAACATTGGTGTTTTCTCTAGTTATATTACTTTATTATTATTGTTGTTGTTATTCTAAGGATTTTGAATATCAATGGGGAAAAATCATGCTTTTATATTTGGGCATTTTTGTCGTATAAAATGAACCACCTAAAATCATCAGCAGCAATCATCCAAATACAGTACACCGAAATATATTGTTTATTGGTTTTATCTGTTTTTATAGTACAGTAGCCTACGTTTCTTAGGGCAAATAGGGAAAAAATCATACGGTAATTGTTAGCATTTGGGTGATATGTGCCATATGAAATGAATCACTACATATTACTTCGATTAACTGTGTAATGCGGTATTATAAATATATGTACAGTACAGTACGTATACTGGTACATGTAGCATAACTTTAAACTCGCCCCTCTAACATTCTCATACAATTTTCAGGCACCTCCACGAACACGTCCTCGCCCCTGAAAGCATTGCAGTAAACAAACGATAACATTGTAATGCTTAAACATGTTTAAAGGTTTCGTTGCTGTTACATTTGTTTTATCACATACAGTATATAGTTACAGTACATCTCTTGTAATCTTTTATTGTTAATTGATGGAAGTGTACATTGTTAACCATGTTACGCGCTTATAGACCTTAAAGACTGCAGGAATAGGATTATAACGTAAACGTTAGATCATAACTTTTATGGTTATATTCAGTTAGTTTATATTAAATTATTTTTAAAATAATATATTTTCACACATTGAAAGAAACAGAGCATCACAGCCCACGAAAATTTTTATGAGATGACAGATTGTATCTGCAGAACTGTGTATGTTGGTGAATTGAGCTTATTAGGGGCCGTCAACCATGACAAAATTTAACTTTCACATTTGTAATATTATTATGGTTATGGGTCTACTCAAGCATAAAATAATTAACTCATGATAGATACATTACTTGATATTCACATTGGCTTGAAAGACATGGTGTGAGGGTGTGAAGAATACGAGGTCCCTGGATTACACATAAAAGGCTCCCCACCACGCACACACGGTTCGTAGTTTGTAATGTTATCACTGTTTCAACACTGTATTAGCTTGTATTATTATCTATCCAGTTATGGTGGTCAGTGTTGGAAAAGTACCGCAAACAGAACCGCTTACCCTAAACCCTGTAGTAGTTATGGTCACCTATAATTGGGGTGCAGGCCTTTAGGCAAATAGGTAAAATATTAGATATGACGAAAATGTAAGCTTTGGAAATCAAACTCAATTTATTACATTTCTCTTTCTCTTAAAGTGGATTTGATTTCCAGAACTCTGCATTTTGTACTTCTATGTAAATAAGCACTTCCCTACAGGCGCCCTAAACACCCGCGACGTGAGGGTGATCTGCACGGTGCTGAAGGTCCTGCAGGAGTTAGTCATGTCGGCGCCTTTAGTGGGGGAGTCCCTCGTGCCCTACTACAGGCAGATCCTCCCCACACTGAACCTCTTCAAGCACAAGAACGGTAAGTACAATACCTGCATCGTTTGTGTCTGCCCCCGCACTCTCCACACACACACAAACACACACATTGGGACCTAAAACATTATCGCGTGAACTATCAATCACTGAAATGAACCCTCAATTGTATAAAAAAAAGATACAAGTAATTTAGGTTAAGTTTCTGTGCAACTTTTATGCCGCAATGGCCGCCATATTTGTGTCCTGTTTATTTACTTGTTAATGACGGAACACTGAACGATTGTCTTCAGTGAGGTTTTATTTATCTAGACTATATTCATCCCTGAGTTTCTTGTTTATAAATGTAGTTTGTCATTTTGAATAATTTACATATGTATTGATTAATATGATGAGCGTTTGATGAAATATTATTTTACAGTTAATTCAGGGGACGAGATCGACTACTCACAGCAACGGAGAGAGAACCTGGGAGACTTGATCCAGGAGACACTGGAGATACTAGAGAGACATGGAGGCCGAGACGCTTATATTAACATCAAGTACATGGTGCCCACCTACCAGTCCTGTGTCATGAACTGAAGAAGGAAGTCCTGTCCACACCGCAACTGGGTCCTGATTGGTAACCCTTCAAGTCGTAGGAGTTGGTTGTTGCTAAATGCGTTGTGATGTCACATCGAGAAATATACGGCCATTGCTTTTTTTTTTTCGATGTTTGGTATATCGCTGTTGTCTTTTTCATCAAGAAACATTAATGTTTTCCTGATTTTTTAAAGTTGTATTAGAGATTGCAAATAAATTAAAAGCTATTGAATTAAGTCTGACATAACGATCACGTCAAACTTATACGATTATTGTAATGATCGCAAAGTGTTAACACAAGACCGTCAGTTTTAAAAGATTCTTACGTTGAAATGTGTCTTGACGGGGAATAAGAGAATTCGTTACAGAAGAGCAGCTTCAAAATTGTGGCCACCGTCTTTAAGTTAGAGCCAGTAGGGTCTCACACCCTCGTTTAGAAGAGAAACATATTAACGTATTAACCTTTGACAATCTGAGGCCTGATTTTTTACTATACTTAATATTCACGCTATGTTATCACCTATGATGTCATATTTCGATATTCTCTTCAATATCAGCTCCACAGTTTATGGCTCTCACGTTGTTATCTAAAATTACGCTTTGTTATCATATCCTTACTGCATTTATTGCGTCAACATATTCTCAGAAATACTGATAATGATTCAGGACCTGCACATGTGCATCATGGAGACTGTACAGTACTGTAAAGAGGTGAAAATTAAGGCAATAGCAGATAAAAGCCGACTTTAGTTGTGTTGAAGGAAAAGTAAACGTATTGAGTGAATTATAATTATAGTGTATACAGGTACGGTCTATCATTGTGTGTAGTGTATATTATGTTGGTTTATTGATTCACAGAATATGTGTAGGTTAATAACTTAGTGTACAAGCTTGTATCAGATGTTGATTCTTGTAAGTGAATATATTCTATGTACGTACTGCATTTATTGATAGGTGGATCAAAGAAAGCGGATATTAGTTAATGATCAAGTGTGTCAAACATGGTCAACAGTTAGATTAAAAATACCGAACACAAGGAGAAATGGCTCCGATTTCATGTACTAATAGCTACATGATAGGTTACAGGAATAGTAACTCAGGATATATAGCGGGCTTAAAGCCACGACTTATACTGTAGGTAGTTGAAAGTTATCAAATTATGGGCACATTAATGTTAAAATGTGCCATTACGCTTTGACAACTAAGGTGTTCAAGAGCGAATTTTAGGTTAGTAAATACACTAGTCATAAACATATAGATAATGAAAATAGATACAGCGTCTTGAAATATTATAGCGGTGACGTAAGGCACAACGAGTTTAGAATCAGCTGAGAGTTGTCGAAAGTCACAACTGTGGTCGACAAATTGGACAGTGTTAAAAAAATGTGTTACGAATGACACCTCTACACCGTCAGATCTTTTAAGCTAGACGACCCTCTCCTAACCTAACGAACTTTAGGTAAATTGGGTAGGTTAGGATAGTTGCGGTTGGTTAGTTAGTTTCATCTGAAAGAAATGGTTAAACGATTGTATTCATGAATGTTCTTTTGACATAGACCATTTTGCCCATGGATTTTTAAAGGGTAAATGCTATGTTATCGGAACGTTATCATTTTCGTGGTTTAGGTAAGTTATCCTCCAAGTCGTTAATATTCCGATATTTGTAACGTTATCCTCCGCCTATACTTGACAGGTAGACTAAGGTGTAGACCCTAGGTAAGTCGGCTGTCTTCCGTAGGATACAATTACGTATCTTAAAGTTCCTCTCATCCTCAAAACTGTGGATTTGTGTAGCAAAATAGTCCCTGAGAAGACCTAAGGCTAGTAACTAATAGTTAACTAGTACACGCAATATAGCCTCGTGGAGGCCATTAATCTAGTAACATATAGTAAAATGTATTAACTGTTGAATAACTGATTTCTCAATTAGTATAATTTATTTTAACTAAAACATCATTTAATAAATGAAACGTGAGATCGTCAAGAACCATCACTACAGTAGAAAATGGATATCAACACATAACCTCATCTAGTAGATAAACTCATGTAGTAGCTCGCCATAACTTGACAATGACTATTATTTGTTTTATGTTTGCTGTCATAAATGGTTAAATAATACACAGGCTAAATTCATACCTGGGTCAAGCAACGGTCTTAAGAGCTACAGTAGATTGCTATAATCCCAGTACAGTTTATCAATATGTTCTCTGGTCTAAAAGTTTCAATATTTTAATCACAATAATAGTAAATAAAAACGTTAATTATATTATTTCATCTTAAGAGTGCCATATAAATAATTACACCATAATATTTTCAAAATTATCTCGTAACTCAGCAGCGTTTGTTTACATTTTAGAGATAAATAAAATAAAATGTTCTTCATTAATTATTTCATCTGCGTAACAGACTTTGACGTTCACAAATCTGCACATTATGCACACACGTATTTAACAGGAGACGAGGTATGTATGTATACCTGTGTGCACATAGGTGTACACTAAAATAGGTTGCATGACAGATTTTACGAATTACTAAGCGGCCAAAGGTAACTGATTTCCGTAGTTAAGGTGAACAGGGTACAAATGAGGATATAATAGGGCTCACAGTGATGATGTAATAGGGTGCACAGTGATGTAATAGGGTACAAATGAGGATATAATAGGGCGCACAGTGATGATGTAATGGGATGCAAAGTGGTGTAATAGGGCGCACAGTGATGTAATAGGGTGCACACCGAGGATATAATAGGGTGCACAGTGATGATGTAATAGGGTGCACAGTGATGATACAATAGTGCACACTGAGGATATAATAGGGTGCACAGTGCGATCAGTGCACAGTGCAGTTATAAGAGGGTGCACAGTGCGGTCATAATATGGTGCACAGTGATGACATACTGTTGTAATTAAACACAAAACATGATACAAATCCACTGCCTTTATATCACTGCAGGTCAAGATTTCAGGTTAATAAAACACCCATCCATAAGTTTATATATACGCAATGTAGTAAATCTAAATGTCCTTATAGGTGTATCTACGGTAACTATTTGTATACAGCGGTCGTACTAGATTTGCTTCTTGTATCACGAAACCATTCGACTTGTGCCGTAAGCATTAATGGGCTAATTACCCCTTCTGGTACAATTCATAATAGATGTGTTGAGTATCTCTCCTTAAGGCATTTATTAGTTTAACACTTATTGAAAAAAGACAGTTATTTCATGGCCTTTTTATAGAATTTGTTAGTCCTTGAATTTTATATACTGTATATATATATATTTTATATTTAACACCAGGTAGGAGACAAAAGGCACAATGATCTCTGGAAAAAAGTTTTGTACCTTAATTCGTTTCCCAACTGATGTTTAAATGAACGAGGATCTAGTTAACCTATATTCTTACAGTGTTCATAATAATGTGTTATTTTACTGGTGCCAGAAATTTTATTAATTTTATGAGTAAAGTTTGTTAGTATAGACATATTATATTAGTTTATTGGAACCTATTTACCGACAAGGGGACAGTAAGAGTATGTTAATTTATCATTGGAATTTCCTAGTCATATTTTATCATTGCCATTTCCTAGTTATATTTCACAATTGCCATTTCCTAGTTATATTTTATCATTGCCATTTCCTAGTTATATTTTATCATTGCCATTTCCTAGTTATATTTCACAATTGCCATTTCCTAGTTATATTTTATCATTGCCATTTCCTAGTTATATTTTATCATTGCCATTTCCTAGTTATAGTCTAACATCGGTATTTCCTAATTACAATATGTATTTGTTAGTGGCCATTAATAACCGTCCGTGTGATAAGTTAACGCGAGAGGCAATAATTTTAACATGCTAGACTTGGTGATAGACGTGTAATGAGTTTTTCTGAACATATTGCACACTGTGATGTTTAAATAGACATTGTTGACAAGTTTGCGTTTTATATATTCCCTTCTGAACCTTCCTAGCATGAATCGAGAAGGCTGCTGGCGTACGTTCTTTAACCTTTTTCTTGCTACATCAAAATAAAATCGACAGGATAAATACCAATATTATCTATCTATTTTCATGCATATGTCATTAAAAGAGTGTAATTTTTTTAACTGATAGATATAAAACCAGCCCTCGGGTAAGTGCATAACGCTCAAAAAAGTATTTTGCGTGAAACAATGTTTTTATCCACCTATACATGATACATACGTTTATGCATTCCTTTAGCCATACATATATTCGTGTATTAATTCATTCGTACATATGCTCATGCATGCACTCGTCCACACACACACACACATATATATATATATGTGTGTGTAATCGCATTCATCTATTCTTATATACTTACTTCCACGTCTTCATTTATATATACATCCATGAGCATAAATTGGTATTCATCAATCTATACATATATGCTTTTTTTCTTTCTTTCTTTTACGGGGAATAGTCCACCCGGGCACAGGTCATTGACCTACAAAGGGGCCTAGGGGGTGAAAAAATAAGAGTAAAAATAAATTAAAAATAGAAAAGAAAAAGATTATATTAATCTACACCACAAAGATGCAAGAAAACCACCTTTTAAAGTGAGACAGATTGTATGAGGATGGAAACGCAGAAGAAGGCAGAGCATTCCACACTTTGGCTGTGTGAGGAAAGAAGGATGTACTATAACAAGTTATTCTAGTCACGAATCTATTGTGACCGACAGCCACAGAGAAACTGTGGGCACCGCGGGCAAGACGAGTGCTTTTATCCATTCATCCATGCATGAAGCTTGGAAACATCTCAGAGGGCATTACTGTACTTAATCGAATATTTACAGTATACCTGGAGCTGGCGGATGCTCGACCCACTTGGGGTCCCAGCCCAAGGTTGAAGAAGCCACAAGTTCAGAAACTTGTCAGGGCAAACTTTTTTGAAGTGAGAATTAATAGTAAACTCTTGGAACAACCTGCCAAGAGTGTTGTGACGGGCAACGGGAGACCTAATTCAGGTGTATAAGCATCTCAAGGGGTGCTACTCAGTCGAGTGTCCTTACTTGGAGCTGACGGACGCTCGCCCACAAAGGGGTCACAACTCCAGATTGAAAAAGCCGCAAGTCCAGAAAACTGTGAGGGCAAACTTTTTCGGAGCGAGAGTTGTGAACTCTTGGAACAATCTACCAGAAAGTGTTGTGACGGCACCGAGTGTGAGCCCTTTCAAGACAAGACTTGACCATCACTGGAGCGGGTTCAGGTACATTCAGGAGCCGGTGCATGCCCAGCACTTGCCAACAGTGCGTAACAGAGACGTGACCGATCGCCCAAGCGGCTAACGAGCCGATCTTTTGGTGAAGAGGATAAAAGTAAAGGAAAAGTAATCAGAGACGTGACCGATCGCCCATGCGGCTAATGAGCCGATCAGTGGTGAAGAGGATAAAAGGAGTATATGTTACAACTTTGTCTGGTATATGTGAGAGTTAATACTCCTTGAATTAGATTTTCGGTTCTATTCATTGACCTACCTTCCAATCTCCCTCAGTTATAGGTAACCAGGACGGGTGAAGGAAGCCAGTGGCCTGTGAGACTACCATTCTCTTCCACTGAGAAACTTGTTGTCATAAGGTTATTACTGTACTGCGCTTCAACAATGAAGGTCTTTCAGCGCGTAACAAGGTTAATAATACACAAGTCCAAGAACATAAAAAAAAATGTGAGGTAAAACTTTCTGTGTATTGGGAAAATAGCTGAACACGTTTTCTCTATTTCGTCTAAGGTTCAGATGCATTCTGAGGCCAGTGCATAATTATCCAGTACTTGCCAACAATACATAACAGAGACTATGAACAAATAGCCCAAGCACATAACCTAGATAATAAGGAGAGGATAAAAAAAGATACATGTCCAGAAAGATATCGTACGCAAGACGGTTTTATTTTGTTTCTATGTTTACAGCGGTTGAGCTCGCATACAGAGCCATGAAATGAAGCCAACTCTTATATTTGCGCGCTGAGGCAAACCTCCTTGTGCATTAATATGGCGGCACCTATTACTAAAAACCTACTCTTGACTATCTGATCACGAGGTAGCCATTGGTTTACTCGTTGACTTTATATCCTTGAGTATTATCCCGACCCATTAGTTTAAATAAAAGTATACATGGAGTAACTTGGATAAATATGCACATTGGTCCAGTACATAGTCCTTGCATGCATACAAATATTGGACATAGACAGTGGTGATATACAAATAATGGTTAAAAGTAAGTCGACTCGACCAAGGATAGCCCAAGAGAACTAACAAAAGTTTATTATCTTTGAGGTTCGTGAGCTTTTGTCGGTTATATCCGTTGGGGTCCTAACTAGGCGACCATTAGGCACAAAGTTTATTAGCGTCTGATTGTGTGAGTGATGTCAAATAATGAATAAAATTGTCATGATGAGACAAAGTCACAAATTAACGCCACATTGGGGTAAATAAGAGAACGATAATGAAAAAAAAAATATGGTGGGTGGTGGAGCGAGTGATCTGGTTAAGGGTAGCAAGATGGCGATGAGTTGCCTCATTGTTTTGTCAAGGTCCACAAGTTTATAGTCCTCCGTCGGCCTTCAGTGACAAACAGTGGCGCGACGTTGATAATTTGACTTGCACGATATTGTGACTAATTCATCTCCTGTGGTCTAGTTTTAACCCACGGGTGAGTCAAAGGCTTTGGAATTCTAGTGTTATCGTAGAGGGTTGACGTATAGCACACTGTTATAAGCAGATAGACACAGAAGGGGCAGTCAAGTGTGGGGCTGATCAGCAGAACTTTTGAAATTGCTTACGTGGCCTCAGTATCCTGGATGGTACAGTCGTATGGACCAAAACCGTTATCGTTGAAGCTAGTTTCTGAGGTGAATTGTGTGTAGTAGGTGTGCTCTTGGTTGCAGAGTGTAGTATTGCTAAGAGCACCAGGTCATGAGTAGTGCCCCAGTGTTGGAGGTCAGGCTTCAGTAAGAACCTTGGCATGGATTCCTTCTTGTAAGTGGGGTATTACTTTAGGACACTTGAGGGTTAATATTCGGTTTAACACATAACCCAGGCGTCAGAAGGAAAATAGGTTTTTAAATGGAATTTAATTCTGAATCGGGTAAAATTATGGTAAATTTGCATAAGCGCACCCCACTCTGTTAGAAAGTAAAAAATAAATATTTTTCTAGTGTATTTGTGTGTGTTTAGACCGAATATGACCTTCATTTCTGTCGGAAATTGGCCGTTTTTATTTTTATAAAATTTTTTCCATGGGACATTTTCCGAAAAAAAATAATGGCAAAGCGAATACAAAATACACCAAAAAAAACACTAGAAAAACATAAAACAAACCTAACCTAACTGACTCTTACCATATGATGGAATCACCTATTTCTTACCTTATTGGCCTGGTCTTTGTTCGTCGTTGGATTCTGAGATTCTTACAGGTTGCTCATGCTCATTCTCGCTGAACGGGGGGCATAGGCGGGCAGCTTCTTCCAAGAAGTGATGAAGACACTTTACTGAGGTCGGGAGAACACCATGCGATCGAAAAAATGCTAGAGTTTCTTCGTTTTGTTTTCCAAAAACTCACAATCAGCTCCATATAATTTAAGTGACACCCATCACAGACTTCCATGGTCGGAAATGAATATGAATTTGGAAATATGAGACCCAAAATAAAAATCGAATTTGATTGGGCCAAAAATACCGCAAATTAAACCAAAATCATTTTAATTGGCCACGTGACGTGTACGGGAATGCAAGCGCGTGATGATTTATGAAAGAGACACGCAGTGTGGGAGGTGAGGTAGGCGATAATGACGTTAGATTAATGGAAGAAAATAAAGAAAATTTTGGATACGCTATCTCCGTTATTATACATTTGCAACGGTAATGTAATAGATGAAAATTATCTTATAATTAGACGTCTTATTTGAATATGATAATAGATTAGTGGTAGGAATGTGGGGTGCGAAAATGCAATAATACCAAAATTATCGTTTCTGTCATCCACATATTTGAAATGAAGGTCAGAATCGTTCAAAACACATCAAAACCATCGGAAAAACATAATTTCAACCAAACCTAACCTTGCTTGATGACAGAAACGATAATAATACCCGTAATCAAATTTGTTCTATGGTATCTCTTTTGCAAACTGATAATAGAGGGGAAGATATAAGCAATATTTTGATACATTTTAAAATGAGCGTCTGTCAAAGAAATGGGCATCTGTCGAATGTGATGCAACCTTTACCAACCATGATGTGAGAGCCCCCCGGCTAGGAACATGGTGTTAAATTAAGTTAGATTAGGTTTTAATGTACAGTAGTGCTCCCACACCCTCTTTTACCCCACAATTTCCCACTAATTCAAAGCCCTGTCCACTTTTGTGGATTTCAAAATGGTTGCACAAGAAAAACCATGGAAGAAAATCGATTCAGAATTAAATTTCATATTAGAAAAAACAATTTCATCTTGAAGTTCAGGTCATGTGTTAAACCGAATAATACCCTCTTGAGCAGTTAAACCACCTACTTTTGTGTAATTTCCTATTGAATACAACGTCTTTCTTATCCCCCAAACTTGCAATAAATGGGGGGAGGGGGCTCTGTAGAGTGATATGCACTATTCTTTTCATCCGTACAATTGAGTATGTGTTCATACTTTTGTTAATAAGATTACAAAAATAATTCAGTTATAGTCCAAACTAATTAGACAGCTTAACTACCTACTGTAGGATATTTCACAAGTGAACATAATACTGTACTTTCTTACCTCATGAAGTTGTCGAAAATTGCACGAGCACTTTTTTCCTCTTGAAAGCAATTCTACAAGCGTGTCCTTCAACCTTCGATGCAGCCATGACTCCCTCTCCACTTCCCTGAGGGCTGCATGGCTCTACACTATACTGTAATAGAAGATAACTACAGTATTAGCTTACAGTAGGTTAGGTCTGGTTAGTTTAATTTATAAATGATAAATTATATGGTGGTTTCTTTTATTGACTTTTTTATATAGATTGTAGAAACTAATGTTTCAGGTTAGGTTAAGATGGTTCTTATTTTTAATCTTTTGATACTGTATGTGAATTGGTGCCAAAATTTGTAGTCAATTGAAAGTTCACCACACTTTAGCACTCATGTTGTGTTTTGATTGTTCTGTCACTCTGTCTAACAGTTTGACATTGTATAGAGTACAGTGAGAAGAAAGTTCAAGTTTTCATTTTGATCGTGGTCTTCTGTCACTGTGAGATGAAAACAGCATGGCATTGAATGTCCGTTGACTGCACCGCTTCCATTGCCAGAACTGAGAAATGGTAAAATTTATATCACACAAAACATATTGCTCGTGCACTTTTTGTCATTTTCATGAGGTAAAAAAGCATTTACCATGTTGTGTGGTGAAATTTAATACAATTGGTAGTTTAGGTTTGCAACTCAACCTGGACTATACCAAAACTGTACAGGTATCCTTCTCTATATGAATAGGTTGTATTCCTTGAAAACCATTCGTTAAGTGAATATTCTTATAGTGAATAACATACTGTACTCTATGGAAATGACAAGAAAACTCCAATACATATTACTGTATACCTAAAAAATGAAAGCTGTTCACAAACAAAAAACCTACCTAGCTACTGTAATTTAGTAATTAACTACAAGAAAATCTCAATTTTATACTTAAAAATGAATAAATTGGTTCACAAAAAACCTAACTATAATGTACAATACAGTATATGTACCAGGTACTGTAATTAGGACCTGCAATTTAGTACTGTATTTAACTACCTATATTGTAATTTAGTATCTAACACATTAAAAAATTAATCATACCATATAATTATAAAGTTGATACATTACCTTAAGAAACCATCATTTGTACAGTATAAGCGAGAATAGCTTTCGTAACAGCCTAGTACAGTAAAAGGTGTAAGAATAGAATATTCGTGGAGCAACGTTGTACAGTACAGTGTAGTGAGAGATACTTGAACAGTACGGCATTTCAAGCATAAATCAGTACTCTACTGTATGTTTTTTAAGTGTAGGAATTCTTAAATAAATTGCCTATACTTAAATTTTCAAGCTGTTTATACTGTAATTGACTTATGTTCTTTATTTGATTTATTTTGTATATTTTTGTAACATGGTACAAGGTTAGCACAGTATGGATACTTGTAGCCTGTGAGAACAAATATATTTTACAAGCACTTTTATTTACAGGGTGTCCCATAATTTCTTACACCTTACGTTAAGATGGTTCCAGTATGAAGGGAGGGGGGGGGGGGCATTACTGTATGGTGCTTTTGATTATTAACTGTCATGATATGTGAAAAATAATGTTCTGTATTTGTTTCATTTGCTTATCTCATTTTAGTAGGAAATGTTCAGGAGGAAAGACATATGGAACACTATTATTTTCCTGTGATGATGTCAGGTGTATTCATCTTAGTTTTTCCCATAACATAATAATTATGTACTGTAGTTTCAAGAATAATTTAATAGACCATAATGACCATATTCCAATTACAAATTCTTCTACTAAGAATTTTATGGGTTACTGTAGTTGCCTGTCAGCTTGTCATTTACCATTTATTTTAACTTTAAGAAAAAAAAACTTAAACCAAATACCTTTACCTTAAGTAGGGTTGTTTTTTCATCAGTTTGTATAAGAGTGCACCTAGACACAAAATCTGACGGATCCTTCCTTTACTGGCATCCAATAATCTTCTGAGAATGGAATGCCAAGCCTGGAACATGGACCAATCGTTCATTTCAGTATAGATGTTTAGCACTACCTCTACTGTAGGTTCCATCTCTTTTCAGTATACTGTACTATAATAGGCAAGCTGAACACTGTCATGGCTTCACTCCTATGGAAAGCCAACAGTAAGTGCATTCCTGGAGTGTTTGGCTGCACTGTATTACTAATATTTTGGTTCACCTTGTAGACAGATGAGTCTTCCCTTGCCAGCCCAACAAATGCTATTAAAAGTTTCCAGTTTTCCTATTTTTAAGTCACCAGGAGTTAAATTAATCTGGTATTTTTTAGATAAGCAATTTGGTTTTCCACTGAGAAACATGTAAAAGTTTACAGTGTGCCAATCACTCGGTCCTATAAAACTTCAGTTACGTGTATGTTTGTGCTACAGAACCTAAACTCATGCCAGTGAAGGACCCCTGGATTACCCCGCCTTCTATTGCTCTCTTCTGGACTCTTACTATAAAACTAAGTGAGACCAGATATTTTAAGTCACAATTTGGTAGGCATGGCAAACCCATTAATCAGTTTCAGCGTTATATTAGAAGTTGGTTGGGTGAGGTGGGGCTGCCTAACCTAAAAAGGCACAAACTCTGATTGATGGACTTCTATGCTTACCTTATAGTCATGACCAACTTTAGTTATTTATCAGAGACACAATATCACAGTGAGAGTTAAGAAAACTGATGAATTAATATACGTTTTTACAGCTCCTATGTGTTGATGCGCAGGTCAGGTATCAGAATTTAAGACATATTCAAATTGACTTTATTTATAACTGGAGGTAAAATTATCTAAATGGCACACTTAAACAACAATTCAAAGGATTACACCAAGTTAGTACTGTATCAAGATGCACAGAAAATTTGCTGTAACTGGATGTGATCTCTTAGCACAATTGGGTTTAAAAAGTTAGCCTGTGAGAATGTACAGGTAGTATTGCACATTACAGTTACTACAGTTTGACATTACTTGGCATATTAAAATCTCTACAGTAAGATTTATTTTATACATTATTTCTTATTTCTTGTGACTAACTAAACGATTTCTGCAAAAGTACACTAAAAAAAATTACATTACGGTATCACATCTAACATTGCAAATTAGAAACTGAATATCATTAAGCAGGTATTATAATGTACCTCATGCTTCACTGTTCAGCCTCTCCCTCACCAAAACAAAGATAAACGTGCACTGCAGCCCCCTCAGTAACAATCCACACCACTTGCTTTTGCTTCTGATAAAGAGCTTCATAACAGGAAAACTGCTGTACAGTTTTTGCAGTTACTGTACTGTACTTCAAATCCTAAAAGCTTGTTGGCAGCACGTACTCTATGTACAGTTGCCCACAGGTATAGTGATCCACCCCCAGAGGCCTTTCTGAACATGTGGCAATGTCAGAATCACTTACGAATGAATCAGTAATCATGTTGCCTATTCATTCTTAAAGTGATTACAACGTTGCGACAAGCAAGTGTATTTGGAGAGGCCTCCAAGGGGTGGATCACTAGCTCCTCCCCAACTTACGACCTACTCAACTTATGACCCCCGGACATACAACCGCCTCAGTCGTACCAAAATTTTGTCAAATTATGTATTTTCGAGTCCCAACGTCAGTGATTGTGCTGTGTACCGTAGTGACAAAATTTTTGTTTGTAATTCACTTTAAAATGGCTGGCAAGCTTAAAATTGAGAGTTTTGTGGTGCTGAGAAGAAAAAGAGACACCCATTTTAGATTTTCTATGTATACAGGTATTATTTAAGCATTTTTGACTTACGACCTGGATTTGGGTCCCTAACCCCGTCGTAAGTCGGGGAGGAGCTGTACTTGTGGGCCACTGTACCTACTAAGGAATGTTGTGACTTGTAATAGACTTCATTTTGCCAAATGACCTAGCTTGACCTTTTAAGCTATCGATTTAGCAGTGTGACTATTTTGACTTACACAAAATTACCAGTGTTCTGAGAAGTTAATGCCATTTTTCTGTAAAAAAAAAAAACTTAGTAAGTAGCTACAGTATAGTAAATTGTTTGTTTTATTGCTGTGTGGCTGTACTGTAGTTTGATGGTTTATTTTTATTATCATAGTGCTGTGAGATGTGTAGCCAGTAATGCCTGAGTAGTTCAGTGATGTGATGTAGCAGTAGCAGTTCTCTGCTTGAATTGAAAATTAGTTATATTTAGTAAATTTTTTGGTCTGTGTAGCACATTTACAGTATTTTTTTTATTTTCTTGGGTATACCACATGTTGGCCCCCCCTTATATATATATATATATATATATATATATATATATATATATATATATATATAAGAAACCCCAGTCCATGGTTTGAGGGCTGCATGCAACCAACCTCCAGACTGTTTTTGTGTGGCCTTGAGCCTTTCAGTAAAAGGCTAGTTACTTGTAGATGTTTTTGAGTGAAGTTCAGACTACATAGTGTATTGATATGCTCGGTAAATTATAAAATTGAAGAGTAATATTTCTTATATCTAATTTGGTTAAACTGGTGATTACGTTAGTGACTATTTTATCCAATATCCCATTTCGAAGTGCAGTCCGTGTCACGCATCAGACTAATCAATGCAGCTCACTTACATAAAAAGGTTGAGGACTGTTGCCCTAGAATAATTCTGTAGATTTGATTCAAACTTAAAACAGGTAGGCTATATTGTACAGTACTGTATTGTATTTTTTTTTCTTTCATGCTTCCATTTGGTATAGGATTATAGTCCAGACTCCTTCATGGCTAACCTATACTAATGTGGAAAATGGCTGTAAAATGTTGATGATAATTAAATTTTTTTGACAACTATTTGTGCTCTTGTATAGTACAGTACCGTTATATCAAAATATGTACAACATACTGTACAGGGAATATTGGCATGAAGTTTTGTGTAGCAGAGTTGGTGTTTGAACTTGCCTGCCATCAGTAATAATGATAGCTCATCTTTGTGCCAGTTCTTGTAAAGAATTCACCAATGCTCAAAACACTACAAAGTCAAAGACTTGAGAATAGAAAGAAATACTGTATTACAATAAAAGACAACAAAGTGACAGTTCAATTTCTATCATTCATATACCCTTAAGTTTTAATACTTCCTAAACTCCATACAGTAATTCTCTATTGCCAAAAGAGAAAGGTCTTAAATTGTTTATTAAAGGCCTCAACAGAAGTCAGCTGCTTCATGGATGCAGGCAACTGATTGTACAATCTGGATGCCGTATAGGAAAAGGATCGAGCAGGCAGCAAAACAACATTCCTGTACTGCTCTAGGTGCCTTGAGGCATGAAGGATCATCATTACTGTATTGCACAAAATCATCTCAGAATGTGTAGTAAGAGGAATTAGTGGGTTGACCAAATACTTAGGCTCACCAAACATTAGTGTCTAAAAAGTCATTAGGCACAGATTGAACTCTACTGTATCTTGAATTCAGTCAAGAATGGATTAGTGGGAGTCCTTAGTGAGAGAGTAAATATAAGTCTGGCAACCCTGTTCAACACTGTCAGAACTTTCTTCAGTGGATATTTAGGTAGGAAGACCCATAAGAGTTGCAATAGTCAACCCAAGACAAAATAAGTGAATGGAATAGTGTCACAAGACACTCTATCCAAAAACTGTATAACAGCTTATAGATTTTGAAGATGAAAGTTGCAATTCTTAACTACAGGGTACTGAATTTATAGTTTATGCTCTTTGAAATTCAGTTTTGAGTCAAAATACACTCCAAGATTGCAAACAGAATCAACAGGACTGAGTTACACTTCTCCAAAGTTTAAAAGAGCCCAAATCATCTGTGTCATCCCTCTTATTTCCTTGGATGACAATAATCTTGGTTTTGCCATCATTCAGTTCAAGTTTTCTCCTATCCATCCAAATCTTAATACTGTATCAGACATGAAGGATTTCATTATCTCTCAACAATTATTATCTTCACATAAAGCTGTGTATCATTGGCATAGAAATGGTGGGCAACACCATGAGCATCTAGCAGAGATGCAAGACTACTGGTATAGACTGTAAACAGAAGTGGTCCCAAAACTGATCCCTGGGGGACTCCAAACTGTAAAAGGTACATGACCACCTGGAATATTTATGTAGTTAATTACTTTTCATTCTTTTTCTTTCATGTGGGTATATCTGTGTTAATTTATATAGTACAGGTTGACAACCCTTTATCCAAAAACCGAAAAGCTCTAAAAACCTAAAGTTTTTTGTGCGGCCTTTTTTTTTTACAGGGATTATTAGCCCAGCCAGGCACAGAATACTGACCCACATCGGGGCCTGGGAGGCGAAAATGTAATAGTAATAATAATTATAATAATAATAATTATTCATAGTAAATAAAATTTTTTAATAATTATACACCAAAATAAAATAATAATGATAATAATAATAATAATAATAATAATAATAATAATAATAATAATAAAATATAATAATAAAATTAATAATAATAATAATAATAATAATAAAATTAATAATAATAATAACAATAATACTGTAATAATAAAATAATAATACAGTAAAGAAATACAAGAATGAAAAAAAGATCAAAAGTGAGAAACACGACCTAGACCTATGAATAATTATTATTATTATTATTATTATTATTATTATTATTATTATTATTATTATTATTATTATATTTTAGACCCCCAGGCCCCAATGTGGGTCAATGATCTATGCCCAGGTGGGCTAATACACATAAAAAAATCTAACCATTCTGAAAACTGAAATGCCTCTGGCCCCAAGGATTTCGGATAAAGGATTGTCAACCTGAATAAGTTTGTTTCTTTTTCTCAGCTATTGATCAGGGCATAGGAGAGGGAGTTACTTGAGAGTATTAATCTATAAATCCATGGAATTATTCAGACAGATGGGCAGGAGGAGGAAGATGATGGACACAGAGTGAGGTAAAGGCAGGTAGCGACCTACACAGAGGCTAAGGGCAACTCTATTATATTATATCGAACTCCTATAATTGAATGAACGTTAGTAGAATGGCTGGGGGTCCCTGGTGCACCCCTCTCCACGTCACCACCACCTGTGGACAGTCATCAAAGTCTCCAGTGACGTATGGGCTGGGCTTACTGGCCCACACCCAACCAAGAGGATGTGTAGGCCCATGGGAAGGGGGATATGTATGGGCACAGTAGTGTAGTAGGATGTGATGTTTATGGGCACAGGGGGTGTATTACTGTATGGTGTGGGATGTGGGTCCTGGATGGGGAGGGATCATGTTAGGGTCTCAGGAAGGTAGTGGACGTCAATGATGCTTATTGATTTCCCAGGTCACAAGAGTTAAGAGCCACTCGTCCCTCCCATGATGCACCTGTTCGTTATGGCCACTAATGGATATTGTATTTCATTATATAATTACATGTTTATAAGACCAGGAACGTCGGGACGGTGAGGCGGATGGCCATGGTGTTATTGATGGTGAGGTAGAGGGTGTGGATAATGATGGTGGTGATGAAGGTGGTGTGGGGTGGTGATGAAGGTGGTGTGGGGTGGTGAAGTAGATGGTGTGGGTGGTGATGTAGATGGTGTGGATGGTGAAGTAAATGGTGTGGATGGTGATGCAGATGGTGTGAGTGGTGAAGTAAATGGTGTGGGTGGTGATGTAGATGATGTGGATGGTGATGAAGATGGTGTGGGTGGTGAAGTAGATGGTGTGGATGGTGATGTAGATGATGTGGATGGTGATGAAGATGGTGTGGGTGGTGAAGTAGATGGTGTGGATGGTGATGTAGATGATGTGGATGGTGATGTACTGAAGATGGTGTGGTACGGGTGGGTTGGTGATGTAGGGTGGTGATGCAACAGATGGTGGTAATAGACGGTAAGATGGTGTGGTAGATGGTGAGATGGATGGTGATGTGGATGGTGTGGGTGTGGTGGATGGTGTGGGTGGTGATGTAGATGCGGATGGTGTGGATGGTTGTGGTGAAGCAGATGGTGTGGGTGGTGACAAGATGGTGATGGTGATGAGATGGTGTGGGATGTACAGATGGTGTGTAGATGGTGGATGGTGTGGATGGTGGGGTGGTGAAGAGATGGTGGTGTGGATGGTGAAGTAGATGGGTGGTGCAGGATGGTGGTGGGTGATGGGATAGATGCAGATGTGGTGGTGATGTGGGGAAGAGATGGTGTGGATGGTGAAGTAGATGGTGTGGGTGGTACAGATGTGTGGTGGGAGATGTAGTGTGGGTGGTGTAGAGATGGTGGGTGGTGATGTAGATGGTGTGGATGGTGGTGGTGGTGGTGTAGATGGTGTGGATGGTGAAGTGATGGTGGTGGATGATGAGCAGTGGATGGTGGAAGAAGTAGATGGTGTGGTGGTGATGAAGATGGTGTGGATGGTGATGTAGATGGTGTGGGTGGTGATGTAGATGGTGGTGGTGATGGATGATGTGGGTGGTGAAATAGATGATGGTGGTGATGCAGATGTGTGGTGGTGATGTAGATGGTGTGGGTGGTGGGATGTGCAGGATGATGTGGGTGGTGATGAAGATGGTGTGGTGATGATGTGTGGATGGTGTGGATGCAGGGTGATGAAGATGGTGTGGTGGGGTGATGTGGATGGTTGTGGGTGGTGATGTAGATGGTGTGGTGGTACAGATGGGTGTGTGGTGATGTAGATGGTGTGGTGGTGATGTAGATGTGGGTGTGTGGGTGGTGATGTGAATGGTGTGTGGGTGGTGATGTAGATGCGCAGATGGTGGTAGGTGGTAGATGGTGGGTGGTGATGTAGATGTGTGTGGGTGACGTAGATGGTGGTGATGTAGATGGTGTGGTGGTGGTGATGGTGGTGGTGATGTAGATGGTGTGGGTGGTTGATGATGGTGTGGATGGTGGTGATGGTGATGGGTGGGTGGTGGTGATGTAGATGGTGTGGGTGGTGATGTAGATGGTGTGGGTGGTGAAGTAGATAGTGTGGGTGGTGAAGTAGATGGTGTGGGTGGTGAAGTAGATGGTGCGGGTTGTGAGTTAAGTGGTATAGAGTTGTTTTGGGTGAAGTAATGTCGATTGCAGATGTTACACTCCCATGGCAGGTAATGACCAGGTTTGAGTGATCGGTGGTTGGGTGTGGAGGGGAGGGGGGAGGCAGTGAGGATGATGGTGCGGCCAGGTAGGCGGGTCATTCTGGTAGCAAAAGCCAGGTAAAGCAGGTGAGTGCCGGCACTGCTCTTGCTGAGAGAGGGGCGAGACACCTCACTTCTAGGGCTTTCTAGCACAAGGCTTGAGTGTGTTGGAGGAGTAAGTGTTGGCCTATGTGTGTGTGTGTTTTGTAGTTTCTGTGGTTGGTAGATTGTAATAATTTGTAAGTGAATTTAGGTTTGGATGTACTTCTTGATTGTGTGTGTATGTAATTTTAATGAGACTTGATGTTCCTATATGTAAACACTGAGCTAAATCATGGTGAACTAAACTTGCTTCAAAATTCTGAAATTTGGTGTCATCAATTTTCTTGTTAGTAAGGTGTGTAAATGTGCGTGTCCTGCAGCAATTGTTTATATATATATATATATATATATATATATATATATATATATATATATATATATATATATATATATATATATATATATATATATATATATATATATATATATATATATATATATAAAGAGAGAATTCTTGTATTGTTTAACCTTTTTAAGTGTGAAAAGTGTGGCAACAGTTTTGAAATTTCATTAATTGCAGGTGTGCTTGGTATTCGCTTGGCTCACATCGGACACAGGATGACGCCCCGACCCCTTGTGCTGTGTGGGCCCTCAGGTAATGTATAGACTTATGGTACTATACTCATTATCTGAATCTTAGGTTGTGTGTTTCCTGGATATGGTTTTATTTTACTTTCTAAAAAATTTATATTCACTTATCAAAATTTGCTTGCAGGGGTTGGAAAGTCAACATTACAGAAGAAGCTGCTAGAGGAGTTTGGTCCTCATTTTGGGTTCTCCGTGTCACACACCACACGCTCTCCAAGGGAGGGTGAGGAACACGGCAAGCACTACTATTTTGTGACCAGACAGGAGATGCAGGAGGCTATTGACAAAGGGGAATTCATCGAACATGCGGAGTATTCAGGTAATTTATAGGGTACAGTATTATAAATTATAGGGGATTATCTGTTGGTTAACCCTTTATCACAGACCAAAATTGTGGTTCCCCAGTTTGAGTTTGTGGTCGAGAAATGAGGTTTATTGTATTGCAACAGCTTACAGTAAGGTACATTCTTTTTTCAATTTTTATTCAAATGTTGGGAATACATTACCAATAATGGCAAATGACTGATTCAGGCAATAATCAGAGATACTGTATACAGTGTAACCCCGCTTTACGTGGTCAATTGAACCCACAGAGGCCCGCGTAAAGCGGGAAACGCGTAAACCGAACAACAGAACATATGGGATTAATTGAAATAGAGACTGGGCCAACCCACAAACTCCACTTTTTCAGACACAATACCTACGTTGTAGTAAAAATAACATCTTAATTTTATGATGGTATGCACACACAATTAACAATTAAAAGAAATATCAATAATATTAGGTTTTTTAACACTTACATTAGTAGAAAAGATGGCTGGGCACACGGGGATGGAGGGTTGGTTCCGAGGCAGAGGGCAGCTTATTGGCCCTCACCTGTATCAATTGTATCACTATCCACCACAGAGGCTTGCAGGGCCTCTTTGTCAAACCCCTCAAAGTCCATAAAAGTCCATATCCTCACTATCACTATCTTGGGCCGGCTGTGGTGGGTGGCGGGTGAAGAACTCGGTAATGTTTTGATGACTGGGCGACCTTGTGCACACCCTGCCCGCGCTGCTTCCCGCGTATATGAGTAGATGCACCACGTAAAGTGGGGTATTACTGTACTGTATTTCACATCTTTGTAGCAGCTTTAATCCACTGTACTGTACCCATAAAACATTACCAATATGTCATCAGTTAACTTGATATTGACTCAGATTTGATAAGTATATCCATCAATAGCCATATATCTAGTGACAAAGAGCTTGGTAATAAATAGTATATTTTTAATGGAAAACTCAATGCTTAATCCTAAGTCTTGAAAAAAACCTTCTCTTTACAGGTAATTTGTATGGGACTAGTAAAAAGGCAGTCCATAATGTTCTTGGAAATGGGCGAATTTGTATTTTAGACATTGACACTCAGGGAGTCATGCAGGTCAAAAAGACTGATCTACAAGCTCAGTTCGTCTTCATCAGACCACCATCAATTGAGGTTTGCTTTACTTTCCATTTTCTGTTATATAGAATTTAAGATTTTACTGTAATTTCATGGGTGTTCATTGAAAGGAGGATCATCATGAGTTCAGTTCCTGGTCAGACAGGAGAACTGGCTTCCCTCCTTTTACACTCACCCTCTGTTCTGGTGCTTATTACCTCTGTCTTTTCTTCTGTATTAGAGGGCTTTAATTCCATAAGTTGCCCAAGCCATTGCATAAATTTTAATCAAGGTAGTGAGCTTGAGATACTAAATCATAACCAACCATGGATCAGGCAACTCTGAATGCTCCAACCTCTTGTAGGTTGTTGAAGTAAGCTAATACAGCTAAGTGGGATTGGTCAGGTTGTCCAGTTTGTAACCAATGGGGTAACATGGCACAAGGCATAAATGCATACAGTATCGGTAAAGTGTGTGAAAACTTCACTTGTGCCCATTTGGCAACTGATGTCAGAAAGTACTGTACAGTCAAAGCTCTAACATCTGAACACCTTGGAACTAAGCAGCATGTGGATTTCTAAATGTAATGTACTTTTGTATGGAGTCCAGATTGTGGTTTTGCATAAAAAAATAGCTTTTAATGGTATTTGTTTGAACTAAATACCTGATATAAGAGATTAATAAATATAAGGATACATAAAATATAAATAATTGTGTCAGTGATATGAGGTGTGAAGTTATAGGTATGTGTGTGTCACTGCTACATCACCATTACACATTATTCAGTGGTAATCTTGACTCACTAACACTCCAGACTTACACATAACCACACATGCAACTACTGTACTGTATTTTCTAATTACACCAATGCAAGCCAAAAAATTTTGTAAGAAAGAATAAATGAAATAGAATATTTTATATAAATACACATAAATGCTACCATACAAACTCAAGAAACTTGTTTGCAGATCATGGCTTGCTTGTAAAATCTGAAACCGCGCAGCTTCTTGAGCTTTGTGGACTTTTGAACTTAGAATGTTACACCTGTTACCCCCCTCCCCTCTTCCTCCCTTAACCCTTTCATTGTGGCTGGTCTGAATTTCAAGTTTACTACACCCTCATTACAGCACTTTTAACAAAACAGGATTCTGTTCTGTACAGTAAAAAACCCATAATTTGTACCCCTCAATTTCGAAATTACTCATAATTCGTGATGGTTTGCTGTTATGAAATTTATATTACAATTTTGTAATATTTGGAAAAATATCAAAACATGAGACTTCAAAATACTATACAAGACATGTACTCCCTGACTTACAACGGGGTTAGGAACCGACATCCAGGTCGTAAGTCGGACATGCTTAAATAACACAGAAAATCGAAAATTTGGGTCTCTTTTTCTTCTCAGCACCACAAAACACTCACTTTTAAGCTTGCCAGCCATTTTAAAGTGAATTACAGATGAAAATTTTGTCTGTGTACTGACTTTGGGACTCAAAAATACATAATTTGACCAAATTTTGGTACGAGGCAGGTCGTAAGTGCGGGTGGGCGTAAGTCGAGTTGATCGTAAGTCGGGGAGTACCTGTATTACAATATACAGGTGCTCCTCTACTTACGAACGAGTTACTTTCCTTGTCGATAGCAAACAAATTGTAAAAAATTAAAAGATAATGAATATTTAGTACAGCTATACCCTTTAATACAGCCTTAAAACTTGGCTCACTCTTCTCCTCTTAGGTAATGTTTGTTCTATCAGGAATTTTCTTCAAAATAATCCAGTCTCATCCACATTAAATACCTGTTCTGGCAGGTAACTTCCCTCAGTGATGATGTTTGTATCTCTGAAAGTTTGTAAGTTGAACGTTCTTAAGTAGAGGAGCACCAGTACAGTATTACAACTTTTGTAATAAGTACAGTAATTGGTAAAATTTTTAATTGTGAGAGACATTTATGAATATGCATGACTCACATGTCGCCATGGGATGCGACCACCCACTTCAGTGTAAACAGGCATTTGCATGTTGGTAAGGAAAAAAAATCTGTTGATTTTGGTCAGTCATGACGTGCACATCTTTGGTGTACCGTGCAAGCTTTCCACTTATTTTTCTATTGTTGCCCAGTATTTGAGCCATCGTGTCTAATAAGCATGGACCAATCACCTCAAAGGGAACCTCGAAGAAGAAAGCTGCCAAGAGGCACATACAATAGATTAAACATCCAAAATAATGTTTACATTTTGATTGGGGCAGATAATGGAAAAGTACCATTGTTTTGTTGTTTTTTCCCTTTGGGAGAAGGTGTCCCTCATATTTCGTAAAATCTTATACAGTAATTGATAAGGGCTAGAGGCCGTATTATTTTGAATTATGGGGGTTTTACTGTATGGGTACTGTATATGGAATATCTGCCAGAGGCAATGTGTTGCCATATATGACACCAAAGATAAAACTATTCTTGATATGTCTGGAATTTAGTTCATCACACAGGGTCCTGGGAACACAAGTTGTTAAACCAACAGTGTGTTGATTGTACAGTACATGAGATTTGAGGATAAACCCTTTCATTGGGGGGGGGGGGGTTATAACCCAAGGCAAAATTCTAGAACTATGAATATATTTCCTGTTTATCTTTATTCCTAATTTTCCTCTTGCAGGATCTAGTGAAGAGACTCCAAGCTCGTGGCACAGAGACAGAGGAGAGCTTGAACAAGCGCCTTACTACTGCCAAGAAAGAGTTAGAGTATGGAGCTGTAAAGGGTAACTTTGACAAAGTGATAATTAATGACAATGTTGAGGAAGCATATCAGGAACTAAGGGATTTCATGCTTCCAGCAGTAAATGAAATAAAAGATGATTAAAGTCTTAATATATATTGTGAAATATATTTAAACTGTATATACATATTGCATATACATAAATCAAATTCCATTGCTATAAGTAAAGTTTCCAAGGAAGTTCAGGCACACAAGTATTTTATTAAAAAAAAATTATTAATTGTATGTAAAGTGTAAAAATATTAATCTTACTTTCTTAGGAACTGACACCATAGAAAATTATTACAAGAAGTTCTGACAGAGTTGAATCTTATCATTTAATTCCATGAGTTACAATATCTTATGTTTAGGAGTTACTGTACTGTACTTGTTTAACAGATGTTGATTAATCAGCTGACCTAGTTTGTTTATTTTTATATCATTTTCGCCACTTATCAGCTTACTAGCCGTTCAGGCAATTGATCTATCCAGTGTTGGTACAGGAGGAAACTGGAGTCTGGGAAACCTGTACGGTAATGTTTTAGTGATGCCACACTAGATAACACCCTCCTCACGTGTGTCTGGGCCGAGTGTCAACCTAGCTCTATTCTGAAATTGTCAATCCTGAGCACATTATGTTCCTCATAACTGTTGATGTAAGATTGTATCTTAACCGATTACACATGTACAAGTACCAAAAAGTATTGTCTATGCTGGATAAAAATTAGTTACCTGACATACTTAGTGAACATAACTATAGTGAAGGTAGTCTGATATGGAGACCACTTAAATTACTGAAGAGCTTCAGCCAGTCATCTAGTTATGGGCATTTTTACTGTACACTTTCACTCACAAGGAACTTCCATCGTACAAATCTCTAACCATCATGACCTTGATCTAAATATATTTGTACCTTGTGAGAAGATCGATAACATGAGAGGCTTGCTAGATGGTTCATATCCTACAGCTTCGTTTACATTTACAACCTTTTATCATAATCCACCCTGGGGAAGTTTAATTCCACACAACTAAAGAATACACTGGTTGGGATCACGACATTTCTATTGTTTCTCATGCCGAGCTGTAGAGGGACTGCAACTTCATATTTTGCTGTATTCAGCTTCTTGGTGCTGTCGTTTGACAAGAATACATTGACATCCTTGTCTCATATTCACATGTCTGCAAGAAACAGGCATCTGTGCATGATCCCAACGATAAACCTTTTTTACGGGAGATGAAACTAGTTCTACCAGTAATAAGGTGTACTAACACGTATGGTAATCCCAGACACCTTAAAGATATAAAAAGTACAACTAAAAATAACTTCCATGAAATCCCCGCATTAAGCATACTGCGCCTGCCTTGTTGGGTATGATGAGCGGCGTCAGGGAGCCGCTCAGAGGCTGGGGAGCACTGTTCGCCCTACCCAGGCTGCTGACCACACAGTACCTATCTCAATTAAACACATCCTTCATATTATTCTTAAAAAATTGATCATGATGGACAATGACCAAAAATTCATACTGTATTTATTTCCAAGTGGAGTAGTTAATTGGCAGACCAACTACTGTAGTAAAGATCAAAGAACTCAGTCATTTGATGGTTCTTTTAGATTATGTACAAATTATTTCTCTTCCGGACACATTCTTGTTCAAGCAGTCACTGCCTAAATAGTTGTACTTATAAAATAACTATTTTTGAGGATTGGGAGTTTAGGTTTTTGATTAAGGGGTAATTATATTCACTAATACTACACCATGCAGCTGCCTGCTACTTGTCCATTAATTAAAGGTAGTTTAAAGGTTGTGTGTGTGTTCTCATGTATGTACACCATATGTTGTCATCATTAAATATCAAAAGGTTTTTTACATTTGAGACAATACATACACATGTGTACAGTATATATATATTTTCACCTGTAATTGATTTTCTTTCTTGTAATTATCATCTGTCATGAACCTAAATAATGTGCATCTTAATATTATTTTCTTGAGCAGCTTAAGAGTTTGTGGAGTTAATGATGTCTACATTCTTCAAGGAGTATTATCTTGTGTTAAGAAATTTGTAATCAAACTTTTTATACATACATTAGTTGTTCAAACATATTATAACTGTTCTATTTATCTCAAAAGTTTGTCCAGAATCTAAATCCAGATTTCTAAAACAAAGACCCAATAGTGTGTTGTTATCAGAAAGTTAAGTGCACCTCAATAAAAGAGACTTAGTTACCAGTGTTAATGATGATCAATGCCCACAAGATTGAAGCATAATTAAGGTAAATAAGTTTCCAGTACAGTATCATATGAATGTTCATTAAATTGTATGAACTGTGAGGATTGTCAATGAATGACAAATGGGATTTTAATATGCACAGCTTTCAAGACTTGAAATAGTACAAGAAGCCGACAAAGTTTAAATTTAGATATAATTCTGTCTTTTTGTAATCAGTTGTGTAAAGCATTGCTTTAAATGAGGTTACCCGGTATGTTAAGAATTATGCTCACAGTTTAAAATAGGATTTAAAAATTAATTTCTTTTGTTTTCACTTAATCTACTAACTATTTGGTGGATGGAAGATTTAATGTATAACAATACAGTATATACAATACAGTGTACAGCATATATAAAATGAATAATTTCCCACTGCCATGGTTGAGATTATAAGTAATTATTATGTAGGTAGAGACTGTGTTTTTTCTTTTATGTGCCCTAAATACAAAGACAGTAGAAACAAGACCTAAGCTTGGTCTATTTTTGCATCTCCCAGGCTAAGGATTTTTGAAAAATTTGTAGAAAAAATGACCTTCTATATCTACAGTAATTGAGCATTATGTTAGAAGTCATATAACATAAAGTAAATCATGGTCAGCAGCTAGTTTGTTTCCCGAGCATTAGGATAGTTAACACCACAACATCTTGCTGACGGGCTGTTTATATACTCGAGCTGTACATGTACTTATCATATCTCTTTATATCACTGCTTTACATTATAATTATAGTATGTTTATTTATTTGCATGTTGCCGCACAATTGGGGCAGTGTTACACGCGCACCTAAATTGGTAATTTTTCTAACCAGCAACTATATCTGGCAATACATAGATAAAGAAATTCCAGCTAGTGTTCCTGTTTTCTTTCGACTCCGACATGTCTGTCTTCACTTGCCTAAAATCAGTCACTCGAGTTTAAAGGAGAGCTACTAATATATTAAACAGAATTATTTTTATGTACTGTATACAGTTGAGTCTCGATAATTCGCAGGTTAGGTATCAAAAGACATTGTGAATCATCAACTCACGAGTTAAGTGATTTAAATGGAAATACAGTAATTAGTTTGGTTTCAGAGGCCAAGAAATACGGTAACCATAAACTGTTCCAAAACTGCTTTAATTAACAATAAACATAAAAAAAATACAGTAGCATTTAGATAGTGTTCGTTACACCAACATGGAAACAGGCAATCTGGCTGTGACCACACTATGTCAACAAAGAACCAGGAATTTAATTCCACAAAAAATTCATCTGTAGTTGAGTTTGGGGTTTTTGTTTTGTGAAAATTTATTACTTTACAATAATGTTTTATTAACTCGGTACTAAATGATATAGGAATTACTGAATGGTGAAATTGTATAATGTATTAATGAGGTTGGAGGTGTGCGGGGGAGAGAGACGCTCAGTCCACCACCCTTCCTCCCACAAACAATTCACTTACTACAATACAGTACTTTTAATTTTTCTTAGTTTACATTATATTTTGTTTATATCTAAGTCACACTGGAGTATTGAAGTGATATTCATATTATATTTTATTTCCAAGGCAAATTAGAGCAATTAAATTATATTTCCACCAATTTTATGGTTTCTTGTGTAAACAAACACTGCGGCAGAGGGCGTTCAGCTGCGAATTATGAATATTTGACTGAAATTTAAAATAGGTAGTAATAGAGGTACCCATGAATTTAAGAACGTGAATTTGTATTTTATGAATTATCGGAACTCCACTGTATATTCTTATGAAAAAATCTAATAGTACCACAATATATAAAATGCATATACAGTACTGTAATGAGTTATGAATGCATATTATTGTGTACATTACTAGTCTTGATTTGACAGTAATGTTTACATTTTGCTTGTAGCTACACACTCGTATTCATCCTTCTAGCCCAAAATAGGGTCAATGAAATCCATATTGAATGTTTATGTGATGCTATAATTTGACTTGTCGTGCACCACCATTTTGAGCGTAGCGAGCCAGAATTGTAGTGCCAAATTAGCTTGCTGGTTTGAAAAAGTACTAGTTTAGGTTGTTACAACCCTTGGCCTCCTAGGTTGTAACAATTCACAAATTCAACTTCTCTTTGTATTGTAGGGGTATCGAGATATTAATGTTGTCTAGCACTCAGGATGGAAGGAAACTCTAATGTGGTTTTCTTATATAATATAAGTTATATGATAGACAGTCTGGTGCTGGAGGTGCCGTGTGGTGAGGAGCTGCTCAGTAGAGACGTTCGGTGAGTAGCGTGTTGAAGGAGGTAGATGTGCAGGAGCTTCGTTAGAGAAGATGTTGCCTGTTGCTGGCCTCCTGGTTGAATGAATGCTGACAGCGTGGAGCTTGCTGGAGGAGGTGTTGCTTGTTCAGGAAGATGGGCAGAATGAGAGCTGGTTGGTGAGGAATCTCGGAGAAGGACAGCTGGTGGGTCGCCATGCTCGCTGGCGGGAGCGAGGACCGCCAGGCAGGCGGAGGAGAGGCTTGGGCAGCCAGGCAGCGGAGGAGGTGTTGCTTGTTCAAGAATGGTCAGAATAAATCTCAATGGAGAGACAGAGCTTATATACCCAGCAGCCACTATGAGTCATGTTGGGAAAACCCGAGAAGTCGCCGGTTCCTGGTTCCGTTGCTAAGATACGGTAACATCTGGTTGGTTGCTAGGGAAGGCGGTAGCAGGTGGTGGCTGTGGCTACGCAGTTGTAGGGGAGATGTCCACTACAGTATTATAGGTCCAAGGAATAGATCCCACCAAATTCATCACCTCATTACTATGGGGTATATTGAAATTCATGAAGTAGATTTAATTACATAATATATTAACAAACAAATATATCAGTTATGTACAAAAATAGACAAATACAAACTAAATCTGATCAAATAAGTGACTCAACCGAGTGACAAAATACTGAACATAAAAGTAAAGGCTAAACACTTATTTAGTTTAGCAACTACCATGAACAACGTGGTTACCCACCACACGAAACCTCATAAATAAGTAAGTTATTTTCCGTGGAATTCTAAAGTCTGATTAACAACAATTTCACATATAATACTTGGTGTTCTAAAAGTCGAGCAAGGTTTACACATTATACCACTAGAAATATACTGTACAATAAGAAAGGAGATACCTAACTTATGTCTGCCAGCCCAATACTGGCGTCAACCGGCTTGGGAGTTAAACAAAGCGAACAGAGGTGGGCGGAAATGACGTCACAAACAAAAGACGTTCACGTTGCGAATCCACAACCAACCATTGATCTCTCACTCGTAACATTATCCATCACTGAGGTTTATGAAGTCCGTAGATCTCTGGCAATACTTATGGCATTAATCACCTGCTGCGTTATGTTAGGTACAATTTCACCACTGCTGTAGGTCCACAATCTCACTGAAGGCTGATGCTGACAGAGGGCATAACACACACTGTCTGTGACTGTGGCTACTAATTCATGCTGCCTTTCACGCTCTCTTTCCCTTTCTTCTCTTTCCTTCAAAGTCAACTCATGTACCATTTTTAGCTTTCTTATCTCTGCAGCTTCCCTGGGGTCAAATGAACGCAAAGTCAGTGCCCCCTTCGGTAGCACCTTCATTCACAAGTTCAATTAGAACTGCATTTTGAATCTCGGACTTCCTTTGACTATGATGATACTCAATTTCGTATGTATCAGCAAGTCTCATCCTTTCGTAGAACACGGTCTTTCAACATTTTCACGGATGGATTCTCAACAAACTCAACATCAAAAGTAGCCATGATTAATCAATAAAGAATATCTTTATCTAAATATTCCCAATAGTTAATGAGTGATAAAGGGATCTATTCCTTGGACCTATAATACAAAGAGAAGTTGAATTTGTGATTTTGTTACAACCTAAGAGGCCAAGGGTCGTAACAAGGTTCTTGTGTGGCGCCACCTTTGCAGTTACACTTGCACGGGTATCACTTATAACTGCCAGATACAAATTCTGATAAATGTTCTTTTACCATGGTGTTTGTAGGGTAACTGAGCAGCTATGCTATTTCTTAGGGTGAATTGTTACTGTTGGTTACATACAGCATCACTATATGGCTCATAGCTGCTCCAAGATACTGTACAGTATTTGAAACAAAAAGGTATAAGTCACTATGTACATGTTCAGAGTGTACGAGGTACAGTACTGAAAAGACTGAATGCCATACTGCCTGTGGTATTTACTTAGCATTTGGAGTTGATGTATTTTGTGCTCTTTGCTAGTGTCTCAAGATTGTAATATAGTGATTGATTTAGTCTAATTTATTTCCTGGTCAATTACAGTGCAGTAAATAGAATTGCATAATATAGTGCTTGAGTCAAGTAGGTACAGTTGAGTGGTGGACCAAATGTATAAAATATGTAAGGAAGTTATCCTTTATTTTTTTTTTTAGTACAATAATAATTACCATTTAAGGTACAGTTTTCCTCAATACTCTTAGGTGCAGGTTGTACAGTGCATGTATTGTATATGTTTGGTCAAAAAATGTATGGGTTTTACATGCACACACATTATTAATGATTTATGTGATTTTTATTATAAACTTAAATACTGTATCGTGAAATGTGGCATTTATTTATCATGATAAGATATAATTTATGGTCAAAATGAGTATCTTTGAGTCTTAAATATGATGCGGTCTCCGTGTGATTGTGATTTACAGTACAGAGTTGTGACAAGTATTTTAGTTGTGATCCAGATTAGCAGAAATTTGTTTGTGAAGTACCATACTTATATTTTAAGTTTTCCATTGTGTTCAATGCAATTTTAATAAATTTTTAATAAAATAATTTTTATGAATTAATCCTCTACATAATTTTTGTACCATTGTTGAATCAGTTTTGAACACTTTCCAAGCTTTCATTTGAGAGGTTAAGCTATTTTAAATTTGTATTTATTATTTTTACTTTTTTTTATGAATTTCCCAATTTGGAATTTTCGGGTAAAATTACCGGGTATGAGCTTGCCAATACTTGGGCCTCTCATAACATTATAGCTAGACTACATAATATAATATTTTTACTAAACTTTCTATTGTGTTGAGGAATCTTCCGAGATCTTATTTTTAAAACATCTTTCGAGACAGATGTTACTGAAACAGTCAGGATTAAGAGACTTTCTGGTTAGTTGAAGTCTTGATCCCCCAATAAATCCAACAATGCATAGTATTACCTAATATACTGTACAGTACCTTAAAATGTCACCAATTTAAAGAAAATAGAAGTTAACCATAATTACTACCTAACCTTAAGACAAAATTACCATAAGTAGCACCATTACTAAAGGTATCATCACTCTGCATGTCATCTACCTGTGAGTTTGTTGAAAAGAATGAAGGTTAGTGAACCGTACCTACTGTGTCCGAAGCCCTTAAAATAGAGGACTGTACTGTAGTAATAAAACCTTAAATCATTTACTGATATTAACTTGACCATAATTGTTTATGCTTTTTTCATAACAAAAAGTGTATTTGCATGTAGATTTAGGAGGGTAAATATACAGTACGTTCCCATTATTGAGGTCTAGGAAGCAAAAAGACAGTTACTATCATTCTAATATCCTTATTTTGTGCACAGTAATTGGAATATGGAGGCATTAGAAAGAGTTGTTGACTTCCACATACAGTACATTAGATAATACTTTATCAAGCCACTGTGAAAACTTTTCAAATTCAGATACTGTATATGAAAAAAAAATCTTGAAAGTGTGTGTGGCAACAATGGTGTGCTTTATGGTAACTTAATGATTTTCAGATATCATAGCAGGTTATGATTAACACTTTTGAGTCAATGTATACATATTAGTAAATTATGATACCACATTTTTACATCTAACAATATCCAGTATCGCAAATAGCAACTCCACTTCGGCACATGGGATCAAGTCCATGAGTCAGTCGGGCTCAGCGGCCACAGTTAACGGCAGCCACTTGCGCTAGTCAACGCTTGAGGGAGATGAGAGGAATTTTTACCTTATTATTATTACAGTATTTCATTTCATTTTGGTGCTAGTTGCTTGAGGCTGCCAGTTACCCAAACTTGGATAACTGGGGTTCTACTGTACTAACAAAATAAAGAAAAATAAATATTTTAGTATTTAGTGTGTTTACTTTATACTGTGGGTCACGAGCCTGCCTGACAACCTAGTTTTGGGACGTGATGAAAAACGTTTAAGAACCACTGCTCTATGACCTGGGTTAGTCTTAGACCAAGTCTAGAAATACCTGCCCAAGAATGAAATGCCCAACTTTCAGCATACAATACCAACTTCTCAACTTCGAAGACTCATTATGGCTCGCCCCACTTTCTTTGGGCAGTCAGATTAAAAAATCATGTACTGTACATGTACAGTATATAAATCACAGAGCATTTTAATAAAAATTGCTATACTGTATATAATTAAAGTGACTCAAATTGGGCTTCACAGCGAGAATACATGGTCTCAGAGGTACTTCTTTGATAGCCTTCTTAAGAGGTATGTATATCAATTCCATCCTACAGAGGAGCATGATCACCAGATAAGACTTTGATAGGCAGATATTTTGACGTGTAGATGTCAAACACGAGACTGTGGCCCGGGGAAGATGTGACATTATTATTTTTATTTTACTGTATTTAACTTTCTTCCCTGGTGGGGTACAGAAAAATTGTCCACAACTTGAAATTCTTTAACTTTAAATTTATTTTCCCATAAACTTCTATTATTTAATTGAAGATGTGTTCCTAAAGACAAAAATATTCCCCTAAACAGATTAAAATAACACCTAAGATTTTTTTTAAGATATACTTACTGTACCGGTACACATTTAATTGAAAAACAATATTCCTTATAAACCATAGGTACAGTACTCCCTCCCTCAACCATCTCCCTCCCTCCCTGTAGTCCTCACCACAGGGTTCTGTTCCTGAAAACACTTATGATGTAAGAAATTCCATGTAGATTTTACCATAAGAAACATGTGTTAAGGAATACATACAGTACTTGAGCTGATTTTTTGGAGCATTATTTATGGCATATAATTTCTTTACACACAAAGCATATAGACATCATTTTCACCGTGTTTTACCCCACAATTTCCCTCAGCCATCATGCCCTGCCCACTACGGGTGATTTATGATCATAGAGAAACACACACAAAAAAAAATAATTAAAAAAATACTTATAATTAAAATAAAAAGTTGCCAGCTCTTTTAAAATGGTTATTATAATCATAAGAACATCTGTGGAAACAATGAACAAAATCAAACAGCTCCTCCTGGTGGTAGCAATTTCCTCAAATTAATTATTTCCCTCTATCTCCCTCGATAAGAATCAATAAATAGTTCTGTGCTTGGCAACTTCTAAATATTAACCATCATACAATATACTGTATACCTCAAAACATTTATTAGATAAAAATTATTGAACTGTAGTAAAAATTGTACTTGCAGGAGTGTGAGGATGGTGAGTGGCAGTCCTCTTGTACAGTACCATCCCTTTCAGGCAACATGGCTATAACACTTTTAATAGTTCCAGAACCTCAAACTCGATCTCAGAAAACTGAAGATTCTTGAAAAACCACATTTTCTTCCCCGAGTTGTTAAGTATTCTTCCTTGGCTACCTGTACAAGCTTTACTAACACACACACACAGTTAATTGGGTTTGTTTACATCAGTAACTTCTAGTGGGTCATATGACATCTGCCACAAGTACTGTAATGAGCATAAATAATTATTCTCAATAAACAGCTCTATACAGTACCTTTAATAACTTTATTTATTTGTACTAAAAATATTATTAATGCTTTCACATAGCTTTTGAATTGGTATTGGTCAAATTAAACCAAAGCTTTGAGGTAACATGCCTGATGCTACTGGTTGTTCCATGTGACAAGTAGTATTTGGCATAAGTTAGTTACCTGATTCATTGGTTTAATTTTTACCAATACTAATTTCAAAAGCTGTGTATGCATATAACAAAGTTTTCTTTAATTTATTATTTAAGTAGTAAAGCAAAAATTCAACGGAGTGTGTAAAAGTGTGTGGAAGCAAAATATGAGTACAGTACTGTACAAGTACTCTAGTCTCCTGAGGTAACATGGATGACCCAGGAAACAAAAATACTCTATTCTCAAAAGCAAATTTGGTCATGGTCCCAATGGTCATGGATTTGAGGGCCTATACCTTTACTGAATTTCTTTTTAGTTTGTATGTAGGTTAAGTATCATTATATACAGTATCTTGTATTTTTTGTTTATTTTGAAAAAAATTTAAAGTTAAGACATACATTTTCCCCTTTTCTTTGTAATTCCAGAAGACTTCCTATGAGCATAAATTTTTCTTCCATATCTCAAAACTTGTTCCATACTTTTCAGATTCCATTGAGGCAAATTTCCATAACTCAAACCTCCATACTTGAGAGATGCCTGTATATATAAAATGAGTCACTTATAAAGGACATTAGTTGGTTAATGAAGGATTGATCCAGGAATCTTATTTTACTACCGAGATAACAGTGAATGACTGAAATTCTTCTTCCTCCCAAAGATTTTTTAAAAATGGAATCAATTGTTTCTGGCAGACTCTCTTATTGGATTTGGTTGTCTGGAAGCAATACTACAGCCATTTTTTTTAGACCTAGATGCTGTTTCATGAAGGGGTTTCTGGGCTTCAACCCCATAAATTTAGCTGATTGCAAAAGCAGTCACTCATTCCAGTAGTTGTAGGAAATGGGAATTCTGGGTCAATCTTTCAATTTTGTACAGTATTCAATCACCAGGTGCACCATCAACATAGATTTGATTACAAATATAAAGGCCCAACTCTTCATTGTATACTGTATTAGATTCTGATACGTATACAATACTTTAATACATCTTAATTTAGTTGCAAAAATCCAACAACTGACACGTGCATTAAAACTTATAAAACTTACTGAGAGTTTCTAGAAATTACTAACGTACAGTACTTCAAAAGTGACATTAGTTTGGGATATAATCTACATCTCGGCTTCTAGCTACAGCCAACTTACATATTCAAATGATACGTGGCAGCCTCCTCAAAACAAGAATCTGTATTTAACTGCAAGACAAATGTTCACATTCATCTATACAGTACCGTACAATATCAGGATATCTTGTGCAAATGAATTCTCTTTCAAAATACTTTTTTTTTTCACAACACTTTCATTCTTAGGCAGTGAATGCAATACCATTTCCATGCCCTACAAAGGTAAAGTAAAATGAGTGGTCATATGTGATCACTAATCACATATAACTCTTCATCTTCCTGCAGTGAAAGAAATCTGTACAGTATGTCCTATAGTTAGAGATTTGCAACTCAGGGGCAGTATGTTATCTCACCAGTATCTATTTCCCAATAAAATGTCACCTCTCGCCAGAGCTTGTATCTGATACACTGAAGTTCCAAGCCAATAATTTTTTAAGTCCAATGCCAATAAACTTGTGAGTCCAAGACATCTTTCAAGTCCAAGGTTAATAATTTCTGAAGTCTTAGGCAAGTAATGTTTGACATTCTCACTTAAATCAAAGTGAAGAAAATAATGATTCATCATCGTGGCATAAAGAGCCGAGGTCAACAATTATGAGAAATTTTACTACTTGCCCTACAATGATGTGAGGAATTACTTATGTCAATGAAGTCAATATCTAAATTTTAAGGATAAGCTTTTGCATCATTGGCCATTCTCAGTCCAATGCATGTGCAGCCCTGAGTTAAATCTATAAAAATCAAATCATTTGTAAAGACAATAACATACAAAGTATTAAAATCATAATGCCATTTGACTTCTGTTGGTAAGGAATAACAAGGGTCTGTTAGATTGTGTAGTCCTTACAATTCTTTAAATTGTTAAGGTTCTTAATATTGATATTTACCATGTGTCTCATACTAAACAGCAGTGTGACGATGTCATTCTAACAAGTGTCGAAGAACAAGAACTGTTAATTTTCTTTCATGTTGTAGTTTGGTCATAAATCTGCTCCTGTATTCATGTTTCTCCATACTTCACATTCTCACCAGTGGCAACACACTCAAGTACTGCAGTGGTTTCTTGTGTTTTTACCTTATTAATAAATTCTCATTATTATTTTGGTAATGGATTAAGTTAAACTGTTGTGTGCCACTTTCAGCAATCAGATCAACATGACAAAAGGTGATCCTCTCTGTCACTACACAACAATAATCTCTGACATGTTACAGGGAACTATTTATGGCCAACTCACCCTTTCCAATATCTAGGAAGAATACTACATAAACACCCAACTAATAAAAACTTACTAATGTACTAAACAAGATTGGCACACAAATATCTTAAAAGCAAGTTACACTCACATCTTCTAAAGTGTAAAACATCTGATGTGTCCTCTTCTGCTAGCTCCAGGTTTACACTGTTACACTTAAAGTATTAATAAGGTCAAATGATATGGTCATGTGTGCAATGGCTTCTTTTTGTGGTCATACTTTTGATTTGATCATTCCCATGTTAATCATTGTCTTTCGGATGAATGAATTGAAGCTGCTATGACTGATTTTGGTTAACTGTTCTAGATACCAATTGATGTTGAATTAAAGAGAGGTGTTGAAATAATATACTCGGTAAAATTAACCATAAGTATTGATTTATTTTGGTAATAATAACTACTGGATGAATCATGAAAACAATAATCAGTGTTGCACGGACCTCATCGATACCCCAGATCCTGACATAAACGTAGGAAATTCAACATATACTTTAGAAAAATCACAACCCTAATATTTGATGGATGTACCTGAGTGTAGTCATGCCATCACAACTAGTGGTCAGAGCAGTGCTGGGTTACTCAGGATACCATCAACCACCAACTTTATAAAAAGGGGCCGCCCCAACACATCTGTGTCGGTGACGAGATAAATTATTACAACCAGTACAGACAGGAACACTATACATGTTGAAGTACAAGATATACTCTAGTTAAAACACTAAAAACAAGAGAAATAGCATAATATGAGTCGAAAAAATGAGTCAATGTGATCAACCTCCAAGGGGTGAACAGCCAAATCCAAATATGAGTTATTGTACTTCAGTTCTTTTTATCTTCATAAAAATCAAACAACGTGAATTAAAAGACAAGAGAATAAGAACTATTTAATTAAAAGGCTGTTGAAATACTCTGAAAAATCTATCTGAGGAGAAGTCAGTAGAGTGATGATGATATTAACAAGAAGGCAGGTAGGACGGACAGTGGCTAAAATATGGCTACTCTTTTGAGGGCAAACAAGTTTAAGGGATCTTATCAGGTTCAAAATTAGCATGGTACTATTTTATTAGCCTGTGGTTGTTGGCGTGAAAGAAAGACTTTCATAGTGTTTCTATGGGCCTAAAAATCAGTGTACGTACTGTAGTGCCAACTTAAACACTTACAAAATTTTAGGTGTTTTGGAGAAGCAAATTTCCCCTGAGTTACCTGATTTTTTTATCCATGGTACACACTTAAGTTTTTCTTACACATACACACACGAGAGATCCCTAGAACATGACCATGCCAAGTGTGAACCTCTGATATGACCCCTTAATATGAGAATAAATTATCTCTTGTAACTTGGAGTTGACTTCCTCACATTACTAACAACTGGGACTGGTCCTCAACCATCACTCATCCCCTCAACCACAAAACTCATTACTCAGGTCTTACAATTCTCATGTTTATGGAAGGCCACTGATTTTCAGTGTCTATAACAGGTTCTGTCTAAAACCATTGTCAAACCCCTAAACCCCAAATCAAAGTGATTTTTTAATGCAAATAAGATTATAGTCCCAAACAATGTAAATATAGTAAAGTACAATATCAGAAAAAAACCCATTACCTCTCAATATGACATTTAAACATTTCCAAGGGGCATTTGTGGGTCTGGTAGTGATTGTCAAACAATATATGTACCTGTATTCTGAATCCAGAAAGTCATTGGCCTTATGTTTATGCTCATTGCATAGTTAAAATATAGATAAATTATGGAATAAGTATATATACCAAAATATGCTACATTTGATAATGAAGTGTCTTGTCAATAAAGTTCAAAACAATGGAGAAGTATCAATACCTTACCTATATCTCAATTTTCTCCAAGCTCTACTTTTTTCTTTATTCATCTCACAAACCAATTAGTGTATTTACAAAAAAATTAAGAGTTAACATTGTTCCACTGCAAAATTGGAAAGTATCACACTTTTCATAAACTATCCAATGACAAGGCAGCAAAAAGCCTCTTTCCATGTTCTGCTTACACTAAACATAATTTCATATACGAAATCCCTTCACAGAATTTTAATATCAAATTCCTTCACAGCCAAACTTAGGTGTGCAAAAAAATACTAATAAGTAATTTTCATAAATGTAAGCTGACTATTTTAATTTTCTCTACTCTTTTATCATGCAAAGCCTGAAGAATCAAAATAGAAGTGCACACTGGTTTCTTTACCAAACATTACGCTTAAAATATCTACTTTAGGTGAGATTAAACCTGCAAGTTAAGGTGGACACTACAAGCAGTACTCTCTAGCCGGGCTACCTAGTTCATAGTTATGTAACTGGAAAAATTTTATGTTACGTATACTGTATTACGCACAAAGTGAGACACTTTTATGTCACAATAAACTTTGGCCTCAATAAAATATGCAACATACTGTGAATCGACTTTTGCCACTAATGTTAAAGGCCTACCCACATCAACTGTGTATTCTAAACCAAGTATTAAACATTGTTGTCAACGTACGCCAGTGTACACAATGTACCGTGACCGTTAACATACACTATTAAACATAAGGTACAGTGCCTATAACATATCATCATCAAATTTACTACAAAAAACTAAGTGCCTAGTTTGCTATTTTTCCTACTTTGTGAAAGCAGAGTGCCAGGATGGACTTGAGTCAAACTACTTATGCACTGTTACCATATGAACTTTCTAGTATGCAAAAAGCAAGGATCAAATAATTCTCCATCATCACAATTAGGTAACTAACTACAGTACTGTAAGCCCTACACAAGATCATTCTTATTGTATCCATCCACAGGTTACACATAGGAGTGTCACCAGACACACAGCACTAGCATTCACTATCAGCTTCCTCTGTTCAGTGACACAGAAAAAGTTGTGTCAAAAACTTGCCAAATGTTAAACATAACATGCAAGGTCTTTCTCCAGTTGCTGCCAGTAATAATAATAAAAGATAATATGATACAATAGATTATGCAACACATTCTGTAACTAGATAAAGTATACTGTATGTGTACACTAAAGTATATTTGCCATCAAGAGAGTTTACAGGAGAAAATTAGGAGGAATACTCAATTATATCATTAAAATTAAGAGGTCATGAATAGATAATTCATTTGAGAAAGTCTAAATTCACCATGAGATGATGATAATCCACAGGTGATGAGGTGTTCCCAGCCATAAGTGATCACAACTTGGCAGTTCTGACGTAAACAGCTTTTCTGTTTGGCAGTGACAGGAAAGTGTGTGACAATCCACAGAAGTGTCAGTTTTCTCCCTCAGTCCAAGCAGGACTATGTTCATGTTACTACCAAGATAAATCGACTCAGGGGGGACCTTGGATTCCTCGATAACAATTGAAGAAAAGAGTTGAATACATTTTTTTAATCATAAAAAAATTGGCATATGATGCTACAACAATATTATGGGTCATCACCTCAAGGCTCACGTCCAAGCACCATTCTAAATGTGGGTAAACCTTAAATTATCCTAACACCACCAAGTTCCACTCATCTTTATACACAGTTTGGCAAATTTTCCTTGTCTTAATTAATTAGGCTTATGAGGAGGAGAGAGAGAGAAAATGTAAAATATTTTTTTTTTATTACGGGACACAAGTGTTTGCAACAATATTGTCTGAAAATAATACTATAGCAAGAGCCCCTCAAGAGTCGAGACAAACTGGGAGCAGTGTACTACTTTGATCGCTGAGCTCGGTGGTGGTGGTTCTCACCTGTGTGTGTGTGGCTACAACAATGGATGAACCCTCCACTGGCAATGTCATGAGGTCATTCTTCTAGTAATCACACAAGAAGTTACTTTACTTATATAATATAACCTAATCACAGTAAATTACACACCATGCCCCCAAACCCGATAAAGAAAACAATTTGCAAATGGATGATGCCTTCAAATATTCCCATCAATTAAATGTCTATGATGATGTTAGATTAAGGATCAAATTTCCCTTCTTTAATTCCTTAAATAGTGAACTGATAGTCATCCTCTTTCATATACTGTACATTAAGCAATGTAAAAAATATTAAAGTGTGACCCTTAATTATTTTTTTTAAATCCATTATCCTGCTTTCTCATGTGTTCATATTTTTTGAAAGAGTAACCCAAGAACCACAGCAAAGCAATCAAAGTTTCTTTTATAGAAATTCTTTTCATTCATTCCCACACATACAAGCACACACACAAAAACACAGACAGACAGACAGACACAGACACACACACACACACACACACACAAAAACTGCACATACACAAACATGCACACACTCGCACACAAAATGTTCTAAAAATCATCCTAGGGAACTGCAATTCAACACCCTATACAATAAATAAATAATCTTCTTAAATCATAATCACACTACGTATATAACAATGGCACTAAAAATAGTCATCTTCCTAAATATTTATAATGTAAATGAGTGTTATGATATATTTATCTTCACGAGGCTATGTCACTTTTTTTGTCTTTTTCTTTCATCAGGGAACACAGTCAAGTTCATCAGCAAAGAATACAGTACCATAAACAATGGTCAATCTAAAGTCACTCATCATATTTTTCATCTAAGGAGCTATACATTCAAAATGCCATTATGAAGAGCATCTAAAACTAGTCCACTCAACAATCCATCACAGTGCAAGACACCACCTGCAGTAACACCACATGTGCACCTCATACACAACGATACTGAGTACTTTATCCTTCACTCTGTACCCTTAAGTAACTTGCACTTTAAATGCTCAACCATGTGCCCACAATACCACAGAAAAGTTTCTTAACCAACTATGGCTTTCCTCTAAACTTTCTATCCTCCTCACAATTCTACAACAAAATTCTTTTCCAACACATTCATCTTACTTTTCCATAAAAAAATTTCAGTCTGCTGGATAAAACATCACAGTATTGTAAATTAACATGCCCCAACTTGCTGCCATTCAGTGCCTGTCCATGCAATACCGGAGCAAACTGGCATTCCTAATCCAATAGCAGACGTGCTTGCTGGTGTAACCCATCTTATACAAAGTAAATGCTGCACTGTTTCAACTCCAGCCCACACAAGTCTGCATCACTCCTAGGCCTGTCAAAACAAAATATTGAATTCCGTTACAATGACACCAAAGGACAGAGAGTTTTACTGATGACATTTCACACCTGTTCATCTGAATTTCCAAGACCTTGCTGTCCTATTCTTGTGTGAAAGACTTGACACAAAGGAAGTCCAGTTCTGAGTAGTAAAAAATTATATTATTACTAAATATATGTCAGAAGTAGATCATTAATAAAGATTACTGAACATTTATACTTCTCCTCTTGCAACACTAAATGCTTCCTTGTGAAAGTATGATGAGCTTTAACCACAAGACCTGAGAGGAGGCACCACAGCTGGAACTTACACATTTATATAAAAAGATAACAATGAATCAGTTTCCTCTACAGTAGTTTCTGCAAGGTGTTAACTCCCTGGTGAGAGAGGAGAGCTTAGTCCAAAGGCTTGACATAATATAAAATAAGGGATTACAAATACTACAGACAGTAAAAACCCATACCAGCCCTGCTTGGTCATCATACTGAAGTTGAGTCTTGTAAGATCAAGAGGTCCCAAATTATCAACAAAGCCACTGTGCTCATTTCAATATCTTCTCATCTTAAACTTCCATTTCATCATCAATCTTTGACACTTACAGGGTAATACCTAAAATATTGACCCCTGCACCCCTCCCTCCACAAATGAGTACTTGAGATTCCCCAAAAACTCTATGATGATTTTTGCTACTCAGGGGTGCAGCAGTCAAGTGAATAGATTACTTGCCTCCTGCAATATGGTTCACACCTTGGGCATCCCCAGTTCACACAGTTGTAAATGGATACTTGACTTTACAGTCGGGAAAGTGAAGATGGCCTAATGCAATGCTGGCCGTGCTGCCTCCTTATGTACAAAAAGTTTAATATTCGGTGTGCTGTATCTGCACTGCCCTAATGGGCTATCATACCTATGGAACTAACTCTCACTCTTTCTGAGCTACGAATAACAAATTACCAAATTGACTAAAAATTCATTCAATTGCACAGGACAAAACAATTCTTTTGATAAACTATTTCATCAATTGTACACTCAGCACCTCATATTATCTGAATTCCTTATTTACCTCCAAGATTACATTCCTGCCCCTTGATGATACTTCCCAGCTCTCTACTCACTCTTCTCCCAAATATTGTTCTCTCCCTAATCTTTTTTGGTACTGTACTATTCTTTCCTAAAATTATTCTCAAATACTTTAATTTTTTTCACTTGCTCCAGTATTTAATTCTTATCATTTAAAATTTCCATGAGCCCAATTTCCACTAAATAAAACACCCTCTCGAAAACCTTTGCCTTACTCTTCCTAGCATTTACTTTTCCATTCCCTTCTACCATACATCTTGTCAAAAGTTACTCACCACCCTTTTCAGCTCCTTTTCACTCTTCAAAAAAGTATTACAAGAGAAAACTTGTTACAAGCAATCATATTTCTTGGATGTAGATATTAATAAGCAAGAAGAATATAAGGCGTGTCATATTTTTTACTACAATTCAAAATAGGCCATAACTCTCGCAAAAATGGGGGGCACAAAATGCTCCATTATATTATGTGCCCTTCATTTACAGGTGGTCATTCCTATCAGGATTGGTGCTCATAAGTAAATCTGATGGATGTCCTCCAATCAGATAAATTTTCCAGTGGGGTTATTGTAAGAACCCATGAGTTAATTAGAATCCTTTTGAACACCTGTGAGTCATTAGCATCATCATCAACACCTGTGAATTAACTGACATTATTATGAGCACCTGTGAGATACATGATACCATTATAATCGCCTGTGAGATACCTGAAGACATTATGAATAACTTTGAATTATTTTATGTTCTTATAAGCAGATTTAACACACAATACAGCGTGACCAACACTTTGAGACATACAGGGTCACTATGAATGCTTTTGAAGCACTTGGTATCATTCTGAGCACCTGTGAGTCATCTGGGGTCATTATGAGTACCTGTGTGTCATCTGAGGTCATCATGAGTACCTGTGAGTCATCTGACATCATTATGAGCATGTGCCTGTCATTTGCATCATTATTAGCCATTGTAAAATACTCAACATCATTACAATGACATCTAGTGTTATAATAACTTAGCTGTGGGGTGCTTCAGGTCATTATGAGTGCTTATGAGATATTTGGCATCATTAGGAGCCCTTGAGAGGCATTAGCTGTTTATCATAATATTTTTCTGGCATCTGGTGTCCTTATGAAGACCATAAGGGCAGTGATAATACAGCTGGACTCACCAAGAACAGTATGATAAGCTCAAATCATTATTGTCAGTTGTGATGGTGTATGAAACGTGTCACCAAAGGACCTGTGATGACATCAAGTGTAAGCATAAGTTACCACCATGAGAGATTGTATTATTAGCAGCAGTTATGAAACACCTTGTACTGTACAGTATCAGTATTAAGAGCACACATAGGATTATGTGAAAGAATGAGAGAATTCCTGATGCCTTGATATTTGTAAAATTATTCTGTAAGGAGCAATGTCTATTGTAAAAATAACCAAAGTGAAATTCCTTGACCATATGCACGCCTCTACTTGCTAGTAGATATGTCTGCTAAGTCTGGTGGGGATAAGCTTTGTAGCTTTTGGTGAGTTGAAGACAAGAAAAGTATATTGAATAAGTGAAAAACATTATCACGTAATACACCCTGTAAGACACACGCACATAAAAAACAGGATACTCTAGAGGGGCAAAAAAACAGTTCAAACAAAATTAAAAAGATTATCTGATAAGCAAAGATAAATGAATTGCAAACAATGCTAAGCAAATATACATTTGCTGAGCATTCAAGTAGTCTTGATTCAAATGTGATACATTACTGGTTATTTTGCTCCGTCTTTCCCTGACAAGTAACGCTTTACAACAATCCTACATAAACAGAAAAACACACAATTCATATCTAAGAGTATTAATACTGTATACAGTATAGGATTTTTACTCTTAACTTCAACTGAGTCATCCATTTAGCTCATCAAATGTGACTTACCAATAGTTAAAATTGCTGAGCCAAGTGCTATCCCAAGAGCTTCATCAGCAGTTGTAGGAGTCGTATGTGTACATGACTCGTCCATTATTGGCCATCCTGTCCAGTATGCCACATACAAACTCTGCTACATCCATCGGGTCATCTTTGGAGCGTATAACAAACTCGTGCTCGAGAAGTTGCTTGTACTTGGGGCGAGAACTTTCGTCCTTGATGAGGCTGGTGAACAAAGGGGAGAGTATAAGGATATAATCATCTTACTGGAACAAGAATTGGATAGATTGAGGGGGTAATTGTGTGGGAGACTCTTCTTGAAGGGACACTGTCAACATCTGCATATCACTTAACTAATAGTCTATCAAGATGACTAGATAAAACACTCTGAAATAAGGCTTAAGCAGATGTAACATGGATGTATCTTAATCAGACCAGCTGTAAAGAGTAAAACAAATATTTATAAATAAACAATTATTCAATAAATAAAAATAAGGAGGGGGCCCTCTGCCAACTCACCACGTGTTAACAAAAGACACAAATTCCTCCGAAAAGGTGTTTCCATTTTCATTTGGTGAGAGACGAGGTGGTTCTCCCTGCACCACTTGTGTCAGCTGCTCAAATACGGAGTTCCACTTGGGGTATGGGAAGCTTCCTGTGGCTAGTTCCATGAGAGTGATGCCCAGTGACCATACGTCAGAACGCACATCATAACCGCGAGCTCTGGCAGGATCTATGCGCTCTGGCTGTAGAGGAGCAACACTAAGAAAATGAGTTTCTCCTCTATAACACAATGCATTTGTATTCATAAATACTATTACACTTCTCCAACTCTGTATTCAAAATAGCTTTGCCTATATACTATAGTTCATACAGAGAATTTCCCGATTCTCTTCCATATCCTTCAGCTTCAGAATACATGTCACCATATACTGTATAATCTCCCTTTTTTTTATCACAGAATGGACAGACACCAAAAGTCTGGCTATGTTGGAAGAAAAAGAAAGATCAGCCTACACTTCCTACAGTCAGATCCAATGTGACAGGGTAAAAGTTGGGTCCAATGATGTAACCAGACAAAGAGAAAATGGATGTGATTATGTATGTAATGAGCCTGAGGCCAACACATGCATGTTTAATGAATGTAAGAAGGAAGAGTTGATGCAAGAGTAACCTGAAGCAAGTGTGGACACAGCAAAGAACTACACAAGTGAGTTCAATAAGAGCCTGACACTGGCACCACTATATTAAAATGTATACGCTCACATGGTAATATTTCAGCAGCTAAGAAGGGACATCTTCACTTCAAATTCAATGCCCCTATTCCAGGAGCCATTTCCCTGGCCTAAACACAGATAGATAAAATATAAATCTCTACTATCAAAAAGCCAACTATGAAGACATCTAGAATTAAAAAAAGGAATGTCACCAAATATAGTATATGTTACTTTACATAAAATATGTCAGGCAATGCTGCTTACATCAAAGCAGAGGCCTCTACTCAAGAATAAGGGAGACCTTCTTCATAATACCACATTGGAATCACAGTACATCTACTTAATATCTAAATCTGCACTACTTATATTTATGTGCAGTTTATGTGATTGAATCAACTGATGCTCAGGAACAAAGAACCAATGAAAATAATTTTTTAAAGAGTGTATACTGACCGCCATGTATGGTCTGCATCCAGCGTCCCTTGTCTTAGCAATGGAGTCAACAAGTTGACCTGAGATGCCAAAATCACAAAGTTTTAGGTTGCCACGTTTATCCAGTAATATATTTGAAGGCTTTACATCTCGATGGATAATTTTTAACTTCTCCTTCAAGTAGTTCAGGGCTGTCAGAGTCTGAAAGGTAAAAATGTCAAGTGTTTATATATATATATATATATATATATATATATATATATATATATATATATATATATATATATATATATATATATATATATATATATATATATATATATATATATATATATATATATATAGTATATATATATATATATATATGGGTGGGATCACAATTATTTTGTACATACCTGAACCTCTAACTCCATACTTACCATAGTACTGAACTGTATGTTAGCATTGCCAAAATGCATTTCTCTCTTTTATGGCCCTACTTCACACCAAGCCACAAAACTTTGCATGACACCACTGTACAGTAATGTACAATGGAAATGGGCAAGTCATTAAAGTTTACTCAAGGTCAATAAATATTGTAATACATTCTGATATCCCTTCTCTCAGTTTCTAAACACCAAACACTACAGACTTACCGCAACAGTAATCTTTCCCAGCATGTTTTCAGGTAGTCTTTCATGCATTCGTTCATAAATAAATTTGTAAAATTTATCCAGAGATGTGTCCATCAGTTCCATGCATATCCAGCAGTCCCCCTGGAAAAAGAATTAAATCATTTCAGATTATTCAAAAGAAACACAAATAAAGCTAATATATAAATTAAACAGTAGTATTTTACCCCAAATATCACACAGTTAAGTTTAAAAATTCATATCACATAAATGTGTCAATAAAAAGAATTCAAAGTACAAGTTGACACTTAACTCGACAACTCAATTGCCGACATGGAACAGGTAGCATTAACCAGACCCAATATATAACTGTACCTAAAACATATCTAAGTTGTGTAAAAGGCATCTTGTGTGGTACTGTACTGTTAGAGAACATTTTATAAATAAGTCCAAATTTCAAGCTGCCTTCCCTCAGTCATACAGAAGGTCAAGTTCTTGAAATATACACTGTGGACATCAGACTATGTGCATGGCATAATATATTATTCCACAGTTAAGTTATATGTTCAAACAAGCTTAGAAGCATTCCACATCATATTTTTCATGTAAAAACATAACTCCAATTAACAATAATACAATACAAGATTAACTATTCAATACTCATAATGCCATGTCTACCCCAGACTGGAAAAAGGTAGCCATATGTAAACTCATTCCAATACATTCCTGTAGGTGAATCCTCTTAATTTATCAACATAACACTGGAGCAGAACATAGCTCTAACACCAACTGGAAAGCATTTCTATCGTTTCAAAGAAATTATTTTAATCACAAAGCTGTAAAATATTTACACCAAAGACGACAACACTGTAGTGTATTTATCAGGTTTATTTATTGGGGACAGGGTACAGCAGGTTGAGTACCTGGCAACTTCCTACAAGTTTGTTTAAACTTTGTTATTGTATCAGCTTTACAACAGCTGACTGAGCCATGTAACAGGTGATTTTCTATAAATTAATAAAGATACATGAACTATAGTCTGTTCACTTGAAGTTTATAACTGAGGCATAGGGTTAGATTGTTACAAGGCAGCTCATTAGCAGAAATTATCAGAGCTCAACATAAAATGGTTATTATCCTAGGCCTCAGTTGCAAGCTTCACGTGAACAGATTATACAGTACGTAGTTCATGCCCAAGGCACACCTAGCCCACCCAGCTGTAAATGGGTACCAAGTTTTATAACTGGGGAAGTAATGGAAGTTGATTACAGTACTGGCCACACTGCCTCCTTGTGTACCAAGTGAAGACGTAGTCAGTGTGATTTATCTGCACTGCCCAAAATAAGGACTCAAGCCCACAGAACCTAATTCACTGTCATATTTGAATCATGTCAGTTATAGTTGTCCAGTTTGTATTATTTTTATTTGTTACTTTACAGGTGTCTCAAAAGTGTTTGTCAAGATCCTCTGTTCTACAAGTGCTCATAATAATATCAGATGTGCTCATAGTATGCCAAGTGTCTCACAGGTGTTGAAAATTATTCCAGAAATCTTAAAAGTGATTATAACGAAGCCAGGCATCCTGCAGGTGCTCATAATGGCCCCATGTAACTCACAGGTAATCAATATGATGCCAAGTGACTAATAAGTAATTATCATGGTCAAATGACTCACAAATATTCATAATAATGCCAAATGACTCGGTGCTCATAATGATGCCAAAAGTGAATCACAGGTGCTCATAATGAAACCAACTGACTTACATGTGTCTCATAATGAGGTCAAGTGACTCACAGGTGCCATAATGACACCAAGTGGCTCCAAGGTGCTCATAATGATGCCAAGTGACTCACTTTACAGATGAGCACATGTTGTCTAACATGGCAGAACTTGTGTTATCTTTCATAGGTAGTGTATCCTTGATCAAGTTGAACTACTGGTACAGTGCTGTACTCCAAAACCTTTCAGATGGAACTGATGACCCTGTAATGGTAAACCTGCAGCTCCATCATTTAAGGAGAGCTCCAGGTCCAGTGTGGACACTACTGTACTCTAGTGAAGGTTCCAAGATGTTGATGTAAAGGAATATACAGTACTGTAGTCTTGTTAACTTAGATGAAAAATGGTACTACAGGTTGTACCTCTCTAGTCCGGCATTCTGTGGTCCGGAAACTCCCGTGGTCCGGAACGATTTTAGTTTGTCCAATAGGTTGATAGGCAGCTTTTTTTTTTTTTTTTTACTTATCTGAATTATTATTATTATTACAGGAGTATTAAATTTTTGCCCCTCAGGCCCCAATGTGGGTCAGTGACCTATGCCCGGGTGGGCTAATCCCCTTAAACAGCCGCGGGAAATTAAGGTTTGTTTACATCCGGCAGTTCGGCTGCTCTCTCTCTCTCTCTGCTTGTCTATACAGAGTACAACATTTAACCCTTCAATATATATGAGCAGTAAATAAGTGTTGCTTTCATATTCTTATGTAGAGTAATGACGATATGTTTTCACATGTGCTCACTTACATACGCGCAGTCTCACTTTTTTTTTACCATTAATGGTTAGCTACTTACAGTATATTGTTACATTTATTAACATTAAATAACATTACAGGTACTTCAAACAACCATATTATTTTTTTACATGAATTTTACTACAGCTAAAATCAGGGTCTTATTTTCTTCAGTTTTATATGTCGAACCAATCAGTCACTGGTTTCGTAAGCTTTAACATAAACAATGCCGGCAGCCGTCTCGTCTCCTCTAATATTCCACGTATTATTAATAAATTGTATTGTTAATTTTGCACACACATACATTAATTCAATAAAAACAAAATCAGAAACATTAATTAAAATATATATGAACAGTAAATAAGTGTTGCTTTCATATTCTTATGTAAAGTAATGACAATATGTTTTCACGTGTGCGCATGCGCACTTACATATGCGATATCTCTTTTTTCTTTACCATTATCGTTAGCTACTTCTATTGTTCCATTTATTAACATTAAATAACATTACTTAAAACAACCATATTAATTTTACTACAGCTACAATCAAGGTCTTATTTTCTTCAGTTTTATATGTAGAACCAGTCAGTCACTGGCTTTGTAATCAATGAAAACAATGCTGTGTCATTTCCTCGTGTTTTAATATTCTACGTATTATTAATGAATTGTATTGCTCATTTTGCACACAAACATTAATTCAATAAAAAAGACATTCAGTAATAAACAATAATGAATCTTTTGTACAGAAGAGAAATGACGCTGTTTACACGATTATGCACGTCTTCTGCACGTTGGCGGGCCGTCAAACCCGCCGAAATTCAAGTTTCCGCCGTCAAAATTTTTATTTATTTTTTTGTGTTCCAATAAAATACGTTAAGAATTAAAAACTCGCGAATTTTGAGAAGCTTCTATACGACATTTAACCCTTCAATATGTCTTCAAAGAGACCATGATGCAGAGAAAGTGGTGCTAGTGCTTCCAAGCATAAGCACAAGTCACTATCTATCCAGGAAAAGGGTGAATTTCCATGGTCCGGCACCGGTCAGGTCCCGAGGTTGCCGGACTAGAGAGGTACAACCTGTACAACAGTACTGCCAACAATATAAGAGTAAGGATGACTGTTGACGTTCTCATGTGTTTTATATTTTATGCTAAGTGATGACCATGACTTTTTGGTGATATTTCATCTAAAACTTGCTACAGTAACATAATTTTGGGAGAAAAAATTTCTTTATCATGCACAAATATACAAACATAAGTGCTTATGATTTACTCATAATTCAGGTGTTGGAAGAGTTAAATGAATCATTGAATATTGGGACGAAACACCATCCAATTTACACTCTGCAAACAAAGTGAAAAGGATCAAACGCATCCAGACTTTTATTATTAATAGCTTATTCAACAATATTACATCCACATTTCCCAGTCCACCCATGACTGATCATCTCAAATTAACCTAAACTGCATACCATTTATATCATGGCATAAACCTAAACTGATGTATAGTAACATAACCTAACTTAACCTAACCTCACCTCTTTGAATATGGCACCATAAAATTGTACAATACACGGACAGTCATTGCTCCTCATGACCACTTCAAGATCCATCAACAGTTGTTTCTGTTCCCTCTCATCCACGGTGGAACGAATACGCTGTGGGAACAACTTGTTATTATCTAAAGCACTTTAAAATAATAATAAAATAGAAAATCAACCTATAAGTGTAACTCAGAATAAAATTTGTTTCACAGCTCAAGCAACTTCTCTTGTGCATCAAACAGAAAACATAATATTACAAAAATGTAAAACTGGGTCAGCTTAAAAAAAAAAAAAAATGCTGAATTAATTTACTCTATCCACTATGATGGTAGTTATAGTAATGTAGTACAAATACCAACACAAAACAGTTCATTTCTATCTTTAAGCTATTGTAGCAACATTCACATCCTCAGCCCTATACCCATGTTAAGTTTCTATCATCTTTAATATGGTACATCTGGTCAAAAACTAACTATGACTCACAACCTATCTCTTCTTTATCCTCAGAATCATGTATTTGGTATTGTTTATTTTTCACAACTGCTTATACAATCAATTATAAAAAGCACTAATATCTTATCACTATACTTGTACACAAACAATAATGAAAACACCCCATGTTGTACTTTACATAATGTACCGCCCCAACCCCAGTATACCACTTGAGGTTCACCTTGACAGCCATGATGGTATTACTCTTGCGATGGACCATCTTGTTTACTGTTCCAAATCCTCCTCGGCCAATCTCCCCCAAGTCTCGAAGATCATCAGCAGTGAATTCAACTTGCTGTTGGTGGCAGTTTAAACCTTTATTTCAATAATATTTGGTTAAAATAAATGAACGTACAATACACGTATATGTGATATTAGTATTACCGTATATACCCTAACTTAATATTAAATAAATGAAGAAAAAATGCATTATTGGCTCCTATGAACTTCACCTGAATTTCATTATTCACAAAATTGTCAGAAACAGCAGCACAAGTCTTCTTTAAGATAATTGTAGAACAGAACCTGATATTTTTTCTACTGTTTTGCACACAATAAAGAGTGGAAAAAAATGCTGAAGTATGCCTCAAAATTTAAAACAAGTACAGTACTGCTACAAGACAACACAGACTTACCAATTCAGGAGAGATCTTGAGTTTGCCAGATGACTGGATACTTTGGTAAATTCCCCGAGTTATCCTGTCCCTGAAATTTAGGTTAATTCAGAACTAAATCAGCTTCTACAGGACAATACTCAGATATTTCTGTTCCTTAGTATAATAAACAACTCTTTCCAATTAGTGTTAATATTACCCCATGCAATTTGAATCATACAAACCAGTACACAGTTTTGTACGTATCTGGACACAAACGTTATACCCTACCTATGCAATATCTTTACCATGGCATCAGTTATTCGTTTCCACTCCAAATCATTTTTCCTCAGCTACATCTTGGAAGATACAAAATTTTGTAACCATGCAGCAGATTGGAAGAGATATTCCAGCTTGACTTACTGCACATATTGTAAATTCAATATCTTTCCATCCACACCAGGTTACAGAGCATCTTTAACTCTTCTCCCCAGCATTTTTCTTATCTACCTTTCCGGAGTTATAACAATAAAAATAATGTAATCCAACCTACAGTAACCTAACAAACTAAATCCAATCTATTTCACCAAAAAAAGCCTAATCTAGCCTAAACTAGTTCAACTAAGTAAACCTAGCCGTACACATTAATTATCAAATTTAATCTAATCTAGTTCAACTTAACCTGACATAGGTCAACCTTAACCTAACACATTCAAAGTTAACTCGACCAAACCTAATTAAATATGACCTGTACTGATAATAAATAAACTCTAAAATAACGTCATACCAGAACCTTATCACACGCACTCATACATTAATATTCAACATGTTATTTTCACCTTCCATATCAATATTCATTTCTTAGCCACATTGAGTCACACTAGCAGCATCTTCATGCACCACCATGTCTTAACAATATAATCCCAAGAAATATTTTCATAAATTGAGTTGCTTACTGCTGGATAGATCCAAACAAAACCAACTTTTATTTTTCACTTAAATTGCCAAAATTAGGGTAGGTATGTTGCCCAGAATTTTTCCTCTTATTCAAATTCTTCACATAAATTTATTGAACACAATCTGGTGTAACTCTTGAGAAGTTGTGTCTTTATACTGTGTATGATCTTACATAGGAAGTTTCCAATATTTATACCAAATGTGTTTAACTTCAATGTTTTAAAACAAGTTATGAGATTTTGGATTAATGTAGTTTCATTTTTACCGGAAAACCTTTTAGGGGTCAGCAAGGAAAAATAAGGATCACTCAGGTAATCATCATCATCAATGATTTATGAGCATATTCCACACTTGCGTGGGTTAACCACGACTACCTGATACCAGCAGACAGGTAAAACCAGTACATGATGTCCCCCCTCCCACTTACCACCACAAATCCAGAGCACCAGCCCAGAAACTGTAGCAGAGACCAAGGGATGGACACAGCTCTGGCAACCCAGTTGTCATCAGGCACGTTGAAGCAAAATTTTACAGCTGGATACCTTTCCTAACGCCAACCCATGTGGTTGGAACTGCTGGCAAGGCAGGGTCGCAACTCCCTGAGGTAATCTAAGACTACCCACCTAATAATATAACACTTTGCTGCCCTTTAAACATCGCTGGGGAGGAATGTTAGATTTTCTTAGTAAAGAAACCAACAATAACACCCCCTACTTTATGTCTACATTGTAAATTATGTTTAGTCAGGCTGGAAGTTATCAGAAATCAAGTCATCATCTGAATTTCTTGGCCAATGTCATTTTATCCACAGGTAGTTTTTCACACCTTGTCAATCTCACAAACAAACTACCGTAGACAGAAAAACTGCTTTTAATACTGTAGTCACAATCAATACCCGATTCCATTTTTTCTTTTTAATAAATTACCTGTAACATGTTTAAAAATTATATTCAAAGCATTCAACGTCTTCTTAATATTACACACATCATCATCTTTACCACATACTGGACAGGGTTAAGTAATGAGCATTAGACTACCGCTTATACCATTTGCTGGAATATAAAAGACATCACCTGTATAATACACAAGTGACTATTCTGTGTACAAGCTCATGACATAACCTACTAATAAACAGTGTACTGTATCAGTATTCAATGTGTGTGGTGACACAGGGATGATAAGAGAGTAAACTTTACTTGCCAGTTTTTATCACAACACAAAGTCTGCTTGGTGTGTGCGACTCACCTTGGGGGTGGAGGTACTGTTGCGATGGTCTTAGCACTTGGAAAGAGAAAAGCAAAGAAATGCAGGTTATAGTTCCAGTTAGTAAGTCCAATATGAAGACCATAACAGATATACATAAATATATAGTACATACGAACAATGCATATGTGTGTGTATATGTACGAACAAACGTATATAGGTCCGCACATACACATTCATATGCATAAATGTACTGTACAGTACCACCGAGTTATAGAATTAGTGTTAGTAAGAGAGTCAGCAGCTGAAAATGAAAAGAGTGCATAAATATCAATCAGTGTGCAAATTAGTGAAAAAGATGAAGGAACTGTGTCAATCAGTAAGCCATTATCCTGATACCCAGGTACAATACCCAGAATCTTTTATATCCTTCACATCTCATTAATGATACTGCTATGTTGTCATTCAATTAGTCATAATAATAAAATAAAATTAACAGGTCAGTTGGAGAGACAAGATTCTGGGTGTTAAGACTGTGAGGGAGGAGCAGGGGATTGCAAACCATGCAAGAGGCCATCTTCGGTGCAACACAGCAAGTGGTGGTGGCAGTGCGGGAGAGAATTAATCATAAAACACTTCCCTTTGCTTGTCTGGGGTTTAGGAAAAAAAAATGAAAGAAATGAACCTCTGTGATCCTCCTTTGTTAATCTGCCCCATGCTAACACTGTAGTACTGTATTATCTCTATGCAAATATATATATATAAAGTTGATTTGCCATATTACGGTAATCCAAAACTTGTATGGGCTGGATAAATACTCAAACCAAGATAAATCTACATTCCTTCTGTTTATATCTATGTATTTTCTTATAAATATGTACAGTAGGAATGCTAGGCCAACACAAAACAGTACAATATCATTGACTGGACACAGTTACCACATATCGATTCTGAAGTTACCCGGTACTGAAAGCCACCAGCACTGGTACATCCTCTGACTAAACTTGGCTATTAACTTAAAGTTACAAGGATCAGCAATACACCTAACACTCCTAAACAAGAGCCATAATAATACATTTTCACATCAAATATGCAATGAATACACAAAGTTTATGGAAATTATAGAAAAAGACACCAAGATTATAGCACAAGGATAAATGTAGACAAACTGATGGATGGACATCACTGCTATGTCCCCTGTATTTTTGATTGGGGAAACAAAATATATCAGATTTTTTTTTTACAATAACTCATAAATTTTTGGGTGCAGTTACTGTTACACACTCGCAATATAAAAGCTAAGAATCATCAGGATAATTTCATTTTCCACTTTGCAGGCCACACAAAATTTCCAACTTAACATACACAGTAGACCCTCAAAGTAAGAGTTGAAACATAATCAAACATCAGAATATCAGATCTAATCCAATTTCTTTTAAAAAACACTTGAAAACAAAGTAAAAATCAATTAAACACAGATCAAGCAAGTCAAGAGTCAGAATGATCCAGAAATACTGTACTATAATAATAAAAAAGTATACTACTGTACTGTCCTCACATCTGTACAGTTACTGATACAACATATTTTCAATAACGTACAATCACACCACGCCCAGCCAATCCCTTGTAAGTACTGTACTGTACAGTACAACTATACAGCATCACCTACACATATCTTCTTCCATTTACCAGTAAAAATCATCCATGTGTGGTAAAGTACATGCACACAAGTCTATTGCTTTAATTGTGTAATAAAGTTAACAAAGAATTCTGAGAGATGGAATTCTCGCACTGTTGTCAATTTTCCATTAAAAAAATTTTTCCGACATAAAGAGGTCAAACTCGGAGAAAGTGCCATAAATCCTATTGCATTTATTCCAAAGATGGCTTAAAAAATTACACAGAAACAGCACTTAATTTTCTTAATGCACTGATAAAGGCTTCCTAACTTAGTGTGTGTTTGTCCCTTTCTCATTGTCACCCAACCTGCCAAACATAGAGTAAAACACAGCAATAAACATACACAGATACACTTTATAAATGAAGGCCAAAATTATTCTATCATGAAAATATCTGAAGCTACTACAAACCAAAGTCAAACACCAATTTAATAATCAAGTTCTTTTATTCCATTCATAGAGCCTCTAAAGACCGCAAAGCACGTTACCAGGCATGGATTTCGTAAATAATGGAGAGATCAAATATTTTCTATTACACAATTGCATCATCTACACTTCCTAAGCTTAAGATAGTTTCTCTTGAAGGTTGAGTTATGTAAAGACTGGCAAACAATGCACAGTGATGGCAGAGCTTTAGCCATTAATGTTATTATTATATTACCCTTATTCCTCTCCCACTTTTGTGTGAGGTTGACCAAAGATGCAGAAACCTCATAGAAAAGGGACATGATAGGGAGCGATGCAAGATTAGTTCTGAAAACTCCTAAGAATCACTATGATTTATGCTGTGCACCAAACAAATCTTTACCATTCACACTATTCCACACTGCTTTATTAACAATTCACTGTGCATACTAAAGCTCAGTCATGTTACTAAGAGTGTGTACAAAACTTTTCCACTATTGAGGATCTTCAAGCTTACTTTGGCTATCATCTATCACTTAACCTCACTTGTCTCAACATTCATCTCCAGCAAACTTCATCAACACATACAATAATTTTATCCTTTTTTATATATTCACACCCAGCAAGGCTTTCAAAATATTACTACAAGCTACTCATTACTGTCTCCGCTTAGACTTGTCAGCAGTATGAAGTAAAATGCAAGATATTTGCCCCCAAGACCCTGAGCCAAACTTAAACAGAACCTTCCAAATACTACCAAGTATCTCCTGAGTTGAAACATTTTGAAAGTTGTATTCTATTTAGTGAATCGGAGCTACTAGGCATCACCACCTGTCTTATGAGGTCAGCACTTCAAAGCAAGGGAAAGAAATAATCATCCATACAATACTATACATAGACAACACTAATAAATCATAATTACATTCCCCAACAACACAAAACAAAGGTCCTAACTGACTGATAATACACTATACTCAAGACCCAAGTGAAACTAGTGAGAAAGCAAGTAAATTGATTTTTTTTATGAAAAAAAAAAAAAAAAAATGTCCTCAAATTATTTGATATCTATACGTAACCTTCATCTTTAAGCATTAATTCTTTCCAAAATTATAATAAAATCAACCAATCATATAATTCAGGACTAAACATAAAAAAAACCTTTCCTCTTAATGATCATGTACAGCACTATATCTGAGTAACCACACAATACAATACAGTCCTGAAAAATACAAGAACAGGTAAAAAACTTCATACAGTAGTACAATAACAGCAATATTAATCTTTAGATTAAGCAGTCAAAAGGTTTCAAATAATTTAAGAATCACCCAAGTAATGACTATTAAATTCATAATTAGTAATCTGAAGCCCAGTTATTTACATAATAAAAAAAAATACATGAAACTGTTGTCTCCACCATCACCACTATCATCAGTGTGACATCCTTTGGTTAAGTCTCCTGTCATAACATGCGCTAGATTAGATAACATACCAGACCCATGAAGCTTTAACCCTTAAGCCCCGGGTATAAATCGAGAAAAAATTAACTTTTCCAAAAATAAAAAAAATAAATAAAAAATAAAATAATAATAATAATAAAAAAATGGCGGGAAAATAGGCGGACGTTCTGGAACGTCACACAGGGCCTAAGGGTTAATGATCATCTTGGTTGGCAACTGGCAAAGCTGGACAAAATTTTGAAAGAGGGCCATTCAAGGAACATTCCAATAAAGTTTGAACAAAATTGAGCCAATAATATCAAACAAAAAGACAAAAGTTTCAAACTTTTTAGTAAAGGCAGCCATCTTTAATTGCATATGCTAACATCAGACATTTAAAAAGGAAAAGCACCAAGCAAAACATATCTGCCAGATTCCAATAAAACTAACACAGTAGTTTTTGAAGTCAAGTAGCTATGGAAAAGGTTTGCACAACGATGGACAAATATTAGTGGAAAACCACACACTCAACACTAGCCCAGAAGGACTAAAAACAGAGATTTTACTGGATGTAATGAAAGCCCAGCCATCACATAACCTTAGGCAGAGGATATGTTTCCTTGTTTATGTTTTGACAGTCTCCTTGGAAGTCATCAATTGCAGACAAGAGTTAGGTAACAATCCAATTCACAATGACCATCAGTACTTTTGATGAGGTGTAGGAGTAAACAAACAGATGTACCCCATCACTAAATGTCATGACACATCACTAATGTGAGAAGTGACATTTTTTTTATTATATATTTTCAATGTCAATAAGGGGTCATAACCTGATGGTATGTACATCAACCATCTCTCCAAAATATTTGTGACAAGGTTCATATTCTTTCATGGAAAACTGATGCAGCTGATTTCACAGAGAGTACTGTACCCCATTGTCTGATAGGATAACTACATGAAAAGATGGAGAGGACACATGCCCTTCAATAAATGAAGGCCATAGAGAAATTTAATTTTGTTTTTACCAGTTAACTAAACTGATTATGACAGTTGGTGTAGCCATTAGAGTTACATCTTGGAGTCAACAAACACACAGGATTGGTTTACTTTATATTTACCAAATACCCCAGTCTTTCACAGATTGCAATGACTACTGTACTAGAATATTTCCATGATTTCTGCAAGTGCATATGGACTCTACAAGAGGAAACCTAACAGCTGCTCCACCAACCCTTTTAGAAATATCAAGCTCATTAAAATTGCTGTAATTAATAAAAATAATAATTTTACACCAAACATTGAATCTTTTTTACAAAGAATGTGAGCATAATCTTCATACATTAATAATAACTGCATGTGTTTTATTTTACACGAGACCAACGAGAAGAAAAAGCACATCGTACAATTCAACTGTAGCACCAAAAGTTTGTTTAAAAAGCACAGTCACTCGAGCTTTTATTTTCCAACACATGATCAAAAGGATCATTTGCCCTATAGAACAGACAAGCCTCCATTGAGTTCAGCTGCTTCAGGGAGATATGCACATAACTGATTAATTGATAAATGCATACAAAGTCTCAATTGGTTCTGAAAAAGGCATATATTTATCAATCAAACTAATTCAATTTACTATTAATAAATCAAAGTTACAAAGTACAGTAATGGCCTGTGATGTGGTAAGCTCAACAATATATTCCCAGAGAATAAATACATGTAGTACAGTACAGTAATTATCAACTTGAATTTTAGTACTGTACTGCACAGTATAGTGGGCCCTTCAAGTTCGCGGGGGTTAGGATCTCAAAATGGCCGCGAATCGCCAAATTGGCGAATAACAGGGTGGGGGGGATATATTTTTAATTGTGAACAAAGAAATGTATATTCCCTTTACGTGTTTGCCCTGAGGACAATTATTTATTCCTTTTACCTGTATTGTATATACAGTATGTATGTCTGTGTAGACACACACATACAAAACACATACTGTACAAATAAATAAAAATGAGAAAACCCTCTCATAAATAATGAGAAACAAATTTAATAAAAATTTGAGTCTACTCCATGCTGTTAAAATGAGTGTGTGTCTACACACACATACTGTACCCGTGTATATACAATACAGGTTAAGGAAATTAATGTCTTTAGAACGAATGGCTCCCTGTCCCAGCCGCGAAAAAGCCGGCAACTTTAAAACTACCCGCAGACATTCTTGGGTACATCCAGGGTGTCATCCGAAAATAACAGAGGACTGCAAAATAAAAATCTGCGAATTATCCGGGTATACTGAATATGTAATAAATGGCGATCTAGTGAATATTGTATACAATCTATATAAATATAGTCCCCATATGTAACTATATGACCCTTCATTGAGTTACTATTAAAATAAAGGAGAGGGACTACAGTACTTCCAAGCTCAGTTCCCCCAATTTTTCCAATTTCCACTTTTCTTTAGTACAGTAACCCCTGATCCCTAAACTTAAAAGTTCCTATTATAATAATGAGGGAAATGTCTAATAAGTAAACTCAACTCAAAATTTAATCAGGTGCTGTTAAAAATAAAGGATATTTCTTGCTAGTACTGTACTGTATACTCCCCTCCAGTAACCATATACTGTACCCCACACCTACCAGAGTCCACTCATGAGGGGTACTCTACTCCCTATTACTATTACCTTGCTTAGATAAAAATAACTTATGTGTCAGTACAGTCAGCCAAGAATAAAAATCTACCAGCCTAGTATTTCATTTGGGTTTGATACAGTGTAAACTATAAAAAAAGTGATTATAAATAAAGTTTCTGATACTTCATGTCAGTAATCTTGCTTGGGAAAGTATCTGGCTGCTCATAGGCAACAAGATTTTAATGGCTTTAGAAATTATACCATTGGAAACTATTAAATATGATTTTGGGTCTTGATACCTGGATAACAAAGGTGTCAGCATACTGAACTGTGCTGCTATATTTACAATAGATCCTCAGGTCAACTAGGGTTAGTATAATGGAAGCCACATCAAAAACCATCACTATTAGTCCACACCAAACAACTGGTTGAGAGCTTTTGGGTAGGCATTTTAAAAATGTCTTCCTGGCATTCTTGTGAAGGAATTATCAACCTAAAGGCCCTCAACCATAAAATTTTGTCAAAGACAAACCCAGTGTTAGTCAGTCCCACACAAATGTACTAGAGAAGTGGAGAGGTCTAAGACTCAAATGTTTAAAGAAACTAGAAGGTAGTCTCTGTCACCACTTATGAAATATCCTATTCAAGCATAACCCCAGAGGAATTCTTCACCTCTTGTGGCTGCGGTCTCTAAGGGCATCATGGTGGATCATGTGGCGATGGTGCTGACTATGGTGGGCATGGTGGTTGTTGTGGTGGTGGTGATGGTGATTGTGTGGTGGAGGCAGATGCAACACCAAGAGCTTCTTTTTGTTCTCCCGGAGATTTGGCGGACTTGCTGTGGGGGGATTAACCAAGACTGGAGGGCCTGAATTGGTACTGGCTGTGATGGAGGCAGCAGGAACAGCCCTAGAGGTGGTTGTGGCAATGTTGTCCACTCTACTAGTGGATGCCCTGGATATGGTGGGACTGCTACTGGATGCCCTGTAAGTGGTGGGACTGCTACTGGATGCCCTGGAAGTGGTTGGACTGCTACTGGATGAGATGCTACTTGTTACCACCTGCCTGTTGGCGGTGCTGTTGACCATAACTCTGGGCACAAGTGGAGATGGCGGTGGTGGCGGCGGCAGCCTTAAATATATCGGCAGAAATTTGGGGGAATGATCAATATCGTACATTTGGCAAACAGGCGGAATAACAATATTCAGTTGGCCCAGTACTGTACCTCATTTCACAATGGAACTGCTGTCTCCCCTTACCAAAAATTATAAATCACTACCTATCTATATCTCATACTAAATCCAGTACCATCTATGAAGAATCGAGAGTATATAAACTTGTGCACAGTGGATGGGGGGCTTACTCTCTTCATACGTGCAAGAGGAGGAAAATTTCTCCCACTCAATAGAGCTTGAGTCATCATTCCTGAAGGAGCCTAAACCACTACATAGAATTTTATTCATTCTTCTATTGGTATCATATTACATCTAACAGAAGTACTGACACAAAGCTTACCTTTGATATCAGGTTTCAGGGATCCAATACAACCAAAGAGCCACACAGAGGAATCAAAAGTAAAGAAGCAACAACACTTTTGTGAAATGTGATAAAGTGCAAATATCTCATGCCACTAAGTGTGCAGTTGCTTAAGCTGCAGCATGTACTGTACACCCTTAACTAATAATATCTGGCAAAAATTTTTGATGCATTTCAAAGCATAAGTTAATATACACACACTGGATATCACATTACACAATTACACACACAGACACGTCATCCGAATTTATGTCTACTTCGTAAAAAATCAAATTCACATGTCCATGGTTTACTTTTAAGACCCACATTTTGTTTATACCACACTAAGGTTTGCATGTAAGTTGAAGTGCACTACACTTTTCATCTTTCTCATTTGTAATGCATTAGAGGAAAGCATCTGTCATGCCAGAAAGCACTTGGAGCATAGCCTAGACCTCTTCCAAGTACAGTTTTCATTAGCATTTCACTAATTTCTAGTGCTGTCATTAGTAAATAAACACACTGTGGTTTGAAAACATAATTTAGATCATCAGAAAGTTTACTATAAGAGTAATAATTTAAAAAATCATGGAATACAGTACTCAGTTCCCGAGTTACAGGATCTTGATACATATTTCAGAGTTGGACCATTGTCTGTGAAGATCTTTTCCCTGGACTTAATTTTGCACCACTTCTAATGTTGCAGTTGATATAGTAAATAAACATTCTTTAATTTAGCTACAGTGCTTGTATTACATCCCAGACCACAAATAAAGTAATAATCTTAAGTAAAAATTTATCTACAGTACCAGTATATTGTATAGTAAGTACTCTATTTACATTGTTCCTGTTTACTGTGCTACAACATCAATGAATTAGACTACTGTATCATCAACATCAACATCACATATACTGGTTAAGATCCAGTTGTGTCAGGACATGTACAGTATAGTGACTTTTCACCCGTTAAACCTGAGCAAAACACAACAAACACCAGCACAAAATGAGCAGTAAGTGATATTGTTGCCTCTGTACTGATGGGGAACAAGCTGTGGACATCATCAGGGACTTTGGCTCACCAACATAAATGCTGAGAACAATGTATGCTAACACTGATAAAATAAGATAATCTGCTCTGAGAACCCCCATCAAGAGCTGTTTGAATAATAAAAGACAATAGATAATATGGAGCAATTATTGAACATTTGGGAGGAAAATCCAAGTTAACAAATAGTGCCCATGAGTATGATCACTATGGTGGGGTAGAGAAAGAAACACGACTAAGAGATGGAGCTTTATTCCTAACGTTTCGTCTTGTGACAAAACACCAGGAATAAAGCTCCATCTCTTAGCCGTGTTTCCTTCACTACCACACTACCATCTGTCTACTATCAACACTATCCATTTCAATAATTATTAAATTAGAATATTAACAATAAAAAGGGTAGTGTCTTTTTTTTCTGCCAATAATAATAGTTTGCAGTAATTAGACACAGATGCTCACAAGAATGTATCGGCATCCTAAAATTTTCTCATAAGTTGATGGTAAAATAGGATTCAATTGTCCATGAACACATCCCCCCCCCCTCCCCCCCAATGTAAATAGAGGTCTTACTGTAGTGTATCTGTAATTCTCTTTTAGGAAATTTCAAGATGGTCCATATAATAATGATGATCATGCAGATATGTATGTACAGTACTGTATATATTCCAAGCAGGTGACATATGCTCAGGTCTACAAAAACAATCCTATGTCCATGCCCGACATAAACATACAAAGAGATAGAGTCACAAAGGAAATAAATAAATAAAGACAGATATTTGGAGAGTGATAAGAGATATAAACAGAGCATAGAGGAGATTCATATGAGAGACACATACATAAACAATGAAACAGTAAGAAAGAGGAGAAAAATAAAAGAATAAAGAGTAACCAAGAAATAAAAACAAAACCAAGAAAGGTTACTAAGCTGCACAACACATAAAACACAGTACTTGTTTTCCTTTTTGGATATTTCATACCTACAGTATATCAAAGTCAACATATTGAGCTGAAACAAAACTTGAGTAAAATATATATCAATACAGTGGAATGAAAGTATGACAGCCAATGAATTTCTCTGAGTACAAAGGTTGGGTCGATTAAGTTAATTATCTTATACTTGTTTGCTGATTACATTAATCAACTGCAGTACTGTACCTAAATTATAAAATACTGTACAGGATAACTCTAATTACATGATATTTTCAATGAACTTTCCATTTTAAAAAATGGGGGTGGGTAGGGTTGTTAGAACCCTCTAACCCATGGACAGGTGAAGTTAATGGGCAAAGGCATATGGCCTAGGGGCCAAAATCAGGAAAGACAGTCATTTGAGCAAATTGTTTCCACAGATTTGGACAAAACCGGAAAGCAATAATATGATTTTAATTCCTGGGACTGGGATGTGTCAGGTTTGGTCAAGTCAGATCACATAGGAACAAAGGGCCTCAAGCATGCTGCTTGAGGCCCTCAGTGAATATTTTATTTTGTATTTACCCTGTATCCAGAAATTTAATGAGACAAAAACACACAAATATGTCAGTACTGTACCACCACGATTGGTTACGTATAATGGTGGTTCTACAGAAAGCAAAAAGTTTATTGATTAGCTTAACTATGATAACTTTTCATATTAACAATCTAGCTAGTTAATTATCAAAATACTGTATATAGACAAAATGGTTGGATTCACAAATTAAACTGGTTAATTTTGAAAGTTAAATGACCCAAACCTGCCAAGAATATTACCAAATGTTGACAAAAAAATGATCTTACTAAAAATCAAAGTATTGTATACTGTACACTGAAATAAAGACATCATCATCATCATGCAAGTAATTCCAATTATCAATAGTGCAACAGAAGCCAAATAAAGATGATTGTGAGCCAAAAGGGCTCCAGCTGTTACAGACACCAACTTAACCTAACAATAAGGATAAAGAGTCCTTTACGACTGGGCCCTAACCTAACCTATACAATTGGGGTCCCTAAAATCAGATGCCATTAGAAATTCTTAGATTGGGGTCTAACAGAACTGGGGCATGATGTGATAGCAATGTGCAAATGGCTTAGAGTTGACTGCAAGTATTATCTAGATTGTGAGAAAAAAATAACAATCTTAGCAAGGAAATATATACATTATAATGAATAATTCAAGTTTATGGTGAAATTAAACATCTTTAATTATTATCAAATCTCTAACAAATGCTGTATGACCTTTACTACAGTACATATCAGAAATTTTTACACTAACATTAATATCACCATCTGTGAACAATGTATTCCAGTGTAATAATAAATTTTGTACCATCAAAAAATAGTGGAATACAAAACATCATCCTGTTAACTGTACAACCAACATCATTCTACTTGCAACAAGGAAGCACTCATGGCAACTGCTAAATACCATAGCACCCGCCATGATATTATACAAACAGCTGAACTACACCATTCTGGAGAATCAAAGCTTGTATAAGGTGTATTTTTAGTGTGGAAGAAACAGTCTCCCAATCTTTTTAAATACAGATCAGTTGGATGAAGACAGTCAATCCATAAAACCTTCAGTTAAAATTGGAATATCAAAATTTCAAATAGAATGCAAGTACTGTACACTGTATTGTCATAGTTTTACTGTATATATATTCATTATCACATTACTGTACGATAACAACAATTACTGAGTGTATCACTTTGACCTATAAGTACCAAGAAGAGTTCCCTCCTTTATTAACAATACAGTACTAATTTTGACAAGCTTGAAGTAATATACCAGGTGATTATAAATGATCTCCCCATGTAAAAACATTTCTTATAAAAACTAACAAAGCTACAGCAAAAAGCAGAGATTCTAATAAAGAATTTTTAAGGGAATTCCTTTTAATAATGACAGTTTTAAATGTTTTCCAGCGTGGTGCCCCATTCCTTGGCCAGATCATTCTCCCGATCTCAGCCCCATTGACTTTTTCCTCTGGAGCTCAATCCAAAAATTAAATTTTTGTTCCTTTAATGTCAGCAATATTGGAAAATTTTGAGAGAATATGAGAGCTGTTGAAAAGTTCAGTATAATATACTTCAAAATATATGGCGGGAAACAGAATACTGTTTTGATGTCTGCAGAGCTTTTCTCTACTTTTTTTTTTCATAATAAATGTTTAAAATCTGGAAGATCATTTGTAATCACCAGGTACAGTACTCAGTGTTACCTGTAACACAAATTAATCGATCTATACCTGTATGTACTGTATATCTCAATTCTCAAAGTAAACAAACATCCATGTTTGATTCACGTTTACTTCTTAAAGCAAAAGGCAATGCACTAAACACTATGAAAAAACTATAAACATACTGTATATAACTTATATTTATGACAGAAACATCAATATCTACTCCAAGAGGACCAGAGACCTCACAACTCTTATATTTCCCATTATAAATATAAGGTAAATTGTTCTGTTGTGCACCAATGTGCACCATCCTTTTGTTAATAAAAACAAAATTATACGGGTGAACTATAACCGAGTTTGGAATCCGTATTCTTGTAAAAGAAAAAACAATTTACTGATCTTCCTCTATTCAGAGTAGTTTTAGAAATTTTTATAAAAACTAACATCAAATACAGTATACTTATTTACATTTTGAATTATCGAGGTCCTTACGTCCACTGAGGTAAAAAAATAAGGTGTGACTAAGGCTTACATTGGTGTCGCCGGGTAGCCAGATGCAGGGAATTCCAGTTCGTTCTGTGGACGGTCGTTGTTGGGTCTTCCCTGGCCTGGGAAAGCCAGACGGAGGTTGCTTCGACGCCCTGAAACAGTTACCGTTAAGTGTCAAGAAACATTCCAATAATTCCTGTACATCAACACCTAGTGGACACTGCATAGCTATGTCTCCTATCCTAAGGGTTACTCACTGGTTTGGTCCTGAGGCACTCCCAGTTCATCCAGCTTTCTTACCATTAGAAAACTCCAAATTAAAGTCCAGGAATAAAAATTTTCATACATTAGTTTTTCTGTAGATTGTCTCCCTCTCAATAATGGACTTGTCTCCACCACGTTTATCCGCCACCATTTTTGCACTTCAAATGTTGTTGTCAAACAACTCTTAACAACATCCTTGCACAAATGCTGCTGCATTATACAGTTCATGAACAAACCACCAAACTTAACCTAACCTTAAGATGATGTGATATCTTTTACTTAGATTAGGATAAGTAGATTAGGTTCAGCAAGTTTGGTTATCTTTTGTTTTCTTACCTTATTGGAACAATCTAAGCACTTGATCTGTGCTTTTCTCCAGGTATCAAAGAACTTGATCAATACAATACAATAATTTTTTTTGTCAAATGATGCACATATTCCCATAGATTTCCATTATGAAATCCAACATATGTTCCTAATAAAATGTTTCTTTCCCAGAATTTCATAAAATGCCACAAAATACTCCAAAAGAAAATAATTAATTTTTTGTGTGCATATTGATTAAAGACATCTAATAAATATAAGTTAAATACAAACAACTGTAATAAGTTTATACTTGTACTGTCCTCAAACAGAAAATAGAAGAGATTAAAAACAAAGTGAAAGTATGAAATGATAAGCCAATACAGTACCTATTAAAATACCCTTCAATTACATCAGTTTCCCTTACACTGTACTGTATGTAAGTGGACATACATTATCTACAACAAAATATAAAATCCCATGTTCAACTCCTGATGAGTTCCTGCTTCAACGTAAATTCCCACTTGTTTACGAGACACTGAAGTTACTGTTAGACACCTTGAACTATGACCAACACTGGTTCAAGCATCATGCCCAGTGTGCTCTGTGCTTTGTTTAATATTTTTTTGATTTTGCTTTCACAATGCCCTCGAACAAACACCAATGATACAACTTAGTTTCACAAGGTAAAATGAAAATATTTGTTGCATGTGTAATTTGTTTTTATTTTTACATATTGAAATATTTAAACACCAGCGCCTTAAAACCATTTGAGAAAAAATAACAGGACTGTATACAGAGCCACAACATGTTTATAGCCAGCTACCATCCAGGCTCCACTCACTGTCTCTTACAACAATACCTCTATTGTACAGTACCCCAAAAAATTATCTGCCAGGATGGGTCCGATGATTTCCAAAATGCTACCTGCAACTCGTGATGTCCCGGGAGGGTTGGAATGCCTGGCTCTGTGGCAGACTGATCCTACTACATTTGGTAACCGAACATCATATTAATTAAGCAGAAATAAACACACATTGCATTACTGATGTTAAACTATATACTACCAGAGTAAATGTATGTCTCAATATCTATCATCCATGGCCACTTAATGTTTCACAGTGTAGACATACTTTTTTTGAGATACTGTACATAATTAACAGAAATTAAAAAATATAAAATAATTTTAATTTTTTTTATTTTCCACATATTACACATGGCAGTTAATGAGAAATATTTAGACAATCAGGCAACTGGCTGAGTGACTGTGTGAGTGCTAAGTCAACTGGTTCCAACATGAGTTTGAGGAATAAGTTACATAGTTATAATAGGAGAACGATAACATGCAGAAAGCTTATTTGTCAACTTAATAACACAGTGAAAATTAAGAGATTGATGAAATAAGTTAGTGAAATAGGTAAGCATGGTGGTAGCATATTAGCATAATTTTATCATTACATTTTTTTTTGTGGATGTAGGTACAGCAGCTGTAATGATGGTGTGTGTTGTTAATGGTTATGGTTAAGTTAGGTTAGGTTAAGTTAGTTTACATTATGTCAAGTTAGGTTTACGATAGGTTAGTAAGAACGAACACCATCTTAGGAAATATCTTTGTATAGTCTGCCCACCACACATGCACATTAGACTGTCGTACCAATGGACAAAGTTCCGCATATAGTTACTATATATATATCCTGCGTCTATCTTTTTCCATATATTCAAGGCTCGACTCGTAAATCATAATGCTCGTAATACATTTGAGGTTTTGGTGCACAAGAACCATTAAATACTACCATATTTTGTTGTGTACTGCTAACTTCATTCTTACTGAGGTCTTCATCGGTGATAAATAACGTGGAATAGTTATGTGCAAAAATAATGGAACAGCACTTTAACTAGCAACTACAAAAACAATCTCAAACATTACCCAATCAACACATTTGAGGTATATATAATGTCCAGTTACAGCAGACGTGTTTATAGGTGTATTTGTGAACTAATACATTAACCAGCAGACAAGTTTACCGTCCAGTTAATGTGGTTATAGACACGTTAATGGACATACCTGGCGCTTCAGCAGACATACTTAAGGGTCTATCTGGTGCTAATATACTATATATTAGTAAATAAGGCACACTCAAGGTCCTGTCTACTGGTAAAGCAGACAGATTTAAGGTCATACCTGGAGCCACAGCAGACATGTTTAAGGCGCCTGGCCTGTTGTTTTGGCCTGACGACTGCTGCTGCTCCGCCATTCCTCTGTGTCAATGTCAATAATCAGGCGAGGATGTGGTGATGGGCGGCTCGTTATTGGTCTTGGGTCCCAGGAGTTGCCATTTCCACCGTGTGCGGGCCAGTGAACCACTCAGAAGCCACCAAAGTTGAGCAGTAACAAGGGTGACTGGTCAATGGTCATCCTCCCCACTTGTCAATAGCTCTCCTCCAACTGACGGGACACGAACCTACAAGTATTTTTTATTGGCGACGTTTACCACTTTGTAATTTGTTTATAGGAAAATTAATTATACTTTAAAATCTATGTTTATAAATTACTTAAGTCTCATAAAGTATATGTTGTTGTTTTTTTATGAGGAATAATAACTATTAATTATTTAAAGAAGATGAGCCTAAATTTTTTTTTAAACCATATGTATGTGTCGGTTTTTAAATAGCTTTCTCCAGTTTTATACACCTTTTATAATTATATGAATCCATCTGTTCATTAAAAGATATTTTAGAGAAGTAAACTATATTTTACTTTTAATTTTACTATCATACCTTGCATCCTAATTTACCTACCTACACTTTACTTTTATTTTACGTTTCAAGTTTTCCTTCACTGGAGGAAAATGACCTTAACCAAAGAGAGCTTGACCTTAACTAACACCGCCGTCACTGGCTGCCAGGTACCCGAGGGCCGAGGCTCCTTGACCACAGTCTCGACCCAGCTTACAGTACATATGATTATTGTTAGAAACTTACCACAAACAAGACATCCAACCCATTTTTTATTTTTAATGGAGACGACGTAACTTTTACTTAATATGAATAATTTATTGTAGTCTTTAGTTTGGTTAATAATAGTTGGGTGAGGTCTCTTGTAAAATTAAATGGGTTCGTTGTTATGTTCGTGATAATATTTTAACATTATCTACCTCTGGCTCCCTGACCGTGAGTGAGAGAAGGAAAGACTAAGACTATTGAAGGGAGTCTGAGGAGGTATTTTAAGGTTTAAGGAATACGTTACTTAAAATTCAGACTTCCAAGATGGGGATAGACTATATCAGCTACGCCTACGCTACCGCTGTGGCCATGGGAGGTGTGGTGGGCTACGTTAAAGCTGGTCAGTATCAGTGATGAAATTCTTTAGTAATATCTTATCTGTCATCCATATCTCACAGCACTTAATTCACTACCCTTCATCCCGTCTGTATTATGTAGTTAACTCCAGTTACCCCACGTGTTTATGACAAATATTGTTACTATGAATTAATTAAATGTTTCTACAGGTATTATATATATTGTAAAACTCTGATGATAAAACACCCTAATGCTACTATGTAAGGGGGTTAGGTTAGGTTAGGTTAGAATTTTACAAGAATTCCTTTATGATTTTTATGGTAGCACTATAAATTTGTTTAACTTAATCAAATGAAAACTAATCCACCCATTATCTATCTACCTGTACTGAATGCTCGTTTACCTTGATACATGTTACCAAATTTTAATAATATCTCACCTAACCAAATTTAACTTAACCAACCAACCTAAATATAACTTAACTGGTAACCAAACAAAAAATTTACCTGTCTTTACCTAATCAATTGAAAGTTTATCCTAAATTATCCAGACTAACCCAAATTTTGTCGAAGGTTAACTATCCAAAGTTTATTTAACTATCCTGAGTGTAGCCTAATGTAAACCTAACCAAATTTACAAAAGCAGTTCTAATGTGAGATAATTTTCTAACCATAGTATATTGAAACGTTGCATAATTCAACATAAGTTAAATAATCAACTCAAATTTAATCTAACTGGTACATCTAACCCAAATTTAACTAGTCAGCAGTCAAACTTTAACTTAACCTATGAAAACAGTTATGGTAATTAAACTGTACATCACCAACCCAAAGCTAACCTAACCTATCAAGAGTTATGCTGACTTTATCTGAGAAATATGAACTTGACTAAACAGCTCCTCATAACTGAACTTTAACCAAACTATGTACAGTATTTCTCCAGAATCAATTAATTGACTGAAGAATAGTCATTAATGATTGACGCAACATTCTTAATATATAACAGATGATGCTGGAGAAAGAACAAGTCTCTATTATCAGGAATAATTGAATGAATTTCCTACAGACTGAGTAAGAATGAATGAAATATCTCATATGGAACAAGGAAGAGCAATCGACTTGTTCGTATTTTTCAAACAAATTTCAATCTAGTTTTAGTTTCTTATGCATGGTGTGTTTTACAGGCAGTGTACCTTCACTCGGGGCAGGCCTTCTCTTTGGCTCATTATTGGGTTTTGGTGCATACCAACTGAGTGCCAACCCAGCTAACTACTACCTCACCCTGGGCACCAGCACTGTCCTCGGGGGGATGATGGGGATGCGCTTCCTCAACTCAGGGAAGTTCATGCCTCCTGGATTGATTGCAGTGATGAGGTAAGGTTATTGCCTGTGTGTTAGTTGTTGGAGTGAGACTTTAGTAATATGGTGTAGTCTTTTATAATGAAACTCAATTGTGTGGAAGATCATTCCCAAAAGTATAGAGTCAGAATAAAGGTGTAAGATGAGTACAGGGTATTAGGTACTGGTAGGTAGGTAGGTTAGATACTGTCTTTTGTAAAATCGTCAGAAAATTTATATTGTATTAGCTTGTACACTTGCCCGCAGGAGTTACATCAACCCTTGGTGGCGGTTCAGTACAGGTGGTAAAGTTACACTGATGAATGAGACAAGTTGCCTACTACAATTAAGATGGCGTTTTATTTATAACAGGGCATACTGAATGTACACTCATGTATGGGTATAAATAGTGTCTAAGTAATAAATTCTTAATGAAATGAATGCTAAGTAATGTAAGAATCTTTTATATAACTGCATATTAATCTGTGGCCTCCATAGTACTAGACATCAGTCAGCATACATCAACCTGACTGTATACACAGCCAGGTGAGTGGTAACATTTCTGTGATATGAGTACTGTGCTGTATAAGAAGGTAGATTATTTACCAGTGTTGTGGTAGTACAGTGCTGTAATGGTAAGGATGATTTAAGAACACTGGTGAATGATATTAAATTTTTTTTTCTTAGATAGGAAGCATTATTATAAGGCTAAACCCTTTAGGCCTCGCACACTACCAACCCTTCCCTATGTTTCTCATGGCCCTATCTCACTTTTTTAATCCAGCCATCCCAACACCAGGGCTGAGTTCATCCCTTGTCAAGTGATGGAATTTGTCATCACCAGTGGCAGGGGACGGGGTTACAGGAGTGGAACTTTACTCCTGCAGGCAACTGTACATAGAGAGTACAGTACAATATAGGCATATAAGCAGTGGTCAACAATAAGCCAATTCAACCAAGGATATCCCAAGAAAGCTACTAAAAGGCTTATTTCCATTGGGATCCTTCAGTAATCCAATGACTGCAAATTAGATACTGTATAAAAATTTGTCTGACTACAAAAAATGACGAGTAGAGTATTACATTACCCTTGCTGAGACTGGTGGGTGTCTTTCACGACAACATTCATAGATCAGCAGTACAAATAATCATTTAATTTGTTGCTCTTATGAATGATTGCTTCAAAATCTGCACTTATCATAGTTTTTAAAAGTGTTAAAAGCACCATACAATTTACTCTTAATATAAAATGTGATGTACGGTACAGTATTTGTTATATTGTATCGATGTATGCATAATTCATACTGTACTCTGTGAAGAAGAATTCTGTGTTCATTTTGGTCTCTATATTTGCTATGCACATCAGAAATAAGAGTGAGTGTTATCTCTATTAAATTATTATTATATGGATGAAATATTAATATTCAGTTTCATGGTTTTCAGTCTTGCCATGGTAGCACGATTGGGAGCACGAGCAGCTGGTTTGACGAATGGTAGATTGGAGTGAATTAAAAATCCCTCAGTGAAGGCAGGTTGTTCATGTTGGTTTTGGAAGACCAACTGTATACTGGGGTAATAATATGTGATTGTTAAATATGAAGTTCCATTATTTTTGTAGGGTAAACATTGGAGCAAAGGCTTCACCAAACTTTTGTGTGTGTTAATGAAGAACACCCATTGCCCATAATGTGAGGGAAGACACCACATTCACAAATTAACCTGGGCTCTGGGTTTTCCTCTCTAGTACTGTACATCAATTGGGATCCTTAATAATTTTTTTTGTATATCTTGGTAAATTTGCCCCAGTGTGAAAGGACTTGATATGCAATATATTATGCAGTCAGTTGTGTAGCTTTTATGAATATGTTGAATGTTGGGTAAGATATTTTAAAAACATTTGATAGAGAAATATCTTTGAGAGGGTTTTATTTGGATTCTTCTGTAGAAACTGTGTTTGCACAATTTGTTGCACATTTCATTTGTTATGTTTGTACAATAAGATATCAATTAGTAAAGAATATATCAAAATTCATGTTTGTTTTTATCCCCACTACCATCACTCAAATTAGGATGGGGCATGTGTTGATACAGACCACTTACTGGCAGATGGGCTTTTATGCCTCTGATGCCATTTTCATGCATCAGTACCATTCTTTTCTGTATCCTTGATGTTATGTTTATTTGCATAATCTTTTCTAAATATACCTCAATTTTTTTCAAGGATTCAAGGCAATATTTGGTATATTTATTGAAGAATTCTACAGATACACTGTAGTCATCACCTAATGGAATACTCATCAGTATCAATTCACAAATATATTTCTATACTCATGTTTAAATTTTAATGTTACCCCTGCAAGCTCTTATATGCTACAGCATTAGGTGGCTGAAGTCAAGATCAACACAAGGTCTGCCTCTTTGAATGTTGTTTATGCAGTTTAGCTGTTGTAAAATGTTTTACGCTGGTGTTCTCTTTCTACAGCATGGCCCCAAGGTATCCATCCACTTTACCTGTCATTTTACACAACCCAGCAGTTTACCCACCCCCCACTAACTATTCTGCATTATGATATAGTCTTGAATATTCTGCATCCAGGTGTAGATGGACAAAGTAGCAACTGTTGTTAGTTGAAACTGTATAAACAGGACTAGCCCCGACTTATCAATTACAGACGAGAAGTGGTAAGGTGGAATAGGTATAGTTTAGACCTTAGAAAATTAATGTAGAAAAAGGGTAGAGCTACTTGTAGACTTCCGCACTTACTTGCATTCCCGTAGTAGTATATTTTTCTTGTTATCGTATATCATCAGCATTACCAGAATTCCTCCCATATTTACTTGATGGAACAATGTTCATAATTTTGTTAATTGTATTGACATCTTTGCCATAAATTAAGGTAATTAAATTTCTTATGTAAATACTGGTTCAAGATTTCTTCTCGTATCTAAGTCAAGGTGCTAACTCTGTTGTATTATGTTATTACTGTACACATGCTGTATGCAATATAACTATGTGCAACTATCCTCCTATTTACGATGGGGTTGCATTCCTAAAAACCCATCGCAGGTCGAAATAACGTAAATCAGGATCATCATAACATGGGGTTCAATGGGATACATTCACAGCCAGTTGGACACCCACATGTATACCCCCCAAAAAAATCTACAGTAATACTTTACTTAAATACAATTAAACAACACTCACCACATCATTAACAACAAGCCTGGTCGTCATCACATGTCCCCTTCGAGGCTAAGGGGACTCTTGTAGGTGGAGTGAACACGTCATTCTGACTCCCACACAGCCCCTGGGAAGTCTCATCTTCACAATGTCAAGCTTCACCTCCAGAGACATGGTTTTCCTGGGTGCCTTGGCCTTCCCAGACATTTTCAAAGTTACACTGCTCACTTCAGTCACAAAAACAGAGCGAACGATAACATTATTGCAGCCAACACTGCTCACAACAACAGAAGCAAAACACTTTACAGTCACAAAAAACAACAAAAATCATTTCACAGTCGACAAAACAAAGTACAATGTGAATGGTAGCGATGTCCTCTCACTCTGAGGTAAAAACAAAACAAAAAAACAAACAATAAGTAACAGCACTGATACTGAATGATAATCATTGACCAACACTATGTTGGTCATGTGCGATCATCATGGAACAAACTTTGGTCCTGTAGTGGGCCTGGTGGCCGTATGGGTAGACAGTAGCTGAAGTGAAGAGTGATGCGTCCACGTTGGCTGAACAATGATCATCCCTCATATGGATTTTTTACATCTTAATTACCTAACCATTGTTAAAGCGAAATATCGTGGAACGGGAATACTTGTACAGTACTGTTTACAGTATATAAATCTATATTTGCATAAGCGTACAGTATGTTGCAGCACAAAGAACAGGCTCATTGTCAATTTTACAATTGGAAAATTATTTTACGAGCAACTGTATATTCAGTGTAGAGGAGGATGTAATGTAATGACTATAGGTATATGATTTCAGATCTAAAATGAACACTTTGGGAGTTAGTTAATTAGGAGATGGCAGGATAATTTCTACTGCTAAAAAAGACATATATAAGTACTGCATGTGTCTGGGTTTTAGGATAAAAAGATGAAGTTTATACAGGTGCCATTTTTATCTTTATTGTACAAATGTACAGAATCACTGCATTTGTATAGAAAGGCTGATTTAATTATCACAAAAAACTTGTTATTCTGGCACAGTTACAAAAGCAGAACCATAAAAAGTACCAAAAAAATTCAATACAGTACCTGTATACTGTACTGTATTATTGTCTTTTATCCTCTTCACCACTGATCGCCTCGTTAGCCGCTGGGGCAGTCGGTCAGTCTCTGTTATGCGCTGATGGCGGGTACTGGGCATGCACTGGCTCCTGAATGCATCTGAACCTGCTCCAGTGTTGGTCAAGTCTGGTCTTGAAAGAGCTCACACTCGGTGCCGTCACAACACTCACTGGCAGATTGTTCCACGATTTCACAACTCTCACTCCAAAAAAGTTTGCCCTAACAGTTTTCAGGACTTGTTGCTTCTTCAACCTTGAGCTGTGACCCCTTGTTGGACAAGCTTCCCATTCTTTATACAAGGTCTCCTCTATCTTCTTTCATACCTAGATGTTCTAAATAATTACAACATGGAGTACAAAAAAGGGGAAACCTATATAATTCAATGGGCATTGTTAGTTGAAAATTGAAGGAGAAATATTGAGATCAATCTTACAGATTACAGCTAATCACAGCCCTATTTTCCCAGCAACATCATAACTTCTGGACAATAAAATAATTTCTTCAAGTTATGGTACCCCACAGAACAAATAAATAATCCTAAGTGAGTCTTAGTACTCAGAACAACTCAAAACACAAACTTAAAAAGAACAAGAAAAAAAGCATAAAAACTCCTCTGGGAACTATTTAACATACTACAGTATGACAAAAGAAAGCTTTGAACAAGTGGTTATAAAAGTTATCTCAAACTCTACTGTTTGATATTAAGAGGATTTTATGAATTAATTTCAGTACAGTAATAGTTTATAGATATACCATTTCATTGCTATCCTTGGTTTCTGCACATTCATTCTTTTCAATGCAGTTATGTATAATACAGTCAACTACATTTTCTGGATACAAAGTACTGTACCCCACTAAATATGAACACTTAAGAAGTTGCAACAATACCCAAACTGGAGTTTCCATTGTACAGTATGGGTCTTGTCCCAATCTGATATGTGTGCAATTCATCCATAGTCTAGGTACAATACTCCAATTTTAGAGCAGTATCTGCCACAAATATGGGCATCTGCTGGAACTTGTAATTTGATATACTCTTGAGTGGTAGTAAATTATTTTGTAATTATTTCTTACATAACTCACAATATTCCGAGATATGATGATGCCCAGTTATGAGTTGGTAGGCCTATTGAGAGGATACCCACCTGCAGTGACTACTTATTTTTACATATTTTGTGCAAAGTCCTATTTCATTTGCATTGAGAATTTAACCAGTACACAGTACATGAACAGCGGTGTTTAAGTGAATAATAAAGTTTAAAGTTGGTGCTGTAAGGGCTTACACTACAGAATTGTACTGTAGTGCAGTGAGCGGGGGCCCCCCATCACCTCTGACAACTACCACATGGCACCACAAGCTTAAATTATCCTTATCCTTTGCCTGCAGTGCTGTAAGTGTTAATTTTTGTGCAAGTTTTCTGATTATGGTAGGTTATTAGGGCCAAAAAATTGGGTATTGGGGTGGGATAAAAGACTGGGAGGAAGGTAATTTACCATAATACTGTACAGTGTGATGTGGAGAACTGAGCATCCCTACACTCTTTAAGGATATAATATACGGGTAAGTTCACACGATGCCATGGTAGTGTCAAGTGACTGCCAATTTATATATAACAGAACTACAGTAAGTGTTCCTATCTATGTCTGGCCCCTACCCAGCAGAGGTAAATGGGGGGGAAGGTTATATGTTACACTTAAGAGCATACACTGGCTGTGAAAAAGAGAGAAAGAGTCTATCTGAAGATATCTGTATTAAGGTCCTCAGGTAGTGAGTGGTAAGGTTAAAGATTAAAGTCTACCCCTTCAGTAACAGACTTGATCCAGAGAAGGGCAACTGGCACCCCCCCCACCCCACCCCTCTGCCCAGTGGATGCCCAAGGCCACAAATCTTTCTCTATAGCAAAACAAAGTCCTGACAGTACAGTATATGGTATTGAGGCACAAAAGTGTTCTCCAGTAACATCCTAAAATATTATTGTACTATATAACTGCTTATTCTTATAGTCACCACCAGGACCAACACTGTTAGTTCTTATAGTCACCACCAGAGCAAACACTGTTAGTTCCTATAGTCACCACCAGGACAAACACTGTTCGTCCCTATAGTCACCACCAGGACCAACACTGTTAGTTCTTATAGTCACCACCAGGACCGACACTGTTAGTTCCTATAGTCACCACCAGGACAAACACTGTTCGTTCCTATAGTCACCACCAGGACCGACACTGTTAGTTCCTATAGTCACCACCAGGACAAACAGTTTTGAGTGACCATCATAACCAACACTGGGTTCACTTACACCTGGGAGGGACTGCTGCTATTTCTGTTATCTTTCATCTATTAATGCAAACATGTTGTACACATTATAAAAATACAGTATTGTCTTTTATATCATTAAAACATCCACCAATAGAATATTTATAAGTTTTAACTGATATTTCATAGACGAGATACTGTGTTAAATAAAAAAAAATTAAAGAAAGATTTACATTCATTATAATCTCCATAAACATGGGAAAAATATATAAATTATGGGATGTTAAAAGAATACTGTACAGGATCTCAGGTGGTTTTGAAATCATTAGTTCTCTACAAATGATTAGTCACACTAAAATTCTCAGAACAAAGGTTGTGCATTTCAGAAAATCAGCCAACTAGAATGAGGGTCAATAACAATTACATATTACAGTACAGTACACTACTTCAGTTTTTAAACATAAAATGGAAAAAAGAGGGTTATGTTTACATTATATCAATACTGTACAGTACTTAGAAACCCTCTCCAGTATTCCTAACCAAATAAAAACAATGAATTTATATTCCATAAACACAAAAAAATTATGACCATAGAAACCATTGTATAAAATAATGAGAAACCTAAGTACAGTACAGTATTGTAGTATAATATGTACTAATTTTAAAAACCTGCAAATTCACATATTTTTTCTTTAAAAATAATTTGATAACCAATTTAATAAACTTGGTTAATGGTTTAGAAATAATAAAATGTGACAAGTGACCTTGACAGGTTCTTAAGTAAAGATGTACTGCACTTGTTAGAATAGTACTGTACAACAAACAGGACTGTTAAGCCATCTATCTTTCAGGCAACACAAACTAATAACCTAAACAAGAAGCTAAGGAAGTATTGCTTAGGTTCTCTTGGTTTGTGTCATCTGCCTAAAAATGTTTATCAGTTCTGTTTACTGCATTTTTCCAACAGAGCAAATTTTGCATTATGTAAAACACCATAATGAGTGTTACCTCATTCTAATACAATAAAAGACAGATGAAACAGTACACTGAACCACCTTAAAATATTGCTTGTATAAATACAACACTGTATATTAAAGGTGAAAGGAGATGATAAGTGAAGTGTTTATATGGCTGAGTTAGCAGAGATTTTGTGATGTGTATGGATGTGGTGTGTGAATAAGACTCTGTAAGGCTCATACAGCAGTATATGGATCAACAGGTACAGTGTGAGCATTGTCATTACAGTGCAGACAATAATTGTACTTAAAAATAACCTTTTTTGGTACGTATAAGAATTTAGCATTCAACAAAATCAACGATGAATATAATTTTACAATAAGATCTGAAGACAGAACATCTATAAAACCCTTTTCATCCTCAATACAGACAATGCAATGGAGACATTTCCATCCACTTTTTTGTGTCTTTCCATGTTCTTCATGTCGAAAAATTAGGACCAAGATGTTTGTATTTAGAGATTATTCCTCTTGGGAGTGACAATGTCAAGTTCAAATATAGAGGTCACTGATTTACAATGTCCATTTGTTTCTATCTTTCTGTAATCCTTTATATCTTGTGATGCAAAGATTAGCTTTCCTAAAGATGCAGTCACTCATATTTTAATATACAGGTATCTCTCGCTTAACGAATGGGTTACGTTCCTGAAAAAAACATTAAGTGAATTTTCATATTTTGAATCATAGAATATATGGGAACAATAGGGTTCAGATCCTCAAATGACAAGAAAAACCCCAAAACATGAAATCGATTCATGAAAAAAAAAAAAAATAAATAAAATAAAAAATAGTACACAACTACAGGTACTGTAATTTACTACCTAACACATTAAAAACATTAATAAAATACCAGTACTATTTAGATGAAAATATGCAACTAAAACCATTATGGAAAGGTAAATGAAATTTTACCACAATTGCCATTTGCATAGAAACTGGCTGTGTGGCCTTGCCATAACAATGCAGCCCAGCTAGGATGCTGCCTCTACCAACCCTTAGCAACGGGGCTCCCACACTGCTCCCCTCCTACTCTTGCACACAAAGAAATGTTTATTTCCTTTTATGTTTTTGACCTTATGATAGTTATTTCCTATACTTTTCTAGGACATTATGTATTTAAGGTTATGTGTGCATGTAACTAAGCAAAAAAAAGAAGAAGACAGTTTTGTAAATCTACCCGATATTATGAGTTGATAAATAACCAAAACATAGCTCACACCTCAGACTGGTAGGGAGAGGGAGAGGGGCAATTTGAATTTTTGCTTGGACCAAAATAAGTATAAGTAAATTTTTGGATCTCGAACATCCATTAAGTAAGGGATGCCTGGAATTTCAACTAAAGTAACTATTTTCCCACAGATGCAAATTGTTTACACAAAATACTTGAGTGGCCATGGAATGACACATCAAACAGATGGACAATTTCGGTCAGTGATATTTCTTGAAAAACTCGATACCCTTAAACTGGATATTCATACCACACATGACAATTCTAACCCCTATACATATACTGTATACTATAGTCTACCCTGGAGTACAATCAAATACACACACACACACATACATAACATTTTTCTTTAGGAAAATGAAGAAAAATAGATTGACATACTCATCAGGACACCAGAAATCATTTAAAATTATATTATTCCAAAAATGATTTATCTGGATTATGACACAGTACTACTAAGTCTTATTAAGTAGTCAGTGTCATGAAGATAAAATTATTAAAAATAAATAAATAAATAAAAGAAAAGTAAAGAGAAAACACATACCGTAAGTTAATTGAAAACAACTGTAGAGTAATACTGCATCAATATGGTATATGTGTTATGAGCTTTGCAGAGTCTTGTCACTATAAACTATCTTAATAAACACTGTGTGACAGGTGGAATACAGAGTTAGGTATTCCAATCACTTCTTTCAAGATCCACTCCACAAATATCACAAAATAATTTAAGTTGTTATTTTGAACCCAACAGGTGCCATCAACACTGTTCTTATCAGTAAAATGCTGAAAACATAGAACTGACAACAAGTTCTTTCTCTGGGTATACAACCCATGTGCCTTCACCATAGTTTCTTAACACTCCTCCACGAATATTATACGTTTCCACTTTTTGATCTTCTAATTGACTGTCAGTGGACATTCCTTTACTGAAGGCTCTCTGTTCACATTTCACAGCACTAATTAAATCAAAACCTGTGCATACTGGCTTCACTGTAGGGGCATAAGCAAGAGTCAAATGTGCTCGACTTCCATTCCCTGATGTTGGGTGAAACCTGTCCTCTCCAATCTCTGCATCCACTACTCTACAAGTTAACTGACAACCAGCCCTTTTACATTTATTTGTTATATCATTTTGTTCCATATTATTAGGAAATTCTTGTGGCTGTTCTTCACAATTTACATTATCTTTTCTTGATACTACAGGCTGAAATACAGACTCAGGAGGGTCTTCATTATCATCGTTACCCCACAACTCTAATTCCTCCCACGTCAGTTTTAATCTCGCTCCAAATGTTCTAGGAGTAATTACAAATCCTATAATGTGTAGTTGAAAACACTGGCCCATAGCCCTTCTGATAATTGAATTCTTCATATATTCCATTGCACCATGTTGTTTACCTCTCCCAGTGAACTTTGCTGTAGCATGGAGTGTTTTGCCCTCAGCATCAGAATCCAGAGAGAAGAATTTTAATATCTCTGAAAAACAAACAACAGTTGGTGCTACACTCTGCCTTTACAATACAGAATTATTTTAAAACATCACTGATGATCTACTTATCTATCTATAACTATAAACTAGTGGCCCTCTAATATTTGGCATCATTAATAAAACTTTTTATGTTAAATTATATATACATTAAATTCATTGAAATACAGATTAACTTGACTGAAGATTTAGACAGAATTCAAGGCAAATATTTCCGTCTTTCTTAGGGGAACCAAATTAATAATGTTCTCCTCACTGCCCTCGGTATTATTGTGGTCTACCCTCGAGTCATGGAAGATGTACAGTGGCTTTTTTCTCTAAAATATTAACAGGGGACACTTCCAATCAGCGAGTGTATGGGTAAGGTTACAACCTATTTTTGAGAAATTTGACCTCATGTGAACATGCTTATCTATTTGTTTTAGTTCTCAAACCATCTACAATACAATGTTACAGTCAGTAAATAGCTTTATTATTTTTTCACTAGTGTACTTTATACTCGCATCTAAATTTATGAAACATGTTATTTGTTATTTAATCTTTGTATTAAATTAGGTTCCTCTATCAATGGAGTTTCACAGATGATAAATTGGCAGAAAGGCACAACTTAACCCCAGTCATCAAGGACAATTAATAGGCACTGTATAAAGAAATCTGATCTCTTGTATTACAGTATTAAAGATCCCACTGGTAACTACAATTCTCAGCTGTAACAACCACTTATTAATGGCACTAGAGACAAAGAATATCAATGGGACTGTCTACTATTTGCGAGTAAATCATGCTGCTGTAATTATATGTACAGTACCTTCACCGGAGTCTAGTTGTGTATTCTGAGAGAAGTCTTGGAAGAAATCATCTACATTCAGGATTTGCTGCAGCCATTCTTGTCCCATTGAGTAAATCTTCTTTGAGTCCACTTCATTAATGAACCAGCCATAGTATATAGGTTGGACTGGTTGGTAGGATTTGACCTAGTCAGGAGAAAAATAAGTTCCTAAGCTTGCAAGAATATTTATGAGGCTATCTGTTGACTATCTTTCCTATAAACATCAAATCTTAGTATGTCCATTGAAATCCAAAATCTCAAATGGAAAACTTCCATATTGGTGTTCTGAATCTGTTTCCCCATCTCCAAGAAAGCTTTTCAATAAAAAAAATCCCTGAGAGATGTTTTGCAAATATAAATTCTCTTTTTTTGTCCAGAAAGTTTATTCCTAAACACAGTTTTGGAACTACAGTAGGTTTCCACTCTGCAACTCCCAATACCTACAAAACAAGTAATTTGAAGGATCCTAGGCATTATAACTGCTTTGGATTAAGTTATGAGAGAAGTCAGGTTATACCAGAGGGTACATTAGGTGGTGTACAGTTGGATGAAATGAGGTTAGGTTAGATTAGATTAGTCGAGATCAGTTTGAGTTAGGTTAGGTGGTTTTGAAATTAATGGAATTTAGATATTTCTTTATTCAACAGGGAGATGTCAGTAAAAGATTCGTGAGAAATAAGAATGATGAAAGTTGGGGCTATATAATAAAGGGGATACACATTTCTTTGTACACAAGGGTTTAATGTACAGTATACCTGTACAGGACAGATTGAGAAATACTGTACTTGTAATATGACCACACTTAACCATTTCCTTTGCCCTGTAAGTGTTAACATTTGTAATTTTTTGTTCAAAAATCTTTTCAACAAGATGATAACAGTTAGCTTACTTACCTTCTGAGCAATAATTTTCTGTGGGATATCATGTGAGTTTTTCAGTGCAAGTTCCCTAGAATCCATTGCCCATGGTGTTTGAGTTTCCATTACCAAGGGAATGTAGTGGTGCTCCTTAGCTAGATCAAGATAATATTTCATTTCCCAATTGCGTACATTTGTATTGTCAATGACAATTACATGAAGACCTTCCTTTGCAGCCTCACTAGCTGTGTGCTGGCAAAACTCATGTGCTTCCTTCAGTTGGTCTCTATCAAACTGGTACCTACATACAATGAAGGAAAGTGGTTAAGCCAAATGTTAAGTTGATAGGTATAACAAAAACATTAAGCATACACTAAATAATGTCTTGGACTGATAAAGGTACAGTGGTCTACTTCTGTCCGTTTGTCTCCAAAAAGTAATTTTCCAAGACCACTGAGATGAACTTGTATCTAGAAAGTACTTTTTCTCAATCATAATGTCAACCAAATACCAAAATAACTGTATGTCTGTACTTATTATTTTACCATACATTACTGGAAAAATTAAACTTTGGCTACTAACTCTCCATCACGCATGAAGTAAGAATCAGCTGAGCATACAACTGCATCTTCATACACTTCTTTGATCTTCTGCGCTATGAAACTCTTGCCAGATCCTGGTATGCCCTTCAAAATCAACATGATCTGAGGAATGAAAATACATTTTATTAAAATGTAGTTTCTTTCTTACTTAGGAGTATCTGAACAAAACTTCTATTACTGTGTCTAGATCCTCATCTGTGTGCATATTCTGGTCTTGATCTATCCACTATGTCATAGTTACTCAACCACTGTCAACACAGTAATTATGGTAAGTTTCTTGCCCTTTGAATCATGAGAATGAAATACACTACAGGTACTGTATCCTTAGAGTTATGGATATTCACATTAATGGATTCCAAAAAATAAGAAACAAGTTTTGAAATATGTAGACAAAAATTTGGCATTAACAGAAAATATTCCTGGGGGGTCCAGAGTTAATATAAAGTGGGGGAAACAATGAGCAATATGGGTATAAATTTTGCCAACCTCCACTATTTCACTTAATACAAAATAATGCACTGTAGTAGATGAATGAGAAGGAATTACTATATACAGTAGTATGTAAATCACTAATAGAAATGGGCTTTCGCAAGCGGTTATAGTATATGTTTGGGGGATACCTTGATTATTTTATCTACTGTACACAGTATTTATTTGTATTAGTATAATATTAATACAAAGTGTTCATATACCAGCAGCGTTTGCAACTAATATTACCATAGTCATATTAAACTGACGGCTCCACGTACGGTACACTATTGTTTTCAAGTAAGCCACCGAGAAGAGTGGTTATATATGTTACTGACAAAGAACCATCAGATCTTCAAAATCCTGTCGCAGGACCATCAACCAGCACTTTTCTTCTACATCTTAAAAATCATTCCACACCTTTCAGATTATGTTAATGTGAATGTCCATAACTTGAAGAATACTTGTACATACTGTACTAATACATATACTGTACTGTCATGTTTAAAATAAACTTACTTTTTTACTATACAGTACAGTACAGTATTGTACTAACATTACTCTTAAGAGCTTGGTTAATTGTTTTACTATAAGTACATTACTAATCTTATTGTTTAGAACCAATTTAATTGCATGTTTATACTAACCTTACTGTTTTGAACAAATTTGATTGTTTCATCACTTTTCAAAACGGGAAAATCTAAGTACTGGATATCTCCCTTGAGTCGCTTTGAGGGAGGTCTTGCTGGAGAGATTTCAGACAAATCGAGAGGCCTGGTGCCACGGCGGAGAGGGCTGCGAGGAGTCGCTAGTGGGTATGATGGAACAACAGCAGAAGGGATAAGAAAGGTGGTGTCTTCCTGGGACACCTGGGCATCATCTTCATGATCAGGTGATGGGGTTGCCGAGCACTTACGCCGGAATAAATTATTTATTCGGCTTGCTGTCTGTCCCATAGTTACAGAATCTTCTGTTGTTGCAACATCTACAGATGGAAACAGATATCATTCAATTAGAAAATGTGTTAATATCAGTATGAATGATACACATAAACATATGTGTATCAATCTAGGATTCTTAATGCAACTCATGAAATTGCTTTAATACTGCAGAAAATCAACTACTGTACAGTATTATACTGCACAACAATAAAATGATATTGACTAAATATCTGCAAATAACTACATTTTACACAATTCAGTTGTCTCTTATACAGTCTTAATTTACAAGAACAGGTACAGTACCAGTAACAGTTATGAAGCTTGTTTACATATGGATGATAAAACTGCTGTGCAAGAATGACACACACCAGGGGTGGTGGTTGGGAGTGAGACTCCAGGGGTTACATTCCCCTCACTAGGTCTGTCTTATTTTAACTACAGTACTACAGGATGTTGAATTTTCCCTTCATGTTCATCAAGTTAGGAGTGATATGCATACCTCCCCCGTCCCTTGGAAATGCAAAACTAAGGTTAAAAAAGCAGTGCTCTAAAGTATTTTACAGGTGATCATTGCTCAGTACAGGGTGTTCCAAAAAGATCTGGACAAGTCTGGTTGTTAATAAATTTAGAACTAAAAATGATAAACGAAACCAATTGTTTCATATGATACATAAATTCACAAAGTTTTGTGCACGCCATCAATACAATTTGATGTGCACTCTGTCATGCACAGGACATAGAGGTGGCACTCAAGTTCTTGCCATGTTCAACTTCCTGTTGGCGTCTACAGATTGATGAGCTGTAACCCTAAATCATTTTACAACAGGACGGTGCTCTCCCTCACTGTGCCTTAGTCATTCGAGCTGTCCTGAACAAAAAATTTGAAGGTCGTTGGATTGGCCAAAGCAGACCAACTGCCTAGCCACCAAGATCACCAGACATAACCCCTCTTGATTTTTTCCTGTGGGGGTTTGTCAAAGATGTGGCAAGCCTGCAGGATCATAGTGCTTGGATCACAGCTGCTTCACACAGGTGGACACCAACATGATGAGCCGAACATGGCAAGAACTCGGGTACAGTACCACCTTAATGTCCTGCGCACGGCAAATAGAGTGCACATCAAATTGTATTGATGGTGTGCACAGAACTTTATGAGTTTCTGTATTACATAAAACAACCAGTGACATTTTATCATTTGTAGTTCTAAATTTGTTAACATCCAAAGTTGTCCATGGATTTTTGGAACACCCTGTACTGTACTGTACAGGTATTGATAGAGGGTAGTTCCTGCACGGGAGATAGTGGTTTTCTATCAACTGGTGTTACAAACAATACAGTGAAGCCTCTATTTAATGGACTATAAGGAGAGGAAAGTCCGTTGTATCGAGGGTATGTTAGATATGAAACCTCCATCTAATGAACTACCGGTATATATAAATATGAAAGACCGTTAGATGCCTAACTAACGGATTATACAGAGAGCTAAGTCTATTATATGAAGGTTTCACTGTGCATCATCTACCCCTTACATGCCTTTGTCAACATATCACAAATGTGGCTGAAAAGCAACACGACACAAGCATCAGCAACACAACACATTAGTGCTCAACAAAACACACATGAACCAAGGACACTGAATCTATGAAAACCTGTTGGATACATGTACAGTGATATCCCTGTTAGCCGGAACAATTGGTGGATAGCACTGCCGAGAATGAGAGATTCTCAGGTAATGAGACAACTCTCTCAAACCCGGAAAAAATCCCTCCTCCCCGGAGGTTTTACGGGTTCTGGGAAAAGTTTCTTGGAATTTTCCAGAATGTACTGTTATGTCACCTCGCCTCCTGCTTCATTACCTGTATGTACATTTCAAAAAAAATCACGTTTGCTCGGTAATCATAAATAGATTACTTTGTGGCAGCCAAGGCATGTCCAAATTAAAAAATGAACAGAAAACGAACGAATAATCAAATACCAAAAATTCGGAAATTGTCAAATAATGTCAAAATATTCCGAACTTGGTTACTTTAGATTTTTGTCAAATAAATGAGGGTCCAGCATAATACTGTCACCCAAACCTCCTGTGGAATTTAGAAGTGTTTAATTCCTTCAGCAATGTAATTTATTTCTATTCATCCCTTTGTATATGCAGTACAGTACAGTATAACCTTGATGGCTTGTTCCCTCTGGATTTTTTTATGGGATAACACCTTAATGACTCCTTTCGAAACATGACGTTCACTGAATTTCTCCATAACTTTTATATTACACCCCCAAGAATTTTTTTCCACTCTCACAAGCTCCTCCTCCCATAGCAAAGAGTCCCATGCACCATTCACTATCATTTATTTTCTCTAAACTATACCAGCTATGTTTTGTCATGCTGTCCCCATCCACAACACAACCCTAATATATATATAGTACTTCAATATGGTTTACCTTGTAGCTTTATACAACTCAACATCATGCATCAGCAGTAATTTCAACCCCATAAACCACTTGTCACTAAGTTAACAGATAAACTCACACACTGTTGTTTCCTGAATGTACTGTACATCCCCTTCCTATCACTGGCACCACTAAGAAACACATTTGTCATTTGTTCCAGAACTCTATTTGGTAAGTTTAGATGTTGTAAAAGAGAACCAGTTACAGCTTGTTCATACAAAGGAGAAAGAAATTAAAAAATGTTCCTTGTACTACAGATAAGCTTAACACAACACATCTCTCTGCCAAATGTACCACTTGCTTTGCTGAACTGTAATGTAGTTGACAAATTACTAACATCCATTGCTGAATGCAGTAGTTTACCCACTATAGTATTCTTGGTAAGGACTGTACACAAATTATATTTCTTCGCCAAAAACTGATGCTAAAATGTAACATACATACATACTGTATTCAAAGTTGTGAGGGACAAGGCCTGTGTCTGACAATTCTCACTTAACCTTATGCAATACAATATTGTATTAATGTTAAGCACGGTACACCTGTATTGATATTAATCATGGCCTAATCTTACATTACAGCATTTCATTAATTGCATTAAGGAATGACAGCATTTTTCATGGGAGTGGTGAGGTTTGTATGATAGTTAATTATTACAGTATACCACCACCATTCATGTCTTTCTACAGTACAACTTATATTGCCAATGGTTCTATACTAATTTCTCTTGATATGACCATTATAACTAATGCTTTTACATGTACAGTAGTATATACTTAAACCTATAAGAATTATGTTTTTATATTTGTTTTTAGAAAAAATCAGGCATACATCAGCCCATAAATGGTAGAGGTATAAATTAGCATGGGACTGTAGCAGCATAGCCAGGGACAACACAAGAGCAGATGCAAAGCTCCTGTATAAAACAGATGCATTTATCATCAGAGCACCTCAATGCAAACCCAGCCCAAAGCCCACGAGTTAAAGTACAAAACTGTAATTATCATAACCAAGGCTTGACTCTGAGGAGTTGGTAGTGGTGGCGGCGCAGATCTCCTCTTGGTCCTCCTCCTCCTCCCTCACTTGGTCTTTCCAGCAGAAGCAGCAGCGCCACCACAACCATGTCATGGTGCTGCAATCCTCTCAACGGCTGTCAACCATATACAATACTGTACAGTATAACCTTAGGTATTATTATGCTATTGATTTTTTGACAGTACATTAACCCAAAACTAATTTTCATAGACTGATGCATAAGAACACTTAATTGCCAGAAGCACTTTTTTTTATAAATAATTTTAACCTCTTTTTGAAAAGCTAGACACAGTGTATACACAAAAGATAAGAATGGGGATGGAATGTTTCCAAACTACAGGAGGTCCCCAACTTATGAACGTCCGCCAATATGAACAGGGTTAAACTTTAAATTTACAGAACAGTATTTTATTTCCCTGATGACTTATTTTTTACTTTCATTTACTGTATTTTATCATTATATTTCTTCTTTTCCCTTAAATTAAGTGATTTTAAATGTATATAAGGACTTAGGCTATTATATACAGTAGTGGGATTTTAAACGTTGTTCTGTAAGTACGGTGTGCACATAACAAGCGTTCCGTCTTACGTACATTTCCGACTTAGGAAGGTCGTCAGGAACGGAACCCGTTCGTAACCAGGGGACCCCCTGTACACAATTTTGCATCAGCAAGAGTTACCCGACATCGAGGGCACATTGGCCTATTAGGCCAGTGAACCAACAGAATATCTTTGGGAGACCTACTTGGCAGCCCACATCAGTACCCTCTCTCTCCTATTTTGATGAGTGTGTGCAAGACACACTGTATGACATAATTCATTAAATACTAAAGAAATTAATTCTTCTCAGATTTTACACCTTAGGCTTTATAATAAAGATTGCTAGCTTGTGGAAGTCAATGTACTGTAACTACTGTAAACTCATACCCACATTTATGTTTCTACTGATATTTTAAAATCTGAATTTGAAAGAGGAAATATTTTTTCCTTATACTATACTGTATAGATTACCAGGGTAGTTTTAATTTAACAACCACAATTATCTCTCTATTATGAAGCCACATCCACTTCTTGCTCAGCTCCCACATGAAGACATAATTTTAAACACCATCTGAAATATTATGGATGAAGTTTTTTGACAAAAGTTTACTTTCATCTCATAAAAATTCTGTGATGCACTGCAAAGGGTAAATCTATACATCACTTAGTGTACTGAACCACTGGCACCAACATTAGGACATTTCACCATAGATTATAGAAAATAAATGTTTTGTTTTTTACCTTATGAAAATACCAAAAAGTGGATGGGGAAAATACTCCCTGTAATATAGTACGTACTGATACTTTTTAATTTTTCCCTCCTGAACACTCATCTTCGGCCGGGAGATTCAAACTGCCATCATTCCTTTGTTTACATCCAGTGAGTCTCAGCCACCAAGGTTCAGGTATATTTGCTCATAAAATGAACCAATCTAACCCACAAAACCAAACCTAAAATTTTTTTTATCTTTTCATATTTCTGTACCATTTATATCCAGCATGACGGTTAAGTTGATAAGGCTGTTTCAACACTTGATGCAACAAACACCTTATCTAACACACTTTGTGAGACTGGTAAACATTATACTGTACTTGGCAGCTGACAACACACACACACACACACACGTCTACACAAAACTATTTTAATGATTACAGTTACAGGTGGTATTCACAGACACTGGGGTAGTTTTTCTGTGATTCAGATTACAAAAAATTTTTCCCATTATTTTAAATCCTTTTCTGTTTAATTAGACGAGGTCAATCATTGTCAGCCATATATTGATGACGAAAATCTTTGTAATGCACAGCTGTAGTGCCTGGACCCAGGGTTGGTGATTTTATATATCTACATCAGATTTATTTGATTTATCAGATTTATGTGATTTTTTGTCCAACCAACCCTGCCTGGACCTGCAGGTTAATATCCTGAAACACACTCACAAAACAGCAATCATTGTTGGACTTTGGGGGAAAAAGGTGAATTAGGTAACAATAAAATGTGTAAATTTCATAGTTTTTCAAATGCTTGGTTCAACCTGCTGTTGACAGGAGACTTATGTAAAGAAAAAGTGCTGTACTGATGAAAGCTTACTTATACGTAATCACAAAAAAGAACTTGTGAAAGTGGTCTTTAATAAATATGAACCTGATCTCACAAAGGTTGCAGAGGACATTCAGTAGAATTTCATGCGAGTCTTAGTAACAATTTCTATTGTATTGCTGAATGTGAAACATAATTCAATGTTACTTGAATTATTGTTCTGCTCAATTTTATTTGTCTGAATATATAGTTTAGTTTTATATTTCTTAAAGCCCAAATTCATATTTTATTTTCTGTAATTTAATACAAATTATATAATAACTGTGTGATGGCTTTGGCAAATTATTGATTTCTTGTTTGTAATGTAACTGATTACTACATAAAGGTCTCCTGATTTATAAAAAAAATCCTGTCTATGACATACCAGCTACTATTGTAATAAATAATCTTTCATAAAGTGAACCAACTTCAGCTAACCTACCTAAATTAATCTTTATAACCTCACCTAAAATAATAGCTACAGTATCATCTATAATCACCTTAGAATAAAAATCCTATCGATGAAAGGTACCATCGAGCATGCTTAACAGACGCAAAGAATGAGCTATGGCAGATGACACGGCAGTAGATTTATGTTCAGGAGAAACATAAAATCATAAAACTAACATTAGGAGACATGAAAGAAAGCATTTATCTTCTAAGGTGAATTGTCCAGAATTTGGTAGTCCAGGAATGCAAAATATATCAAGAAGAGAAAACATTCCAGTCCCCCTTCTCAGATATTAAAATATCTGAAAAAAATCCACAAGTACAGCAACACACAAACCAAAGCATAGGCATTCCTACAGTTATGTAAAACGGCCAATTTATAGTAAGACGGAGGTAAGTAGCACTGGCTGAAGGGGGTCCGACTAATTACCCAAATGTACCCAAATATAGCCGGAATGAAGTCAAATAATGGTCCTAGATGAATAAATCGGACTGCTAATCACTTCTCGACTAGTATTTGGTGTCAGAAAGTCACAAAAAATTGGTAAACTTACTTTAATCTGAGTTAATAGATCGCGTGCATGTACCGAGGGAGCGAGGAATTACCCAAATGTAGCCGCAATGAAGTCAAATGATGGTCGTACAAGCGTAATTCGGGCTGTGAATCACTTCTCGATTATTATTTGGTGTCATAAAGTAAAAAAAAATTGGTAAACTTAATTTAATCTGAGTTATGTTGTGTTAGGTTAGGTTAGGTTAGATTAGATTAGGTTAGGTACATGCACTTGATCTATTAACTCAGATTAAATTAAGTTTACCAATTTTTTGTGACTTCGTGACACCAAATACTAGTCGACGTGAGATTAGGTTAAGTTAGGTACATGCACTCGATCTATTAACTCAGATTAAATTAAGTTTACCAATTTTTTGTGACTGTGACACCAAATACTAGTCGAGAAGTGATTGGCAGTCCGATTTATTCATCTTGGACCATTATTTGACTTCATTCCGGCTATATTTGGGTACATTTGGGTAATTAGTCAGACCCGGTCAGACCTTCTCCGCCCATAGGGAACAAATCATGGCGACACTTGTGACTGAGCAAATCTAATAATATTGAAACAATTAATATCTCGGTTATCCTTAATTTCCGGCGGTAATATTACATTAGAAAAGTGTCTTATAATTGTCTAAACATTACGAAATACATATTAATAACAGCGAGAGAAAGACCAGTGTATTACTATAAATTCACCAGAAAAAGACTCAATAATAAAAACATGATAATCACCAAGGAATGGTTGAAAAAACGATGGGCATAACTCGACTGCAGAGTATTCACATGCAGGAGCCTTATCATAGAGACGAGGTTGGAGGTGATATGGACGAAGGCGATCCCTCCTCACTTGCTGCACCTGTCTCATGATGATGTTATGCTATACTTGTTACTCCACACACTGAGGAACGTGATAAAAATGTGTCTACTCACCTAAAAAATGTTATACGACAAAACGTATAGGTTGGTTCTGTGCACAAAACGTATTAGGCGCACCACCGTCACCTCCTGTCCTCACCCGGCCAACACAAGGTTTGTTTACCTGTGTCTCGACTTACTGTCAAGGCTTTGAAATTGTTATTATAATAAAATAAAAAAAAATATGAATAAAAAGAATGAGAATGTCTATATCATGTGGCGAAAATTATAAGATAGTCATAATTTATAATAATTTAAGTATAAAGCCACTTTTTGTATACCTGTACTGTGTGCTACATCAACTACGGAAAATCATTCATCAACAGATACTGATATTGATATTGACACAGCTTATTTAGTAAGAAAAATACAGTGGATAATAATAACAATACAGTATTGACATGGCTAAACAAGTGAAAAAAAAAATTTGTATGTGGTAGTTTTTTTACCACGCATACCAAGGAATTGTCTATTTATCTTAAATTTATTAGTCGTAAAATAAAATAAAACTTCTTTTGCTAAGTTTTAAGAAATTATAATCCAATCATAAAATATAAAACTAATAAAGCAAACCAGCCCAGGATGCACTGAAACACCACCATACGTATTGTTTCCTCTTGTATTACTCATTGTGGCGTAAGTTACACCACAGGGAGACAATGGTGTACTCTTATGAACTAACATTAAAAGCCCAAAGTTAACTGTTTGTTATACCTCAACTGACTTTTTGTTATCTTCGCCACAGATCGGCTCGTTAGCCGCTTGGGTGACTGTTGGCAAGTACTGCTTGTGCTGCTGGCTCCAGAATGTATCTGCACTTGTCAGTTGACACAGAGCGTGACCCACTGCCCAAGTAGTTAAACAAGCCGATCATTGGCAAAGAGGAGAAAATAGTAAAGTATCTGTATGTTAAGCTTTTTTTTAATTAACCATTCCACCACATAACGGCTTACTAGTCGATCTCACCTCCAAGGCTCTCCATTGATGAGGAACAAACATATGTTATACAGTACATGCTTAAATAATGCATAGAAAATCTGAAATGGGTGTCCCTTTTTCTTCTCAGCACCACAAAATTCTCACTTTTAAGCTTGCCAGCCATTTTAAAGTGAATTACAAACGAAAATTTTGTCTATGCAGTACTGACGTTGGGACTCGAAAATACGTAATTTGACAAAATTTTGGTACGACTGAGGCAGGTCGTAAGTGTGGGTGGTCGTAAGTCGAGTAGGAGTAGGTCGTAAGTCAGAGAGGAGCTGTGTATATATATATATATATATATATATATATATATATATATATATATATATATATATATATATATATATATATATATATATATAATATATATATATCCATTAGCTCCAGATTCAAACTCCTAACTGATTAATGTCTTTTGAGGTGCTTATGAACTACTAAATCACCCTTTGCCAATCTGTAGTATGAACCAAGAAATTGAAAGTATTCCAATCTATCTTGGTACACGAGGTATGTAAGTGCTGGTACCAGGTTGGTTACCCTCTTTTGATGTGCTCAATCAACTGACAGTCTTTAGTATATTTCAGGAACCAGACAGTACTCCAAGTGGGGATCACCACACCACTGAAGAGCCTCATGAGGGAAGGACCATCTACTGTAAGTATGTGTATGATCTTTGCATTTGCATGATTCACCTCTCAAAAGGATCCAAGAACTTCAGTACTGCACACTTAGATCCTTTTCACATTTGATTTCATTTAATGAGGTTTCTTCATCCTGCTGGAACATGTGATATAATACCTCCTTATTATTTATATGACCTTGGTGCATCATCTTCCATTTCATATTGTTGAAATCTTAGCAGACATTCAATTGACCATTCCTGGAGCTGATAGAAATCTTCCTGTTATGCTTCACAGTTCATAAGCTTACCAGAAAAAATGAAGTCTTAAAATCCTGGACTGTACACAAAAGCTTAATAATAATAAAGTTCAGGTTATTTAAAAATAAATTTCAGGGTTAATAGATAAACTAAGGGAGCTTTATATATATGTCAAATATCATTAAGAACTTTAGAGGTATAATAGGGAAAGTTCTGAGGTTTATAAGAGAATGTTTAGAGCCGAGTTTTATAAGGTAAAGTCCAAAGGTTTACTAAAGTTGTGAAGTTTGCCAAAAAAAATACCATGACAAATGTAGCTCACAAACACAAACATTCTTCCTTTATCAAGAGATGTGTTCTGCCCTAGTACTTCTCATCCACATCAAGGCCCAAAATCTGGTTTACCCCCGATTCTCTCTGCATACAGTATAAAGGCATAATAAAAATACTATAGCCTGCATATTTAAAGTTTTAATTACATCATAAGACAAATGATTCCTCACAAAACTGTCTGTTCAAATAACCCCTGGTGATTATATTGTTTCATAGACAGTTAAATGAACAATGTCCAGGATGCAATAAGTCTCTATGATAATCTGGTTCACAACCAACCAGCGTTACACATTCATCCTCTATTCCCTTTTCATGCTTCCTCACTCAGTTCTATGAATATCAACCCTGAATGACTCGACTGTCAGAGAGAAAACTTTCTCAACAGTCCACATGGATACACCTTGTGACCAATTGACCTATCAACTAAGCTCCACCCACTTTTGGCTTTCTTTGTTACTGACATAATTCACACAAATTGACTGGTTAGTGGTTTAGAAGTGAGTACAGTAGTGATGCCACATCTGTAAATTCACTGCAATATTTTTTTTCTATTCATGTTTGATATCAAGTTTGATTATATAAAACATTGAAAAGCACAAAGAAAATATAGCAGGGAATTCACCAATGGAGTGGCATTAGTAAAATTATTCAGTAAATGATAATGAGCAACCAATAATTTTCTATGAGTTATGACAGTTGTTAATATAGTACAGTAGTCAAGAGGTCAATTCCTGGCCACTTTTTTCTATACACACAATTTACAAATCCTAATTAATCTATACATAAACATAGACTGTATAATGCGGTAAGTTAAAAAAATAATTGCATTATTTTACATACTGTATTTAAATAGAAGAAGCATCTACTTAAAATTACTATACTGAGTAACCGTCACATGCTTAAGTGAAGCACTCCCAAGAGCACCCAACAGTAAACTCTTTTATGGTATTAAAATGATCAAAAGTAACTGTTTGTGAACATACCCGGTATCATTTTACAAACCTTATTATTTATTTGTCTCATTTTTGTTTTTCCATTCAATGGTATTAATAGACAGATTCATAAGAACTGTTTGCTCATAAACATTTTATGAAGCTGTCGATATATTTTTTTTTACTACTAAGAAGTTAAGATAAAATTTTCAGTCTCAGTCAAAATGACAAGAATTTTCCATGATAAACTGATGAGAAGAATAACATTAAATACCTTAAAAAATCAAAAGATGACTGACATTCATAATATATTACTATATTTAGCAATTATTATTAGAAGCTAAATCTAGTTGTCTAACAATGACCTCACGATCTTTTAGAGCTTTCCAGGCAATATCTTTGTCCTTTTTAGAGGGAGTCTTCTTTTTCTGCCGAGCTGCTGCTATTGTACGGTATGCCTCCAGCACCTGAAAAAATAAAACAAAAGTACTGTACTGTAATTAAAAACTACATATGACTTATTGTGGAAGGGATAAATCATTGCAGAGCATATTTAATAAGGCAGCTTGAGGAAATTAATGACAGTGACTAAAGGAGACTGAGTTGCTCTTGAATCTCATCACCCTGTGTTACACTTTACAAGATCAAGAAAGACAGAGGGAAAATATAAAAGACAGGAATGCCTTTTTAACATTAAGCTGCTTACAACAGAGATTAAATTCTTTTCTATCTTCCCAACATCTGTTTCTTAAAATATATCCACAATGGCACAAACTACTCAAATTTCTATTAGCAGTGACCCATCTAGCAATAATGTATACAGTATCAAATACACAACATCTCAGTACAGCAGCAGGATGGACAATAACTGACATTCCTCTATATTTCAGTATCTCACATGAACCTTCTTGGATCCTCTTCCTTGGTCCAACCTCCCATATGCTCACCAGTTTCATTCTTTATTATTCCCTCATGTCATGGTATTATCTTTCTCATTTGCCTGCCAAAAGATTCCATATGGAGTTTTCCTCCCAGGAGTCCTCACTTCCTCAAACACCTTTTCTTCTTATTCATTTTCTCTCCTCCTCTGACCTTCTGCAGGTATAACTAATACTTCTCCACATCAACTCCTTCCACACTACTTAATATCTTACCTTAAATTAGTTAAGGTTAAGGTCCTGATAGCATCATTCATTTTTCTTTCTCAATCTGAAATTCCTGAGTTAGTGTTGCTATTACAACTCCTGCCTCTTGGTGTTGTTTTATATTACCTCATTACTTAAGAATTTGTTTTAAAGAGCCCAATCACCTCACCTTCTGATCTGAGTCCCGGAGTCTCTTTTTAAGATCATGGCGTACCAGCGACTCGCGGGCAAGATTTAGCAAGCGGGTTAGTTGTGTTACATTATGAGCTGAAACTGCACGAAGCTCAGACTGGCATCTCCGTAGCTCTGATAGAATTTCATCATCGTCATCCTGGAAATGTATAAAAGGTCTTTAATACTATATATCTCTACACTAAATCACAAACCACATATATACTGTGTATGACAACAAGTTACTTCTCATATTGAAATCAGAATGGATACATATCAAGCTTTCCCAATAACTTGGATCACAGTACTGTACAATTAACTACTAATTACATGGAGGTGACATTCCTAGTGAATGTTGAGGAAGTGGAATCAATAAAAATGAAAGTTAATAGTTTATGAGAAAAAAATAGGGTGTTCTAGTACCCAAATGTATTACGTAAGCTCACTAAATCCAAGACTAAAAACTGTTAACTCCACAGTTACAGTGTATTACTGTATAGTTATGAGTCAGGCACATACTTAAGGGGAGGGTACCCAGTCACGCACCCTCCCCTTGATGGGTCTTTATGGCTATTTTTCACAGCATTGATCTCTAGTAACCTTAAAAATGTATTTAGGAACTGAAGCTTATTTATAATCCATCCCAACACTTTCACACACACTGACCTCATTTCCATAGTCTGTCTCCATAACCCCTTGTTCCTGGAGTTCTTTCTTTATTCGCTTCTCCAGGCTGGATGCACTACCGAGACCCAACGATTTGATTAAGCCTGGTCGTGTATGGCCTAACCCATCAACTCCTGTAAAAATAAAGAACACAAAAATTTATAAAGGAGGCAAATGATAAAACTATAAATTCTATCACTGCATCTCTGAAAGTAAATCTGAAATGTAAGTTATAAGCATGTATTGTACAGCACTGTACTGTACTGTACTGTACATGCAGTACATACTCAAGGTACCACAAAAATTAAAGAAAGACAAATCACTTTATGAAGATTGATAAATAAAGTAAATTTTTGTTTTATGAAAGAATCAAATCAAACCCACAAACATTAAGGGACACTATTTCCAGTCAGCTTCATGCAAAGGAATTTTATAAATTTGTAGAGCATACAATATAGTTTCTTGATATGCAATCCCTTTCCTTTTGCTCTCTACATTTATCTTACACCATTTTATTATTTCCCTCCTTCATTGTACTTCCTGTGCCCCTTGATCCACCCAACAAAAAAGTTGAAGAATAGCAAAGATAATAAATAGATAAGTGAAATTTTTAGGTGGCTTTACCACATATGGATATTTTAAATATCGGATTTGTTTATAGTCTACAAAAGGAAAAAATTCTGCCTTCAATCTTAACATAATGTGAGCATATGAAATGGAATAATATCTCCTAAATGAAGCAAGAGATTTTTTTCTTCAGTAATATGCTGAATGCACACTAAAAATATTAATCCAGGTTAGTTGAAAACATTACATAAAATTTTAAGCCAGTACTCTAAGCCAAATACAGAGGCAAATATTTTCACCTTTGTTCTCAATATCAGAAACCAAGACGTTCTCCTCCACTAGACCAGCAATTAACCTCTGTGTCAGGGGACCAAGTGGTGCAACGTCATCACTGCACCTGAAGATAATACAGTACACACAGTCAATATTAGATGTCCTTAAAAGGTGAAAAGTATGTAAGTTTTAGCTTCTGCTTCTTTCTATTGTCTCCTTGAGTGTGATTAAGTCCTTTAAGTAAAACTAGTTCTATTAGCATCTGAACTCTTACTGGTGCTACATAATATTTTGACCTAGATTGCTGTTAAGTAACATTTAAACTCTTACTGCTGTGATGTGATATTTAAACTTATTGCTGTTAAGTAACATTTAAAATTTCACTGCTGCTAATTAACTCTTAAGCATTTGTTAATGTCTTTCAAGAGTATCAGAAACCAGTACTAGAAGAGAGGAAGCAGGTGAAATTCATGGATATGAGAAAAAACAAAGTAGCAATGTACCAGATGGAAGCAAAATGGGTACAGGTGAATGCCAAACAGAAACTGTCTTAGTGCCTTTGTTTTTGATGTTGCATATTACAAGTGTGCCTTGGTGCATGGTTTAAGAAAGTCCTGGTAGCAGTGTCCTTCACCTTATAGATGTACGCATTACACAAATGTGCCCTAGCAGCCGCACACAAGTAGAACTTACCCGTTCATATCTACTTCCTTCAGGAGTTTGTCAGACAAGTCAGAATTACCCGAATCCCCCTTGACGCCCTTCTTCTTCCCTTCTGCCAGCTTCATTCCTTCCTTCTGTTCATCCTGGGGAAAAACACCTTAATGAACATAACTATTATCTTTAAAGACATTAAATAATGTTTTGGGGAGGAAAATAGATTTGGCCTGTTCATAGCACTCAAGCTGTCACTACTGTACTGTAAAATTCAATTGTACACCTAAATTTAACATGGATGCCCCAGGTAGGATGGAGAAAATGGTGCTTCTAAGTGCTTGCCTTTCTCCAACTGTTGTACAATATACTCTTAATATCCTACACTTAACAAACCAGAATTTTCAAGGATCTACATAATTATTTTTAAGAAATCTGAACTTCAGTCAATTATATTCACCATGTTGCAAAATAGTTAAGTTTAACATGAATGTTTACTCTTATAGTAAATGGAGCCTGCAGTCTTTCTCCAGCCCAGCATTTGTAAGTACCCTTTCATAATGTACACACAATCTACATATCTGTGTATATAGATAGAGCTCTATATATTAATGTTAATTCTACAGAAAAGAAAGACTTAATAACTTTAACAGTGTCAATATTGCCAAGCAAGTAAAAAAATACTGTGAGAAAAGTAAAACCCTTTAAAAATCTGGCACAGCTTTGGTCCCAAGTACTGTACTGTAATCCAATTTGTCTCACCTGCAGATCTTCCTGAGCCCAGCGCAGAGTGTAGTGACGCCCTAGTGGAGGCGTCTTAAAGTAGTCGCTGTCATCATTAGGACTGTTGATCAGGTCCTCTAGTACCTGGTGAACAACAATACTGCATCAACACTCCCAAGAATATATTGGTATGTTTGTACTCAATTATTGGTGCACTCCAATTCCTACCTATACAGGAACTTAATTAACTACCAAAGACAATATTTTAATGCACCTAACAAAGATGCCCAATAATATATTCTAACTAGGTTTTATAAGATTAGTTTATGTAAAGAAACTATTTGTGTACAGATATAAAGACAGACAGCCAGAGAGACACCTATATCTCCCTGAACATATGTCATCAGGAGGATAATGTTATATTCTTGGTTGTTACAAACTAAAAACTGGCAATTCATTACAGCCAGTGGTACCACAACACAACTTACCTTTATATCATCAACAGTAATCTCCTGACAGTACTGCTCCACATAGGCCCAGAAACGGTTAGTGATGTCATTCTTTGGTGGAGGCGGTTTAGGTTGCTCTGGGGGACCCAAGTCTGGCACATCAAATACTGGTTCATATTTCTGGACAGAGCATTTAACCTGATGACATGACAAAAACTATCATAAAAATAATTAGTTTTAGAAAATAGTGATTATACTGGTAATGTATATATTCAGTTGTCTATTTATCATAATCAATCAACATAATATGAAAATTTAGTTCATTCAAGTTTCCCCGAGTATCAATTTCAGCATGATGAACATGCCATGAGAATAAACAAAATAAATGTGTTGTGTGTCAATAAACCTTACCTTGGGTGGCTTAACTCCAGGAGGAGGCCCAGGCGAGGACAGAACATCTCGGGACTTTCCGCTGGAGTCCTTCATCTTCTTGGACGGCCTCTCACCGTCCTCCCGCTTCATCTTCTTACCCGGAGACACAGGCTGAGTCACAAACAAAAGCCATGAGTGTCAAAAATAAATTAATACTCACATAAGATTTACCAAGTTTATAAACATTAATGGTATCTCATAAGTCTCACAAATGTTTACCGAGTGTTTAGAGAGCCAAGAGGAGAAAGAAAATAATTAATGAAAAAAAAAAATAAATAGGATGAAGAAAAACAAATCATTGACAAACCAAAGATGCAAACTAAAATAACAAAGACAATGATAACAGCCACAAACAGAATATCAACAAAGAGGATAAGTAAAATGAATACAATAAAGACATAACATTACTCACAGGCTTAGGTACATATTTGCCTTTCTCCAGCTGGTAAATGATGGACAGCTGGTTGTTGAGCGCCATTTGCCGAACCAAGACTGATGACAGCAGCAACTCCAGCTCTAACTGAAGACCGTCTAGTTCCTCCATGGACACCCCTTCCGCATTCACCACTGTGGAGAGATTGGCATCTTGAGAGGTACAGTTATTGGTATTTTATAAATCAAATTAAACTGTGGTATTAACATGGCGGTAAGTACCAGTGCAATGAATAAATAGTTACAATTATTATACATGAATGCAACAACATGTTCGTTATGCACTGACAAACACTCAACATTCAGCAGAAGAATTATGCCTAGGTTATCATAATGTGAGCACCTCTCCCGTGAACAGAATAATGAACCTGCCCTCAACCACCTAAATTTCTTCCACTAGCCTCGTTGGCTGACAGATGCATCTTCAACGGTGCAATTCGGGTCTGGATCACTCAACCCAATGTTTATTATAAAAAAAAAAAATAATTAAAAATAAATAAAAAATAAAAATCCTTATACCGACACAAACTGCATCAAAAGAGTGCTAAGGGGTGAGATTTCTGACCATAAGTACCAGAGGGTTAATTTACTGGAGAGTTCCAAGAGTAAATAAACAATGAAAGTTAAAGCAGTAATCAGGAAATGAGGAAAATAAAGAATGAGTAGACAATAAATAAGGCAAACAAGAATTGTCAGGAAATGAGATGCACAATAGGTAGCAGAAGATACAAAGAAAGGTAGCTGCAGGTTGTATTAGTTGTGTAAGCAAAGTACCGTAAGTGTTTATCTATTGACAATTTTTGGAGATATTGTATTACAAGACAAAATATACAGTACAAACAAAAGGTGTCCATACAGGCATCAGACAAAAGATTCATAACAATACTAACAGCTGCCAGGATGGATAAAAATGCTTCCACCAAAATGAACTAGAGTAGATGCCATCTATTCCGAACTGGTCTCCTGTCTATCTGTACATTATTTTCCTCCTAAGATGATCATACATAAACTTGGATGGCATCTACAGTACTGTAGAGCTGGGTAAGATTACAACCACCAGTTTCAGAAAAAAATTTCAATTATTTCCAGAAGTGGATTTTAAGTTAAGTGTACAATTTAAATGAAATGGTCGGCATAAACTTGTTGAATTTTCCTTTATTTTGGAAAATGGATTTTGGATGACCCTCCCTCTGAAAATCTTTTCCACTTACATGGAAGCCTACTTCCGCATCTATACAATTGGAGCTGCATGATAAACATATTATATAAATACCTCATTACAACAAGCCATGATGGTATATTCTTGTATCCAGTGCAGTTAGTGTGGGATAATTTTGTACCAGTTTCACTAACACATTTTGAGGATATACAAATACATTCAACTGTGTACTTACATGCTGTGTAACGAGGTAGTGATCGAGCGTGGTCCAATGACCCAACTATTGGTAGGCTCAGGGGACAGTCCTTCAGTTCCATTGGTTCATCTCGTTTACTGCTGCTGCTACTACTGCTGCTGCTGCTACTGCTTCCATTATTCCCACTACTGCCACTGCTGCTGCCACTACTTCCTGAGCGTTCCTTGTCTTTGTGACGGAATAATTTACCCGAAGATTTGTGGACGCTTTTAGACTTGCTCGGCGAGGGGGGCATCATTCCTGGAAGAAATGATCTTGTACAAATTATCCAAAAAGTTTACTTTAACCCTTGTGGTATCAATATTCTCCTAAGATGCTTGTACAGGTAACAATTGCACGTAAATATTAAACAATAAATACACTGCTTTGAAGACGTGGTTATGTAAGTGTTTTATAGTACAGTAGTTGAACATGCTTAGCTATTATTTCCCAAATTTTTTTACTAAGTTCTCAGACCTTATTTTATGTACACTGCAAAGGTTGGAGATATTATTGCACTGTGTTACATAGATCTAACACATTATCCTACTGTATGGGATAAACCTATACACGGGAGATAATCCTGCTGCTAAGATAAAACAGATAACTTAATTTACAAATTTCCCAAATCAAAACAGTCCGACAGCAATACCCAAACCTAACCTATGGTAAACTAAATTATTTTCTATTAACATCTTAGCGGGAACAACAACAAAAAATACATCTATGAAAGGAGCCATTCAGCCTTCAGGAAAATAGAGAGAGTCATAGTCACATGGTTGGAGGAAGCACTCATAGAATTGTATTCAGAAACAAAAAATCATAAAATGTATATTATTCAAAACATATTACTCGTGCACTTTTCATTGATTTCATGAAGTAAAAAAGCCTTTATAGTCTATGGGAAAATGTCCAACAGTAAGTAGTTAAGGTGCACAACTAATATGGACAATAACCAAAATAGATTAGTGTTAAGGATGCAAAATAACTGCAAAAATAAAATTACAAATACTACATTTTTAGGAATATTCTTGGAAGGGTAAAAAAAAAGCTTATCTTCAACAGAAAAAAATCTAAAGGTGTCGAGTACCCTTGGAACCTGTTATAGAGTACACCTATAATACTGCATTTAACTATATTATCCTCACCTTATCTGTCTACTAGATGGAAATCACAACAGGTCAAAGCTTTAGTTCCCTGTAAAATAATACAGATGTTAGTAACACTTCCCCTTTAAATTTAGCATTATCAATAAGTCAATAAAAAATCTAAGCATATTACCACACTGTTTATCTAAATGTCACTTCAGGAAAAAAAATATATATCAACAGTTGGATTTCAGGAACTGCCAGAAGAATTTATATAAATATGACCGCTAATTGTACACAAACTTCACATCTAAGCAGCAATCTAAGTCTAAAATAACTCCAAAACTTGTAGACAGATAAAATGTAGGGAAAGTTTTGTCTTACATTGATAGTTTGGGCGAAATTCCTCACTAAGGCGCCAATAGTCAATAATTGTTTACACTTTTCCAGGGTCGCTTCTGGCCGCCGCGTTCTGCGAGAGCCAGCTGCAGGTGTCGTCCTTTAAGTTTATTATATTTAAGATTAAAATAATTGTTCTTGAAAAATATTGAAAAGCATATCAGAATAGTAAATATATAAGCAATAATATTATTAATTAAAAAATAATTGAGATTCATTTTAAAATATAATAAACTTTTTGATAATATAACACTATAAAAGAATGATATCACTATGTTCGTCACACCCTTCTCACAGAAATGTCAGCGTAACTGTTTATTGTTTGGGCTTATGTCAGTCTGTTAAGGTGTGGAAGGATGTTTGTGTATTACGTATATGCGTTTGTTTATGCATGGCGGATCTCGGACATCAGGTTAAATTATATTTATTGTCATTATGACCGTCTGCCCACTATGGGGTTGTAGTGGGTTCCTCCCCTACAAACGCTGTTTGTCGCTGAGTAGCCGACCCCGTGAATTCCCCAGTGTGTGCCTCGTGGTCTGGGTCAACCAGCGGCGCCATACACCACGGAGGTCAACTACTAAGCCACGCCTACCCCCGCTATTTAAGACCTGACCTCGTGGTGACCTCTCTCTTCTTCTAGCTACAGCCGCAGCAAGCTACACCACCTCCGCCGCTGCCTGGCGGCCCTCGCTCCCGCCGGCGAGCATGGCGACCCACAAGCTGTCCTCTGAGCACCCTCACCAACCAGCTCTCTCTACATCACGCTTGTAACCACGCTGCCACTTCCCAGCACCAAGCTGCAATACAACATGTATACAGAGAGCACATTGTGAGTTTCCTTTCTCCATCCCATCCTGAGTGTGAACCAAACATCCCATGCCTCCACAGGGTAACCATTACACACTCTCACCCCTAAGGGGTGAGATTTCTGACCATAAGCGGCCACTCTAACCCGAAAGGCCAAAACAAACCACATTCACCTCCTTCTCCTGGTCATCACACGATACCCACCACCCAGATAGCTTGGAAGTATCCTCCCCAGCAAGTGCGGACCCCAGTTCGGGGGGCGCGCCACTCCGAAACTGACCACTTCTAAGAGTGGGGGTTGGTGGTAAGCGCTCACTGACTGAGGGTTCGCACGCACTGCAGTATCCTTTCATATCTGCAGGTAGGACAACCTCCATCCCCAAATCCCAATTCCGGTCTGGCTGCTTCAAGAGCTCTAGCCGGAACCACCAAATGGGCCGCCTACAGGCAAAGGGCCAAAGGCCCGTGTCGGACTATGGTCCGACAATCTCAACAACTCCCCTACAGCTGCTGATTGGCCACATGCCGTCCGCTTCCCAGCCAATCAGCGGAGATTTCCACAAATCAGCCCTTGCGTTCAAACTGCGCGGTGATTGGTCAGTTGCCGCCGTCATATCAGCCAATCAGCAGAGTTTCTCATCTTTGCACTTCAACTTTCGATCCGGCAGAAAGATATACTGTAAAGACCCCCATGCCTCGCCAGGAGGGCAGACAACAGAGAAGACCTCCTCTACCAAGCCGCAACTTCCCAGCACCTGACTGCTCTGTAGGCCTACATATAATACGTATATATAAAGAAAACGCCATTGTGAGTTTCCTTTCTCACCTCTATCCTTAGTGCGAGATCTCCTACATGTATGTGAGCCCAACAAAGAGAAACTAGACTACTGGACACATACACCACGCTACATCATCAGTGTTAAACAGCAAGGTATACAAGAGTTACGGCGTTGACCCAAGATGACGTCATCAGTGGGCAATACAGCACAGACACTATTAAGTAAAGGCAGTAGAGCCCGCAGGAAGGGTGGGAGGCACTGGACACCCCCCCTCGTCTTCCATTACAGGTATATAAATACTGTACTATTACGAGTATTGTTGGTGCCAATATAGCGTGCAGTCTACCAAGTGCGTGACCTGAACTGACGTGGGGTATATAGGGACCTTCATATCGTTGGGTAAGTTAGGTTAGGTTAGGGAAGTTAGGTTAGGTAAGTCAGGTTACGTTTCTTTAGGTTAGGTTACGTTAGGTTAGGTTAAGTATAGTTTATTCATTAAATTATTTATCACAAAACTATAATGATACCAAGTACCTGAAAATACTCCCGGCTGTTTATATACGAAATATTACCGTAACCGTATAATCAAACCAACCTATTATAAAAAACTGTAGGCTAAGTTGCTTAACCACGGCCCCTAATTATACCCCAGTTATAGACATGCCCTAGTTGTAACCTGTTTCAACCAGTGTTTACTTCTGCACTTCTCAATTATGTAATACATTTTCCTTATTTGTTTTACAGTTAAACACGTATAAATATATGCCGTATTTATTCTATGCATCCCCAGTAAAGTTGTCTGACAAAAAAACATGTCAAGAACTGATTCATCATTTACACATACACACACACATGTATATTTTCATCCTTCGGGCTGCAGAACTTTTTTAATAAACCTATAATTATTATTATTATTATTATTTTATTACACTTAATAGTTTTCAAGCCAATACAATCGTGAATAATCTTATAACATGGGAGAAATTTTTTTTTTATTGTGCATTTTTGGTGGTTGAGAGTTCTTTGTTTATGTAGTGAAATAATAAGAAGGCTTCAGGATGTTGAGGTTTTTGTGTCTTGGAAGTGTCCGGTTGGGGACTGGTTAAAGGATGGTTGAATCATGTTAGGAAGGTGCGCCTTATCTCTCTGTATCCTGGGTGTGTTTGTGTGGATGACTTTTATTATAGAACGTCTTCCCCTCTGTCTATCTCGTGTGTGTGTGTAAGGAAGACGTTTAATTCGAACAGCTTCCTCTCTGTCTGTGTCTTGGGGTCACACTGGAGACGTCATCACTATAGATAGGATCGCACTGGAAAATGCTTGGAAGCCCCTGAAGTGTAGAACATCAGTAAACTCATACATATAAATGAATTGAATAACTTAATAGAAAACCTCACCTCACCTAACCTACTTTAAGTATAATTTGGTTCTGTTACGAAGGTACACAGGAATTTTACCTCATACGAATTTATTTGCATTAAGTTGTAGCAATAAAAAGTCATCTTTATAATATACTTGCGACAATAGCGTATACTGTATGCAAAACCAAACGCTACCACTTAATGTAGGAAAATCATTCACAAGGGAAATCACATAAACGCATTAAGTGAAACAATGAACTAAAAGATTTGGAATATTTTATATTTTACTGCCAAACATATCAGAATAAAGGAAAGAAAAAAATGGCTACAACAACCATTTATTGAGAACACGTATGGATTAACTAGAAATGTAAAGGAAAGAGAAAAAAACAAATGAAGTGTTTTCCAAACTTAGGAAAATAAAGAGTAAGCAAACAAAAAGAACTTAATTGGAATTAGTTGTTTAGTGTGGACAAATAACGTATAACTTATTGGGGAATTACTGTTCACTATGTCCATAATATATCTTTAAAGATTGTCTATTTTTGAAGATTTTCCTAATCTCCTTGAAAGAGACTGTTGGTTCCTTACAGACAGGTTTGCCAAAAAATCGCAGTTAATTAAGATCCAGGTCAAATTTGACAATATGCAAAAAAAAAAGACAAGGTCACCGCAGTCTCCAGCAGTGTAACAATGCTCTCAAATTGACCTTTCATCTCATATTTGATGATGAACGACAGATGGACAAACGGACACGCACCGCTCCCGTAAGGGCATGCCGACCTTGCAATTTTGATATCCCACTGTTTATCATGGTTGATATATAGGATTATTACATGCCGTAGGCCTTTCACTCTAATATAAAATTTTCTTACAGGGGGAGAGCGCTCCGAACAAAATCTTTCCTGAGGCTTGGTTGGGGGTGGGGGGGCATTAAAACATTCAAAATCCTGAAAGGCATGGAAAACGTGAACCTGAGTAATTTCTTTGTGATGTCACGCACCACCAAAACGAGGGGATAAAACTACAAACTCTCCAAGTTCTCATGCAGAATGAACACAAAAAAACACCTTTTCACAGAAAGGGTGGTAGACCTATGGAACGGTCTACCATCCCAAGCTGTGGACGCAAGAACACCACTGGCCTTCAATAATAGCACTTGATAAAATTATTCAAGAACAATGGAGGGATGCTACACAGGTCACTGGCCTCATTCCTTCGACATGACAACTTCTAGTGGATGCTCAACTGGCCATCAGGTAAATAGAGTAATGATTGTGATGATTGTGATGTGTAGTGATGGGGATGTGTGATGATGGAGTGGTAGTGGTGGTGATGGTGGCGATGTGTGATGATGTAGTGTGGTGGTGGTGATGTGTGGTGAACTGGTGATGTAGTGTGGTAGTGGTGTGTGGGGGTTGGGGTGATGTGTGGTGATGGGGGGTGTTATTATATAGTTGTGATGTGTCTGGGTGAGATGGGATGTGTAGTGGTGGTGTGTGGGGATGGGGTGACGTGTTATGGTGCTGTGTTGAGGTGGGATGTGTCGGAGTGGTATGTTTTACGGTGATGTGTATTGGTAGTAGTAATGTGTGATGATGTCGATGAATGGGGATGTTGACTGATGATGTGGGGGGTGTGAATTGATGATGTGTGGGGGTGAGGTGTTAATGTGTAGAACTCGTGTGTCGGCGACTCGGCCGTGTGACACACACATACGCTCATAAAGACATATTACCTTACTACATAGGCTACATAAGTACAGTACAAGAACATAATCATACATTTTCGTAATCTTAGCATCTGTTGTATGGAAATTAATTGAATCCTATCTTTAATATCGAGGCAATACGCGGATTAACATGGAATTAACATACAATGTACAGCTCCATTTAAACGGGTATTTCCTTGAATTGAAATTTGATTTTTATTTAAATATTCTTCCGATGAAATATAATAAGTATCATAATGTGTCGAATTATATTCTGCATCAAATGGCGTTTTTTTTATACACTTTCATCGTGACAGAACAAGAGGTATAAAGAATGCGAATGTCATAATGGGACTTTTATTGATCACAGGAAACTGGCACTTCTTTCTAATATATTATTGATTACCTTATATTTTCATCTATCTCTCGCAGGTAAAGTGCG